CCTGCTTCTTCCGTCTCAAATTACTTATCTTTTAAGGTTATTTGGTATATTCTGGTTTTAAACAAAAGACTACAATACCCTTATAAAGTGATTTATGAATGAGGATAGATGGGTGGTTGAGGAGTAGAATTGGGAGAAATTTAAATAAGATATGATTGACGGGATAAGTAGTAGTACTTGGTAGTGATAAGTACGGAGTAGCATTGAAGAACAAAATTTAAATGATAGAAAGATAACTAATTTGGGAAGGAGGGAGTAGTAAAATAAAATGGGAAAATTACGAATTACCCCCCTCCCGCCGAACCCGAAAACCAGACATGATTCACCCTAAACTTTCAATACCGGACGGATTACCCCCCTCGACCCAATCCATAGCAGTTTTGTCCTACGTGATGTACGCGTGGCATCCCAGTCAACATTTTCTTTTTTTAAAAGATGGTGGGGCCCACCCATATACTCTCTCTCTCCTTCCCCTCTCTCACTCTTTCTCTCTCTCTCTCGGAGAGCACGGCACGCGTCGGCGTGGGATGGGAAGCAGCGCAGCGGCATCGTGGGATGCAGAGGCAGCGGTGGCTGCGGCGTGGGATGCGGCGGCGGTGACGGCGGCGCGGGACATCGAGGCGGCGTGGCGGTAGCGTGGGACGCGAGTTGCCCCACGCGAGCACCGTCACGCCCAGCATGCCAGCCGCCACGCCGGCCGCCACGCCGATGGAGACCAGCAGGGAGACGAGCTCGCGCGTGAGCACGTACGACCAGAGCACCGGGAGGCAGGACGAGCGGCTCATGGGTGGGGAGTCGGCGTCCGTGGTGGCCGCGGCGGCGGCGGCGGTGAGGAGGACTGGAGGGTGGTTGCTGTGGTGAGGCGCGGTGATGGCGGCGAGGAGGAGTGGGGAGAGGAGCGCGGAGGCCACCGCGGTGCGCTTCGACCACCGGTGCGCCGTGATGTCCGAGATGGTGAGGCGGCGCGGGAGGTAGAGCAGCGAGTGGAGGAGGTCGACGAGGCGGTGCGCGAACATTCTTGGCACGGAGGTGGGCTTGGAGGAGGAGACGGGGAGTGGAGGCGGCGCGGGATGCGGAGGCCGCGGCGGCGCGGCATGCGGAGGTGGCTTCAGGGCGGGACGCGGGACAACCCGATCCCCTCAAGCCCGGTCCTCCTCCTTCTCCTTCCCCGAGCCGCCGCCGGCTGTATCCCACGCCGCAGCCGCCCCTGCCTCCGCATCCCATTTCCCACATTGCCGCCACCTCGGTGTCCCGCGCCGCCGCCGCCTCCCATCCCACGCCGCAGCCGCCGCCTGCCGTGCTCGCAGAGAGGGGGAGAGAGAGAGTGAGAGAGGGGAAGGAGAGAGAGAGTATATGACAGGTGGGCCCCACAATCTTTTAAAAAAGAAAGTACTGACTAGGATGCCACGCGTACGCCACGTAGGATAAAACCGCTTTAGATTGAGTCGAGGGGGAGGGGGGTAATTCGTCCGGTATTGAAAGTTTAAGGTGAATAATGTCTGGTTTCAGGTTCGGGGGGAAATTCAGTCGACCGTGATAGTTCGAGGGGTAAGTGTTTCTTTAGTCCTTCCTAACTTTGATTTCTCATTTTTCATGCACATGTTCCCATAGTACTAAGCGGTAAGTTTTTTAGAAAGTTTCTTTAAAAAAGTATATTAATCCATCTTTAAAGTCTTTTTAGTATTGCTCCGTTTTGTGTCAAAGAGAAGCTTAACGTAAAAATACTTCTGTACCACAGTACCAGAAGTATCGTACAGTAAAATCTGAGATTTACGGGATGAATGTTGTAGATTTTACTATAGGCTGTGTTTAGTTCGATCCAAAGTTTGAAATTTGGTTAAAATTGGAGACGATGTGACTGAAATATTATGTGCGTATGAAAGATTTGATGTGATAGAAAGCTAGAAGTTTAAAAAAAACTTTAAAACTAAACAAGGCCATAATAAAAGATGAGATTTTACTATACTAGTACTACTAAGCACCATGGTTTTGACATGCGTCAGGACGCTTCAGGCGAGAAAATGAGTTATGCTAGACGATAAAAGATGGCAAATCAATAGTCACTGGCCTCACGACCAAGCCAAAGATACTCCGGTAACAAGTGAGAGTAATAGAGTAGGAGTAATAGGATGCGATGTCTATTCATTGTACGGGTATTATTAGAGAAACGTTCATCTGGATTTGAATAGTCACTCTTTCTAATTATATGATATTAGTTTATTACCTAATATTCATGTCTTTTTATTGGTCAGTATTGAAGGAAAAAGAAATGCCTTTCAAACATGAATTTCCCGAATTTCCCACGCAAAGTTCAAATTTCCCGAACGTCCCAAGTTTGTATACCCCCAAGTACTACTACTCCCGAAACGGAGTATACATACATTGCGTTTATACGGTGCTCGGCAGTGGCACAGCATCTGTCATGTCCTGCAGGAGTAGCGCACAGGCCATTGGCATAGGTTCGAATGATTAGAGATCCAGCTCATTTAATACCCGAGATTTGGCTGTACTCTCTCCACCGGAGGGCATGGCCCAGCAACTACTCCTACGCCTGTACACCCTGCCACTTTCACTTCCAAGAGAGGGCTGTTTGCTGCTCCCCAGGCACTTGCTTCTTCCATCATCATTTGCATGGCTACCTGCGTTTTGGAAGGAATCTCATAAATGCAAAAGGTAAAATAAAATCCGTCTTGCAAAAGGTGATCAAATTCGAGCTTGACTGTTTGTGTTTGGTGATCAAATTCGTGCCGGTCGTTGTGGAGGCAAACTTCATTTACTACATTTCTGTAGCTAGAGAGGATGACTCGAAGTACTCCAGTTCAGGTGCTGGCATTCGCTCCTCTTTTGGCAATGTTTTCCCAGTCCAGGAGTATCCGTTTTTTTTTTTTTGACATTGACATTATGGAGTATCCGTTTTTCATCAGCTACGGACGTGTTTAGTTCACGAAAATAAAAGTTTTGGGTGTCACGTCAGATGTTTGACCGGAGGTCGAAAGGGATTTTTGGACACGAATGAAAAAACTAATTTCATAACTCGCTGGAAACCGCGGGACAAATCTTGAGTCTAATTAAGCCGTTATTAGCATATGTGGGTTACTGTAGCACTTTATGGCTAATCATGGACTAAGGGGCTGTTTGGTTTCCAGTGACTTATTCCAAGTCCCTGTCACATCGGATGTTTGGACACTAATTTGGAGTATTAAACATATACTAATTACAAAACCCATTCCATAAGCTTGGACTAAGTCGCGAGACGAATCTTTTGAGTCTAATTACGCCATGATTTTGACAATGTGATGCTACAGTAAACTTTTGATAATTATGGATTAATTAGGCTTAAAAAAATCGTCTCGCGGATTAGCTTTCATTTATGAAATTAGTTTTTTTATTAGTCCATGTTTAATACTCTAAATTAGCGTCCAAACATCCGATGTGACATGGGATAAAAAGTTTTAGTCCCATCTAAACACCCCCTAATTAAGCTCAAAAGATTCGTCTCGCGATTTTCATGTAAATTGTGCAATCAGTTTTTATTTTTATCTATATTTAGTCCTTCATGCATGTGTTCAAAGAATCGGTGTGATGTTTTTATGAAAAAATTGGAAACTAAACCAGGCCTACCAGTAGTAAAGTAAACTGACCTGATGTTGTATTTGAAATAAAAAGTCTGTAAAGAATTTTTGTAGGATTACCATCGTTTTGAAAAAAAATAGGGAAAATGATTTACATTCTCGGTCTCTTCTGACAAGCTAGCACACAACTAAATCCTTTGGTATATTTAACTCTTTGGAACAAATGGTTGGAGATTTCAAAATTCCATTCGTATATTTTGGAGTAAAGTTAGCATAAAATCGTATTTCCTTCTGGTCGATCTCTTCCATGCAAGTTTTGCATTTTCCCCATACGTTCAGTATTGTCAATACGAAGAATCATTCGTGTGTATTGAATCGCAGGCCCAAATTGAATTGAATCTCCAGACCCATTTAAATAGCAGGAACCAAAAAAAAGGGGGAATAGAAAAATATATAAAATTCTAACAAAAATACAAGTGTAAAATAGATGATTGCAAAACGCGGAAAAAAACATAAATGACCGTTTGATTGGATACATGAAAAACGCGAGAATCATATAAGAAAGATATACTCAAAAGAAATTTCTTCATAGATTGAAGCTCTTGTTAAGTTTGAAACCTATAACATTGTCCATTCATAGGAATTTTAAACAATATGATACGATTCAATCCTTGGTTTCAAAGTTATTCATATAAAAAATTCTTATAAAATTAAAATCCTTTAGGGCCCCTTTGAATCAAAGGAATTATGGAGGAATTTCGTAGGATTAAAATCCTACAGGATATTTTCCTATGTAGCTCTTTGATTCAAAGGATTGAAGTTTTCCAAATCCTACAAAATTCCTATGGAATGGCTTGTTGCATATAGGTTTTGGAGGAAACTTAGCAAGAGGTCCAACCTCCTGGTAAAAATCCTTTGGGTCTATCTTTCTCATCCGATTCCTATGTTTTTCCTGTGGTCCAATCAAACGATCATTCTTATGTTGTTCGTGTGTTTTGCAATCCTCTGTTTTACACTTGCATTCCTATCAGAATCCTATATTTTTCCTATTCCTCTGTTTTTTCATTCCTATGATTCAAAGGGGCCCTTAAAGTTTTTTTTTTATGATTTTCATATAAATCAAATGGGACTTTAATTAATCATAGGTTTGAAATTGAAAGGGCCAAACAAACCATACTGCTGCTACAACTAGCACTCCTAACCTGACACGATAGTTTTGGGTTCCAAATGATCCCTTTTAGGCTATCCAATGGACCAGCTGTTTGCTTCTACTACTACTCCTTGCTTGACACGATTTGGAGGGAGTAGTGACCGTGTGTAGCCACGTGACATGTGCATGCCCACGGGGTGTTCGGCGAAAGGCCAGGGCCAAAGCACTAGTACTCCTCCTCTTGTATATAATGGCTTTCTCCCTCAACAATCGATCTCACCTCTCCCCATCCGAACCCCCAATTTTTCTTGGCTAGATTTGGCGCGAGATGTCTTGCCTCTCTCGCCTCAACGCCTCGGCGGCGCCATGGGAGCCGCCGGTGGCACGCGCCATGGCCGTCGAGCAGTACTGCCCGCCGCCACAGTCCTTGCTCCCGCCGCCGCCGCTGCCGCCGGTCGCCGTTCCCACCACCTGCGGTTGCGCCGCCTGCCTCCAGGGCTGCTTCGTTCCGGTGGGGGTTCAAGCTGCCTTCCCGCACGCCGCTGCTGGGTGCGCGCCGCCGCCGCCGGTGATGCCGGTGATGATAGTGTACCGCGTCGTGCAGCCTCCGCCGCCGGCAGCTCACGCCACGCGCTGCCAGATCACGGAGATCGAGGACGGCGGCGGCGTGGAGACCGCGAAAGCTGTGGACGGCGACGAGCCGCAGCCGTTCATCCGCACGGTGCGCAGCACTCGTCGCAGAAAGGCGGCGGCGATCCGCCTTCCCAAGGCTTTTCGAGCGGCGCTTTTGCCGCCACCGCCGCCGCCATGCGCGTTGGGGTTCACAGCTACTACTACCTCCTTGATGATAAGGAACATCCCCAATAAGTTCCTGTAAGTTTCAACCAAAATCTTCCTCGATTCTAGCCACGACCCTTCTTTAATCTACTTGTTTTTACTCTTAGATTAAGAAAAGATCTAATCTAATCTCTTCTTTTTTTTTTTTTGCATCGACCAGGAAGGCGAGGCTGATGGCTATCCTGGACCAGCACTGCGCCGACGAGAACGGCAAGTGTCACCGCCGCGGCGGCGGCGGCGGCCGCAGCGTCGTGAAGTCTGAATACGACTTCTTCTACGTACCCATCGACTTCAAGTTCGTATACTACTCCAATCTAGGGTTTCTTTCCTTTCATCTTGTTCTTCCTGACCTGACACGGTGGTTGTGCGCTTCTTCTTTCTATAGGACTGGGTTCAACAAGGGGTACGCCTTCGTCAACATGACGACGGCGACCGCGGCGCGGCGGCTCCGCGCGTTCCTCCAGGACCACCGCTGGGACGCCGCCATGTCCGGCAAGGTCTGCGACGTCGTGCCCGCCGCCATCCAGGTACGTACGCGCGCTCGCGCTCTCGCTCGCCGCGCCGCGCGCTTGCTTGCTTGCCGATAGGTGTTTGATCTTGGCCCCCTTTCTTGGAAACCTACCTTCAGGGGCTCGACGCGTTCGTGGCGCACTTCTCGGCGTCGTGCTTCCCCTGCCGCACCAAGGAGTTCCTGCCGGTGTGGTTCGAGCCGCCGCGCGACGGCGAGCAGCAGACGAAGGCGCACGTGGTCGGCCGCCTCGTCGTGCGCCCACGCTAGCTGGTCGTCGTCGTCGGCGTCGTCTCCGGCGACGGCGTGGGTTGCGCATGGTATCTATCTTGCATTCTATCCCTACCGATTGTCCAAATCGATCAATGGATGCATGGAAGGATAGAACGGGAGATAGATTCATATAGAGAGGCTGGCTTGGCTTGGTTGTTCGTAGTCTTTCCTTGTTCGTTTCTACTGTAGTAGTAGCAGATAGAACTACTAGTTCTGCCGTTGTTGTGTTGTAATCATATGTGTAGTGGCTGTTATGTTTGAGCCGATCGATAATCCTTCGTTGTTGTGTGTTGTTAACTTAACTCTACTAGTACTAAGTACCGCGTCCTCCGATCAATAATCCGAGTATTTGCTATGGCAATGCCCGGTTGATGTCCTACTAACCACAACGAAAGTTGTGCTAAATGGAATGTGCGGCTTAAACTATGAAGGATTTGGTTTTAGATAATTTTTGGTTATGTATTTATTTTATTTTATTTGCTTCTGAAGTGCACAGTGGTTTACTACTCCATTATATGCATAACAGAATTGCCTTCCCATTAAAGAGCATAGAATTGCTTATACAGACTTCTAAAAACAATTTTGTCGATAGTGCAGGTGCCAGGTACTACTAATCCAGAGTTACTAGTACTGTGTAGGGTATCAGTAGTACATCACAGAATTAGTAATCCAGATTGTAATTGCTTCGAAGTACTCCCTCACTCTAAAAGAACCTTGGCTTACGGCTATGGCCGTGTTTAGATTCCAAATTTAACAAGAACCATTTACACAGTTTGCACGCAAATTATGAGATGAATCTTGTAAGCTAATTACCCTATGATTTGACAATATAGGGCATATTTAGATCCATTTGTTCCAAATGGTAAAAAGTTCTGGTGGCAAAAGTTTTGACATTGCAAAAGTACTAGCTGGTGTTTAGATGCATGTTAAAGTTTTGCCATTCTAGCACTAAAGAGAAAGAGGGAGTGGTTCCAAAGCACTTTTTGGCACAATTTGCTACTATGGACTAGCAAATGCTAAATGCCAAATTGTCAACATTTGCTACTTGTGTTTAGATCCAAAATGGCAAAAAGTGCCATTTTATAAATGGTAAAACTTTTGCCATTGGAGGATCTAAACAGGGCCATAATGCTACAGTGAATCTTTTATATAATGCTACAGTGTATCTTTTGAGGTTTAATAAATTCATCTTGTAGTTTATAGGTGAAATTTGTAATTTATTTTATTATTAGATTACGTTTAATGTTTTAAATGTGTGTCCGTCTACTTTGAAAAAAGTTTGGCCAACAAACTAAGCATAAAAGATGAGTTTGGCCAACAAACTAAGCATAAAAGATGAGAGATAAGAGCAGCGGGATACAAATCTGTAGCCAGCTGCAGCACGGACTCCAAGACGCAATATGTGTATGATAGTGGGACCATATGCTAATAGTATAATAAGTAATTATTGTATGAATTGGCTATTAGATTGGCTATAGATGAATTGGAGCCAGTAGTTGGCTATACTATTAACCTTGCTCTCCTAAACCTTGATTTTATACTAGAATCTTTCAGCATTTTTCACATTCTGTACTGTTGTGTATGGCTAGTACTTATTAATAAATCCTGTTGCATTTAATCGTGCGCGCGGGCTGTGTTTCGCACATGTGTGTTGAACCCGTGTCACAAAATAGGAATGTCGGTCTTTGAACACTTCGCACGTTCGAATCGATCGTCCACGATATATTTGCCCGGATTTTAACCAAATTTCATGTGAAATTCGACATGCGAATTAAAATTAAAATATCCCTCTCCTGTCCCGTAGCTGGCGTCTTGTCGACGGGTCTCTGTAGCTGACATGTGGGGCCATGGCGCGACAATTCACGCTCGGTCATCATGCCCCTTGCCATTAATGGGATGTGAGGCCTTGGAGAAGAAAAGGTGCGATTATTCAATCTTTCTTTCTGCATGTCCCTCCTTCTCCTTCTCCATCCCCTCCCCCGGTGGTGCAGCGTGCCATATCGTCAGAGAGAGACAGTAGCCGCAGTAGGAGGGAGTTGTTGCCGGAGAAGTGACTGTGCATTCTGCAGATCGTTTCTGCGAATCCTCCTATGGTTGGGACGCGAGAGAGACAGAGAGATGCTACAGGATGAAGGCATCAGATCGGTTGGGACGAGAGAGAGAGCAAGGACGATGGACGAGACCGGCATTAGGAATGCATCGGGAAGTGGAGATGATCCGCGCGCGGTTGCGCCGGGGGGATTGATCGGGTGGTTTGCCAACACATCTCTCTGTACGAGCTCTGACCGCGTCTACTACTAGCCTGTAGTGCTACTAGTAGTAGGAGTATGCTTGGATTGTGCTGAATCCTGTTTGTCCTCAAGGCTCAATCAAATTAATGACCGTCCTTGGCAATATTTTTTAAAATTATTACTCCTACAGTGGTAGTACTACATGCTGTGGAGTGGTCAGGTGAGGGGTGCCGTCCAGGCGTAAGCGTACGAGCAACAGTTCTCAACAGGTGAGAGTTGTGGTTCGGAGGCGAGACGAGCTTTGCTCTGTCAACAACATTTGAGTTGTTTTGGGATTAAAATTTGACCTCTTGCTGTATACACAGTCTCCCTCTCGATGGGCTGACGATTGAAATTTCACCAAATGCGTCTAAGATCCTGTTTAGATTAGATGGGACTAAAACTATTACTATCTCCTTCCTTAAATATTTGATGCCATTGACTTTTTTAAATATGTTTGACCGTTCATTTTATTTAAAAATTTTTGTGAAATGTGTAAAACTATATGTATACATAAAAGTATATTTAACAATAAATCAAATGATAGGAAAAGAATTAATAATTACTTAAATTTTTTGAATAAGACGAATGGTCAAATATTTTTAAAAAAGTCAACGGCGTCAAACATTTTGGGATGGAGGGAGTACATCGGATGTTTGATACTAATTATAAATATTAAACATAGACTATTAATAAAACGCATTTTATAACCCTGGACTAATTCACGAGATAAATCTATTGAACCTAATTAATTCATAATTAGTCTATGTGATGCTACAATAAATATGCGCTAATTATGGATTAATTAGACTTAAAAAATTTGTCACGCGAATTAGCTCTCATTTATGTAATTAGTTTTATAAGTAGTATGTCGATGTTTGATGTCGTGATTCCGGTATTTGCATAGTATGGGGATTGTTGGTACTAAGGTATATGCGAGACTAAGGTAAAAGAGACGGAGGCGAGGAATTTTATACAGGTTCGGGCCCCTGAATTGTCAGGTAATAACCCTACATCCTGTTGGCCGAAGCCGATATTGCTCTTATTCACCATAATCACACCAGTACAATATTTGGGGTAGCCTATCTAACTGTTGTCGACATGGCGGTCTGAAGCTCTGACTCGTAGTCGACAACATGGTAGTCTTCCTCCTCGAGTTCGTGCCCGGCGTCTTGTCTTGACGTATGTTTTCTTGTATGTTGATCTTATGTCTTGATCTATTGTTCCGTGTATGTTGATTGTAGTGGGTGTCTCCCCTCTCCTCCTAGGGGGTCTTGTATTTATACCCATAGGTGTCCCCTTGTCCAAGTAGAACTAGGGAAACCAATATGGATACAATCCGAGTAGTTCTTGTCGTTTCCATGTAGAACTCTGGTTATTTTTCCTTATCCGGAACTCCTCCTATATCCGCAGGTTGTTTCCGTATAGGACATGGTATGTGGTGGGTCCTGCCGAGATTTAGTCGACTACTATTAGGTATGTGGTATCCATAACCCTAACAGTAGTCTCCGACTTCAATGCAAATGAACGAATTCATATTCTCAGCCGCGCACAGACTTTGGAGTAACTGTTATCGAGCTCATGTGACTATTCTCGGTGAGTTCAGAGATAACGTTAGGCTTCCTTTATCAGCCTCGTGCGGGCACCTAAAGGGTTTGTCTGAGTCAATCTCCGACGTCAACTAAGAAAGTACAGAGCATACGACTAAGTCTCCCATCTTGTTGTAATCGAGAATTTGGATTGAAATCGAGAATTTGGATTGAAGTCAAGAAATTTTATCTCAGCGGGTACACCATCTCTTCATTCCGTATTCCTTGTCGAGATCCATCGACCGTGAGCCTGCGACGAAGCCTTGTCAATATTTGTCGTACTCGCCTTAGTCGATCTTGGTGTGTAGAACCATAGAGACATGGAGTCTTCGTTAATGTCGAATAGAATTTTCCTGAAATCAATACTCAGAAAATAATATTAGATAGAAATAGCCCCCAAGCGAACGCTCAAAGGGTGACATGTTATAATATGTATGGAAAACTGAAAATGAATTAAATTTACAGACCAATGTTTTGTATATGAGCGTCTACTCTTTTACCGACTTCGATCAGTCAGTTTGTTGAATTATACACTCTCCCTAGCCCCCAGCCTTGTCATCGGAGAATCGTTCTCGGGAGATAAGGCTCTTGGACCTTTGACCTGCCTCGGTTGAACAAGCACTGATCCTAGACCCCAGCCGTGAAGTTGGAAAACCCAATTTCCGATTACACGGCTTGGTTAATACGCACGGCGAGAACTCTTACATGACCAGATCTTACATGATCTTTTGTCTCTACAGGATCCGACAAGGCCTTATCGGCTCTGGGCATCCTCAGCCGAAGTTCCCTTAGATTCCTTGGAGGCCTTGTCAAGACGGCGTAAAGGGACACGAGGATAGGTTTCAACGCTAGGTGTCATCGTGGTAAGGCATCTCTGGGTAAAACACTTGGCGATATTGTGTACCTGATGTCAACTTTGTTAGAGTAGAGGTAGTGGGAGAATCGCTACACCTCTGGTCGAGGACCAGGTAGTAGTCGCAACTCGACCACTCAAAGTGGAAAAAGTGGGAGAATCGCTACACCGCTGGTCGAGGACCAGATAGTAGTCGTAACCCGACCACTAGAAGTGGAGATAGTGGGAGAATCGCTACACCGCTGGTCGAGGACCAGATAGTAGTCGTAACTCGACCACTTAAAGTAAGGCGAGAGAGATCACTACGTTTTACTGGTTCAAGAACCAGGAGCAGGAGTCTCTTAGTCACCTATAGGGGTGCTAAAGTTGGTTTATGTGCATATCATGTGGCCAGCATGACTCACATACCCAACTTATAGCATATCCGGATGTCCGTTCACAATCATGTCGGGTGATCAAGCCGACAATGTTCACGAGAAATTATCCGTTAACAACCTTTTCTCAAATAGTCCAGCCACGGCCGGTGCTATGAGATAGGTCGTCAGTATTCGTTGGTAGGTTGGCGTGACGACTCTGCATTTGTCGAGATCGTTCTCGATAATGCGGTATACTCGACCACAACCTACTCGAGTGCTCAATTGTTTCTGAAAAATATTTTCTAGAAGGCAAGATATATAGCATAGAATATCGAATATGAACTCAAAAAACTGCATGAATCTTCTAGTATTATCAGGATATAGCGAGCAGATTAAATATCAAGCATTATGTAAACCGTAAACAAGCATGATTTATACTGAAGAAAATAGGGCGAGCCCCCAATTTAAACCGTTGTCGATTTAACATCGGGGACACTTGCACAATAGATATTGTATAAAAAATATGCTCTGGGTAAACATAATAAATCATAGATCTGACAATATTGTATAGATTGGAAAAATAGATATGATAAATTGTATATAAAATATTGCGTACTTTGTAGATACATGCCGGATGTATGTACGAAATTATTAGACTAATTTAAAAAATTAATCTTAAATACCTCGTTTTGGGTGTTTGATGATTATTGCTTGTGGACAGCTACCTGGTAACTTTCCATATGCATGTATTGGTCCTATTCCGCGAGACGTGCGTACAGCGTACGCGTCATGCATGTCGGAGTACTGTACGAAATCCGATGCATGTCCTCAGCTCTACGTGGCAGAGTCCAAATCAAGTTGAGCTTGAGGCTTCTCATGCATGTCGGTTGTTGTCTCTCCATGGCAACGCACGGTGTGCCCGGACAGAGGACCTCGGCCATGGCACAAAGAAAAATGGACCAATCAGGAAGCTGATTAGTGTAATTAATTAGGATGAGATTAAATCAAATACAAAGAGTTGGAACGACAAACCCGATATCGTGTTATAGGACGACGTTCTGGCTGGTGAGAGTCTCCGTAGTTGACCGGACCAGGCGAAGTTTTCGTGATCAACAATAGCGAACAGATATCTCCCGCAACGACGTCTCGAGGCTTGAGCGATCTTGATGGATCAAATTGCTGATGATGATGGTTCCGATCTCGTCGGGAGACGTACTCTGGTCGGGTTGGATCTCCCCGGTCCGAAGTCGTCGAGTAGCTCGTTGTCGGAGAATCCATCTCTTAAACTCATCTCGTCGAAATCCTGAAGCACTAAAATTCCCCTACCTGGCGTGCCACTGTCGACGTTTGATGTCGTGATTCCGGTATTTGCATAGTATGGGGATTGTTGGTACTAGGGTATACGCGAGACTGAGGTAAAAGAGACGGAGACGAGGATTTTTATACTGGTTCGGGCCCCTGAATTGTCAGTTAATAACCTTACATCCTGTTGACCGAAGCCAATATTGCTCTTATTCATCATAATCACACCACTACAATATTTGGGGTAGCCTATCTACCTGTTATCGAAATGGCGGTCTGAAGCTCTGACTCGTAGTCGACAACAGGGTAGTCTTTCTCCTCGAGTTCGTGCCTAGCGTCTTGTCTTGACGTATGTTGGCTTGTATGTTGATCTTGTGTCTTGATCTATTGTTCCGTGTATGTTGATTGTGGTGGGTGTCTCCCCTCTCCTCCTAGGGGGTCTTGTATTTATACCCATAGGTGTCCCCTTGTCCAAGTAGAACTAGGGAAACCAATATGAATACAATCCGAGTAGTTCTTGTCGTTTCCATGTAGAACTCTGGTTGTTTTTTCTTATCCGGAACTCCTCCTATATCCACAGGTTGTTTCCGTATAGAACATGATATGTGGTGGGTCCTGCCGAGATTTAATCGACTACTATTATGTATGTGGTATAAAGAGTAAATGTGCATTATTAAATGTGTTGCAATGACATGCAATATTTAAAAATGAGCAATCGATAGAACACGAAGCAATGAAACAACTTAACCGATGAGGATTACTTCGAGAATGATAAATATTTTGGTGTCCTTGATCTTAATGTCATTTGCTTAGGGTATATATGTTCAAACTTGGATGAGGAGAGTAATTTAGTAGGATCATTTTTATAAATTCTAAACAAGTAAAAAACCAAAAGCTACAATGATGTTTGTGAAAAAAGCTAGAGGGGTTAAAGGGATTCCACAGCCTCTCGTACATAGCTCCGCCACTGCCCTCGAGGGTGTGGAGAGACTCCGTTGTTGGGATGCATGAAATAACGTCGTACTCCTCCTACTGGTACTCGATCAATTCAAGCTGCATGCACGCCTGCTCGACGAAAATTACTCTACGTGCGGAATCAATGGGCAAAATTTTAGTCTTGGAACGACCATAAATATCTTCATTGATTTTCAGGTTATATTCGGTGCAGCTGTATTAACCCCTTCTCACAGTGCACCAATTTTTTTAAAAAAAATAAAATGTGAAATTTACCATTATTTGTTTGGAAAATGCAACGCTTTATCTATCTGAAATGATGATGCATCGATATGCTGGAGACCGAACATGCATTTACTACAACTAAGCAGTGCATTTACTCAAGCCGCCACGGCGCCGGCGCTGCTGCTTCCCCAGTATATTTCGCTTCCCAACTGCAGATACACCTACGATTTGGTTCTGCTAAGATTGTGTTTAGATTCAAAGTTTGGATACAAATTACGAAGTGACCACCAGTTCTACTCCTATAGTAGCAGCAGTGCAGCACTCCTGCTACTGTTGGATGCTTGAAACTGCAATCCACGGATGATCCTGGTCGACGTCAGCGTAGTAAATGCACCATCTCCTTGATTCGAACTTTTCAAGTTCGCAGAACGGTAAACGTACAAGGCATGTGCATACTAGTATATACACCGTACTCCTCCGTATGTACTGTACGTCTTGCACACCATAAATTAAATTGGAAAAAAAAGGTTTAGAAGGATACATCGAAATGAAAACTTTAGAAAGTCAGTCCAACGGGAGAAGTCATTAATAGGAGGATCCGGATCTCAGCTACAGTCACAATAGTAACTGCAACCTAAGCAAGATCAGTGCGCACCATTGGATACAAATCAGACAGTCTAGATCATACTCCCTCTATACTTAAATATAAGGGATTTTAATTGGATGCGATACGTCTGGACAGGCTTCATATCCAAATTCATTGTACTAGAATAAATCACATACAACCAAAATCCCTTATATTTAGGGATAGAGGGAGTACATCGTACTATTGATAGCATTGTACGAAAAAACTGTAGCACGGAGTACTATGCACAATTTTACATTAGCGTATACTTTCTCCGTAAAAAAACGTATATAGAACTGGATGTGACACATTTTAATATAACGAATCTGCAGAGAGATAGTTTGAATGGGACGGAGGGAGTAGTTTGAACCATTCATCGTAAAAATGAACAATCAAAATTATACGCAGTCGTTTAACTTAACGTTACAAGTATAACTGAACTTGATCTGAATCCTTAATCGTAGTGTTGCGAACGCTGTGCAATTTTTGTGATTACGTGTGCTCTCCAGTTCATCCAAGTAAACTGCCAAGCCAGCCCATGTCCCCAACGCCACAATCTTACAGGGCCGGCCCCACTGGTGCTTCGTTTCGCATGGGCCAAATGCAGCACCGCTTGCCAGCTCGTAATTGCGGCCCATTAACCTAAATGGGCCGATCGAGTGGTGGTGCAGCCCAACCACAAGGCCACGACAAAAAAAACGTCCTCCTCTTCGAGTCGTCCGCTTCCACTCACGCCGGCTCATCCTCTCTCTCTCCAAATCTGTGGACATTTCACGCGCGCTCTCCGCTCCAGCCTCCAGCCACCGCCCACCGGCCGGCGATGTCGACGGCGGCGGCGGCCGCGGCGTCCACCTCGCTCCGGCCGGCCTCCCAGTCCGCGCTCCGTCTCGCGGTTTCGCTCCCTCACCACCTTCGTCGTCTCTGATTCTGTGTAATTTATCATGCGCCTTCGTCTAACCGAGTAGTCTTCCCCGGTTAAATCGCGCAGGGTTCGCCGCGGCGGTGGTGCTGGGGAGCCCCGGCGCTCTCCCCTGCGAGGAGAGCATTCCACGCGGACACGCGGAGGCGGTTCGTGTTCTCTCCTTGGGCGTTTGCTTCTAGTATGGAATGGAGTTGATGGCCTTTTGTCCGAATTAGTTTTGCTTCCTGTGGTGTATTTGGGGGAAGTCATCGCAGACCTGTGGATTACCCTTCATGTTGCATTGTTGTCTCCTGTGGGATTAAGTGTTTCATGAGATTGGGGTATTTCGTTGTAGATTACTGTTCTATGCTTTTAAATTGCAATGCCGGTAATTTTGTTGCTACGAGTTATTGTTCAGAGTAGATTACTTCTATAACTCTCGCTGTTCCATTGGAGTTGCTTATACAGTGCGCTCTCTAACTGCCACCAGCACAGTTCAGATGTTCTTCAGGGTGTTTTAGTAACATGAGTTTCTACGGTCCTGATGCACATTTCTGATTCATGTGCAAATCTACATCTACCATTCATTCCTAGGATTTCATACTATTTGGTAGCTGCAATGCGGCAGGATCTGTGATTTGCCTTTCCGAATTCATTGTGATGGTGCAAATAGACAGATGAACAGTCTATTATTATTCTTAATTTAAGAACCTATGTTTGTATTAAACAGGAAGACTTTGTTATATGCAACTGATAAAGGCCCAGAAGAATCCTTGAAGAAGACAATTGAAGTTGACAGGTTGATCGAGATGCTGAGGGATGCAAATCCTAGAGAGGTAACTCTTCATATCTTCAATCTGACTGTTTATTCTACTACTCTCCATCCCATAATATAGCAACGTAGTGCTGGATGCCCGTATCCAGATCCATAGTACTAGGGTACGTCCCATCCGGTCCTAGGTTGCTATATTATGGGACAGAGGAAGTATTAGATAAGGTTACAGTCTCAGGTTTTACACCACACTAAAAGATCTCTCCATTCAATTGTACCAATTTAAATCTGTTACCAAACCTCTATAGTATATAATTCTCCTTGCTTTGAGCATGCTTCCATTAGTTCTTGGTTCAAAATCTGTAGAACCAATCTAAGCAGTACTTGATGACTTGGTCGTGGGAGCATTAAGCCTCAAGTTCTGTGAACAACATGAACTGTTCAATTTTATTTACTTCGGAGTTTTCATATTTACCTTTAGTTTCTTATCAGGTTTATTTTACGCATTTAGAAATATTTGAAGTATGCTTATCCTTGTCAGTTTATCACTAGATTTTATTATTATGTCTATGGTAATTCTAAATACTGGAGCATTGCTGAACAGAATATATGCAGTTTGTTTTATTTTCATTTAATTGAATTAAGCCTTGCTTTGTTTTGAAATTACTTTTGACATGAAAATTACTTGATCAACTTACTAATTTACCCTTCCTTGCATGTGACAGCTTGATCAAATAGTGGTTGAAAATGTTCTGGCGTTCGATGAGGGTTTCTGGGTTCGGCTGGCAGCAAGAATTGATCTATGCAAATCGGATGATGATAAAGCATGGTTTTCACAATTGGATTTCTTTTTTGTTACTATGGAATGTCGATCCCGTTCTCTTAGCTCGATTAATCTAACTTTGTGAATGGTGTCTCTCTTCTGCCTTTTCAGAAAGACTATGAAGAATTGGCTGAAAATGTCATGAACATAGTTGACCGTCTTGTCCATAAGACTGATGTAAGAACAATATTGGGTCACATTATTTGTATTAATGGCAACACTTTTGGCATTTTTATCGTGATCAGAAAAGTTCCTTGAATGCTGCTAATATTTACCCTTATCTATTCAGGAAAAGATTGAACAGTCAACTGATGTGCTGAAGGCAATTATTAGTCCTGTGATGCACGAAGGTGAAAACGCCACGTGGCCACCGAGAGATCCGGAGGCTCTCAAATTGATGGAGAAAGTAAGAACGAACATAGCTATTTTTTCACTGTTATTCTTTACTGGGATATTTCATCGGTGCCTTCCTATGAATTTGGTTTATTTCACATTACCTCACACATAGCATTTAGTCGCTTTAGGCAAGTTACTGTTTTGGTTGGCTCTACTTCACATGAAACAGATTTATATTCCAATCTGTAGTGTAACTAGAAAGTGCCAGTTTTATACTCCAATCTTGTATTTGTTTTTTATGGTGTCCTGGTATCGCCAGGAAATTTCAAATAGAGAAAAAGAAGGACAGCTAGACGAAGGATTTCTGTCAGAGGTTAATGCTCAGTTGAGGCAGGTATGTGTCATTTTCTACATTGTGGATTAACTTTGTTGATATATTACTCAGCATAGAGTAGTTTTGCTACTCATTTTACTATTACACCCTTACATGTGTTTAGGCTAAACAAGATGGAGATAAACCAGGACTTCAAGCTATGCTGCAGAAGGTGTTGCAGCTGTATGCGTCCAATTTTCTCCAAAAGCGTAGTTACGCTTACAAAGGTAAATCCTGTTCATTCGTTTTGGACTGTTGAACCACAACCACTGAGAATGATTACCCTTTAAATTGATTTGTCTATCTTTCATTTTCAGGGGGAGAAGTAATAGTGCCTGAAAGTTTTCTTGAATCTGTAATAAAGGGTATGTATCATTGTGCGGAGAGATTGTTTGTCTTCAATCAACTGATCTCAACCTTTAATATATCCAGATTGTGCCTTGCAGCTCCGGAAAACGAGTGGAACAAGCTGTTGCTTGATGGGTTAACAGTGGGGAAAGGAAATGTTTCACCAGAAGAATTTTATGCTGTTATAAAGAAGAGAATTGAGAGAGTCTTAATTCGCACAGTAATATCCCAACCTTTGGAGTTATACAGAGAACGCAATCTCTTTTAGTTTGTCAGGACCTTGTCTTTAGTTTAGCATCCCCTCAGCACATTTTTCATTTTTCCTCTTGTTATCTTTTTGTTTGACAGGAAGGAGGTTCTTATCAGCAGCGCATACTCGTTGAATATCTAAAAGAGATACAGGCTAGAGCGGAGGAAGTTGTGAAGGTGCTTCAAGGACCAACCATATGATGATGTCTGGTGGTCGATTTTAAACAGTGCAGGTTATCCAGTTCGATCATGGTTTTGACGCATCACCTAGCAAAAGCTTAGAAGGCGACAACAGACAACCTAACTAGGTATGTTGTTCTTCGTTTGGTATGCCGTTGAGAACACTAGATTCTATTACTTGTCTGCACATTTTTACAGCCTCTGCCTCTCAGTTGTCTGATTCAGGAACCCGAGATAAGCATAGCGAGAAGAGAAACAGATCCAAATGTCCTAAAGGAGTGCGTGATTTTCATTCCCCACTTTGGTCTTCATCTCGAATGGCCGATTTTGCTGTTGGAATGTTTGATTTCTGTTCTGTCTGATTGACACTTGACACGAGTGAGCTTGACTAAGCTGTAGTAACATGTGAATCGGTTTTTGTTGTGTAAGGGAGAAGGTTCAATGCTGAGCTTGACTTGTTACTGAGGTGCTTGTTGAACTCATTTTAAGTTACTGATCCCTGCAACTGTTGATTATCCTGATCCTGATAGATCATTGACGATTCCTCGTATTCCCTCGTTACAACTTACAAGTCATTCCGCTCGTGACTCGCTCGCAACTCTGCAGTAAAATGTTTCAGAAGCCGAGCCTCGCACTATATATTTAATGATATATAGTGAAAATAAAAAAAACTATTGTTGGATCTAAAAATGAAAGTACAAGATTTATCCACGCAAAAACTATACTCCTAAAATAGTTTCTTACCCTATATCGTAGACAAGTCTTATACGTCTATTTTTTTAATCAACGATCATATAATTTGCGATGCTACAGGCCTCATCTTTTTAACTTACGCTTATGTTTATCAGCCAAAAATTGAATTTTCAATCTTAATAAGGTTTTTTCATCGAAGTTTATTTTCCAGCCTTTGCTTTTAGATCACTAAAAATACGTATATAAAAATTTTATTTATAAATTACTTTTCGTTTACAAATATGCCGATTCGCTGGGCTCCGGTAGTGTTTTCATAAGATACAAAGAGATGAGGCGACGTGCCGTGTATTAATTGGTTGGCTTCACCTTGTGGCAGTTGGACTCTGCCTTCCAAAATACTCTACCAAAAAACAGCCCAACAAGTGGGAGAATCGGCTTTTCTCTTCCCTTCTCTTCCGCATGCTGGTCGCCGCCCTCCGCGTCCCGGCGCCGATCCCCTCGTCGCTCCCCTCGCCGGCGCGCCCTCTCCTCCGCCGCCGCAGCAGCCACCGCCTGCCCCCTCCCCCGCCCCCCGCCGCGTCAATGGCCGACGCCGGCGGCGCCACCACGAACAAGCCCGCTCCGGCCCCGGCCCCGGAGCCGCCCGAGAAGCCGCTCCCCGGCGACTGCTGCGGCAGCGGCTGCGTCCGCTGCGTCTGGGACGTCTACTACGACGAGCTCGACGCCTACAATAAGGCTCTCGCCGCCCACTCCTCGTCGGCATCCTCCGGCAGCAAGCCCGCTACCAGCGACGGCGCCAAATCATGAGGCGAATCAGGATTCAGGAGTTCTGAGGACGACTTGCAGTATGCGTCCCTTCCTCTCTTTTCATTTTTTTTCCCCTTCCCCAAATCGGGGTCTTGGTGTGGTACTCCTACCAGCTAGTAGTATTAAAATTACTCGTTTGATTATAGTGAAACATTTGTGTTATCTCATTGTGTATGCTGCAATTTGTACTAGAGTGGAATGGTTGTTGTTCCAACGAAAAATTCCCTGATTACATACAGAGAATTGTTCATGGATAGTTCTTGTGTAACAAACATTAGCATTTTGGCAGAATTCTTGTAAACAAACCCCCAACAAATCACCTATGCCATTAGAATCAGGAGAATTAGCGAGTTTAACTTACATCTTGTCCCAATATCGATGGGGACTACAAGGAGTCACAAGACTTGTTCAAGCATTGACGTAGAACTTACTGATTATTATCCTAACCACCAAAGGGATCCTCACCGTGTGAGTGCCATCCTCCCATGTCAGGCTCCCGAAGGTGTACCTCCCTTTCACCTTCAATTTGGCCTGGAATGTCACCTTGAATGGCAACTTTCTGACGGTTGAGTTGAAGGTTAGGAGCGAGGGGCTAACGGTGACGTCCACGCCTGGAGGAGCTTCTACACGAGCTCTGTACTTCGACAAAGCAGGGCCGACGTTGGTGACCGTTCTTGACACCGTCAATTTTCCCCTCAGTTCAGGGATGGTGATGGATGGAACATTCAGGTTTAACTGCGATTTTGGCGTATGTTGACATGTTGTTTGCTGTTGAGTCATGGAGCTGATGGCTGAGGTGTTGTAACCCATGGAGCAAAGGAAGCGCATGTAGTCAGATACTCCCATGTCATACACAAGACCGGGGTGCGCAGCTCTGTTTGGATTGACATGGCCACCTCCATAATCAAATGGATTTGCGTCATTGTAGGGTGCTGCCTCTGATACCATTTCAAACCCATATGCATCATGAACATTGGCTGCAAAGATGTAGAGTTGTCAGGTGAAGGCAATCTTTGGTGTGGTGAAGCAGATAAGCATTATGGTATTACCTGTCGTGACCAATGCTGATTTCACTGCAGCAGGGCTCCAATTAGGATGCATTGATTTCAGAAGAGCAACTACACCTGAAATGTGTGGGCACGACATTGAAGTCCCGGAGTCAATCTTGAAGTTAACAGATCCAATGGCCGATGATATGGCAGCAGCAGGTGACCATGCAGCCAGAATGTTTACACCTGGGGCGGCAATGTCTGGCTGCAAAAGAATTGATGGCACGGGAAGATTTGATTTTCCTGTCACATATTTGATCAAATCAAAGGATAAACTTAGTTCATCAACTAAAGGAGATGCCTTACCTTCAGGATAGAGGGGGACAAAGAACTTGGGCCCCTAGATGAGAAGTATGCAACTTCTGGGGCTACCAGCTCTCCAACAATTGTTTTTGGAAAGCTAAATTGGGCCACTGGGTTTCTGTATTTGCAAAACAACAGTTAATTGCATGAACCCATAATTTTCACACCTGGTGGATCATATCCAAGAAAGTTTTGTGTACCTCATGCTTGTCGTGTATGCAAGTATAGCTGTTCCAACTTGGTAATCCACTTGAACACAAGGAATATCAAGTGAAGATGCTATATCCTTGGTCAAGAATTGCGCAAAGATGACTCCAACACCTCGAGCCTTTTTTACAGTCTCTACGGCCACTGAGGCTGACCTCTGTGCTCTTGTTTGGAAGCAAAGCACTACATTTCCTTTTACTAGAGTAGCATTCAGAGATCCTGCAGTGCAGCTTCTGCAAAGACATCAGCCCAAATGGAAGTTGAAATTGTAGGATGGATCCAAAGTGAAGAGAATGACAAAGGTTACCTTGCATCAGTATCGTCGGCATTATCAGATGAAATGTCTTCAGCATAGACTATACGCACACTTTTTGAAGGATGCTTTCCAGAATACAGTGTTTGGCCCTGCATTATCATGCCATCAGAATAAAGAACAATGTGCCAACCATCTGCAACCATTAGTGTTTGAAGCTATAATTCAGATTACACCATACCACGTAAGTACTATTGTTGCCAAGAATGATCTTTGCAAGGAATATCCGATCAATGGTGCCCGCAGCAACAGTGACAATCCATGGGGCCGAGTTGATCACCGTCTCTGAATAAGGACCGGAGTTCCCTGCAGAACAAACGACGACGACTCCTTTTGCGACAGCATGGAAGGATCCAATTGACAAGACATCATCAACATAAGCAGGGAGAGGTGGTGCTTGTCCTAGGGACACCGAGATCACATCGACGCCATCGTGTATGGCATCGTCGAAAGCAGCAAGAATGTCTGCAGCGGTACAATCTCCAGTAGCCCAGCATACTTTGTAAACTGCCAGCCTTGCCCTCTGTGCCCCTCCCCTTGCTACACCTTTGGCAAGGCCCCTGAAGCTGGCATTGGCTACCAGAGCTCCAGCCGCTGTGGATGCCGTGTGTGTGCCATGCCCAACGGCGTCTCTTGCCGACATGAACTCATAGATATCACTGGTGTTCATCTTGCCGTACTCAGCTTCATACCCTTTGACGTACCATTTCGCGCCTATTATTTTCCTATCCTATCATGAATCTGAAGTCACCAACAGAATAACTAGTAGCAAAATTCTCTGTTCTCCTATTGCAGTGATAAAATTTCACAAGCAAAATAGCAATGTGAAACTGAAGGCTCAAGAGCAGGCCAACCTGTTGCAGTTAGAGGCATTGAACTTCTCTCCGGCGACACATTGCCCCTTCCAGCGCCGCGGGACCTCGCCGATGCCGTCGTCTCTGAAACTGGCCGACTCCGGCCAGATTCCTGCAAACCAAGAGCATCTCAATCCTCACATTGTAATGTCAGCATCAATTGCAAACTGGCAATTGCCAGTTCTACACATGATGAAGAACAGGTGAGTTCACCTGTATCTAGCACACCGATGATGGAATCCTCCCCAAATCTGCTCTCCAAGAGGATTCCACCACCTGAAGGCGACGGATTCACCCCCATGAAATCCCAGCTCCTGGTGGTGTGCAGGTCAAGAACACGATTCCGAACAACCCGCACAACTCCAGGCCAATCTTGGTGACAAAAAAAATTCAATCCAGCAGAAGAGTACAAGAAAAACAGAGTGAGAGAGATAGAGAAACATAAAATCAAATTTTGGTTTGCCAAGAACAGCAGCAAGATGGCCGGCGGGGAATGCGGCGAGCTCACCGGAGAGCCGCGCCGCCTGGCCGCCGGTGAGCACGGCGGCGAAGCCGGAGAAGCCATGCCTGTAGCTGTAGAGGATGGCATCCATGGCCGCCTGCTCGCTGCAAAGCGCAAGGCAACAGTAAACCACGCCACATCTAAGCAACCAATGCTCCAGCCATGGAGAAGGAGGAGAAGAAGAAGAAGAAGAAGAAGATTGCAACCTGCCAAGAACGGCGGCGAGCATGCCGTGGTGCGCCTCCTGGACCAGCTCCGGCCGCAGCCCGTGGTGCCTCTCCCCCATGTACACAATGTACACCTGCAGAGAGAGACGCCATGGGACCAAAACAGCGTAAGATTGACGCTGCCAGAAGCTTTCTTGGGGGGCAGAAATCATCAAAGCAAAGCTAAGAATGTCCCGGTTAATGGCTCACATTGCTGCGAGAAGATGAGCAGGGCTCGAGCAGCATGAGGAGGAAGACGATGAAGAGCAGGGGAGACATGGCCATGGCGTGTGATGAGTGAGCGTGAGCTCAAAGAGGGAAGCTGACGCTGATAAATTTTTCTCTCTGGAGTACTCGTAGAGGTGAAGTGGAGTGGTTTGAAAGGGAGGAGCTGAGCTGAGGCTGAGGGGGGTTGGTCGGTGTGCAGGAGGCGGCCTCTCTTCTCTGTCTGCTTGGACTGGATTCAAATCTCCCACTAAATACTCCTATTGGAGCATTAGAGCAAGTTTAATAGGATAGGCCACTACTAACTCCGAATCATCTATAGCCATTGTAATAGTCTATTTATACAATAGTTGCTTACTATAATATTAATATCTGGTCGCACGTGTCATACACACATTACGTTTTGGAGTCCGTGCTGCTCTTCTCTCTTTTCCTTTATCTCTTTAAAATATATTTATAGCTGGCTTATAGCTTGCTATTGTACCAACACTAGTATAGGGCAACAACAATATATACAGTAAAAGTAGTCCATATAGATGGGACCCACACATATGGACTATAACTATTGTTATCTTCACAATGTATATAGATAGCAACTAGTATTAAGAGGAGAGAGGAAATAGAGAGAAATAACATATTTTATTCTATATGGGCAACTCATATGCTTATGGGTGGCTTTTGCTATTTTCTTGCTATGGACTAGTTCCATAATGTTGTTAGATGGCTAAATAGAATATTTTATTGCTTATGAACTAGTTTTAGACTACATTGTGGATGCCCTAATTACGACTCTGCAACTGCACTGTATGCACTGTGCGGCCGTGCCCCAGTGGATTGGTTTGTTTTCTGTTTGTTCTTCGTCCTGACCTGACGCAGCACAAACGCTCACTGGTTTGTTTTTTTTTTTTTAAAAAAAAATGGGGCTGTGAGGTGCTCACTGGTGGAGTGGCGATCGGTGTCGTGCTCCCTCACCGCGCCGTATTGCTGGGTCTGCGTGCGATGCGTGTGTGAGCCGACGATGTTGCCGTTCGGCCGAACGCGTCTTGCCCGTTCTTTTGCTTGCTTTACTCGATACTCTCGTACTAGAACTACAAATCTATCTAAACATAAATTTTATCTGATTCTAAGTTCTTATATTTTAGGATGAAATGAGTATTTGCTTGGTGCTCAGCTTGCTTGGCCATGCTCTTTCTAATTTATTCACAAAATGGTTATTTGCTCAAAGTTTTCTAAATACATTTTCTAAAAGGAAATTCCTACGATAGTTTGTTTTTAAGGTATTTATTAGGCGTGTTTCTTAAAAAAATGATGATAATTAAGTAGATAATTCGTGATATAATCCGTCAGAGGCATATGGTTGTTTCGTAGCTAGCGTAGTGGTTCTTCGGATGGAAAGAGATGGCCAGTTTGTTCTGTGCGGTGTTAGGTTTGCCACCGACGCGTACAGTGACCATTAGTCACAGGGATATACTGATATGTCCTCATTTGGCTTCACAACTTCACACGGATTTTGTTAATTTGATTTCACCAGTGAGCATTATGGCGTGTGCCGAGCAGTATCTTGCTTGTAACTTGTTTCAAACTCAGGTGTTCCTTAAAAATGAATTGTTGGATCGTCCTCCAATGGGTATGTGCTCGACATCTGTCTCGAATCTCCCTGGCTCAGGCACATGGGTATGGTTATTTTTTATGCAGAAGCAGACTATCATTTCTTATGCAGAATGCAGATAATGTTATTGTCCTAATCACTTCTCATTATTTTTTTTCTATCCTGGATTAACTATTAGTACAAGTGGAAGTGGGAACCTCGTTTGTTCTCATTTGTGGACCAGAAGAAAGTGGCACAAATGGAACTGTATAAAACCGGGAAGTTCCATATAAAGGCTGTGTTTAGTTCACACTGAAGTTTGAAAGTTTGGTTGAAATTGGTACGATGTTATAGAAAAGTTGTGTGAATGAAAGGTTTGATGTAATGGAAAGTTGGAAGTTAAAAAAAAAACTTTGAAACTAAACAGGGCCAAACCCTACTCGATTCAGAATATTCTTGGTAGCTATACATAGAGCAAAAATATTATATCTTCATGCACTCATCATCTTTTACTTTGCGCTGCAATATGAAGTAGTAGTGACATCAAAATACCTTTATGGCAATCAAAAAGATTATTGATATCATATCATTTTATTAAGCTACTGATAGTGGCACTATGGACAGATGACAGGCAACTTGCGTTGACCCGGAGAGTAGACTTACTCCCTCCGTGTCAAAATAAACCAATCTCGTATTAAGATGTGACACATCTCAGTACATCGAATCTGGATATAGACCGAGTTTAGTTCTAAAATTTTTCTTCAAACTTCTAACTTTTCCATCACATCAAAACTTTTCTACACGCACAAACTTTCAACTTTTCGGTCACATAGTTCCAATTTCAACCAAAATTTCTATTTTGACATGAACTAAACACACCCATACTCTATTTTTATGAGGTTGACTTATTTTAGGATGGAGTATGATTAGTGGGCTGTTTTGTTTTCAAGTTCCAACAGGGACGCTGCTTTCTCCTTCAGTGCTTGCACTTTAAACTTTTTATGTGAGAAGCTCAGGTCACTTTAATGGCGTCTGGTGTTGAGAGGTAGCAGTAGCATAGCAATAGCACCGTTGTTTGCAGCTTGCGTGGGTCCAGCAGAGCAGCTGCCATGAACCGGAGGACGAGATCACCACCTCACAATTTGGAAGGCCTGCAGCTTTGCATGGGGGCCGGGAAAAAGGCAAATAATTCCAACTTTTCGGCAAATCATTCGGAAAAGGCAGCGACCAAATTTGAAAACAGCACAGCAAACTGCTTAGGTTAAGTCAGAAATGTTCTTTTAGCAGTAGTCAATGCCTAGTAGCTGGTCAGACTTTAAATCTACCCTTAAATATTACACATGCGAATGCGCTTTTAATACTATCAATATTACTACATCCGTCCTAAAATATAAGTATTTTTAGCTATAAATCTAGACACGGGTAGTACACATGTGGATGTGCCTTTAATACTATACTCACCTCTTTACTCCGTCTCAAACAAGTGCTTGTCCATTTAAAAGTTGATTTTTTTCAAGAACAGATGAAGTACTACACTAATAAGTTCTATTGATATTTGTCCGTTTAAGCATATATGCATGTGATGTGTGTATTTTATGTAATTTTGAAAAAAAAATTATATGTTTATTGATGTGTTCAATACTCATTTGAAATGCAGGAATTAATTTAACTCCAATGAAATTCTAGCAAAAAATTCTTTGTTCCGAAGGAGCTCTCAAGGTTGGGTAGGGGGCACTACTGCCGCTGAGTATTCCTCGAATGCTTCGTGAAATCTCTCTCGCATCATATTAGTGCTCCACTTGGAGCACATGATTTTTTACAAGAATTTCACCGGAATCTATACGGAATTTAAGAAAAAAAAAACTATAAAAACTTGGCGTTTTGAGTACTCCAGGCTAGCTAGAGTGCCGTTTGATCGGCAGGGAGAAGTGGGGGAGGTGCGACAGTGTGCTGCAGTAGGTACGACATTTACTCGGTACATTTGCTTTACATGCGATTGACGTGACGTCGACTTCACCATTCAATCATCGTCACCGTAAAGTTTGAACTCGGCTCGGCGACCATACGGATCACAACACAACGCCATCACGTGTGCTCCAATCAAATCTTTCCTCCTCATGCCTCTGCACAAGTGCAGACTGCTGTTCAATGTTCATCTCTGAAAGCATTCGAGGAGTAACTCAAGAGTCAGAAGTGCAGAACAACGGCAAGTATACAGTGTCAGGACTACAAGTACCTGCTACTCCATTCGTCCTTAAAAAAATAATAAATAATAGGTTTTCGTATCTAACGTTTGACTGTTCATCTTAATATAAATTTTTTTTATAATTATTATTTTCATTGTTGTTAGATGATAAAACATGACTAATATTTTATACGTGACTTATCTTTTTAATTTTTTCAAATAAGACGGATGGTCAAACGTTGGACACGGAAACCCAGTGTCTGTCTTTTTTTTTTTTTTGGGACGGAAGGAGTAGTAAAGGAGTAGTATTTAGTACGAGAGAGCAAAAGAACAGATTAACATACTCCTAATACTATTATGGCTTTTCCTGCATGGTGAAAACGATAACCATATGCTACTCTGTACGATAATAAGCGCACTATTGGATAGCACTCTTCTACTTATATCTATCAACCTTTTGCCCTCAAGGAGTTAACAGTTGACATCATTCAACATTTCACCGACCAGATCCCATTTTTGCTTCAATGAAGCAGGAAGGCTGTCGCATGTACAACATTAGTTTGTATCTGGCCATAACATTACAAAAACGATGCAAGTACAATGGAAAGAATTAAGAGCATCCAAGAAACCGTCCAATTTTGCTCAATGTGGCTCGGGCCACTCCTCAATAGGGATGTGGTTATTGTAATTTGTAAGGATATGGCGTCAGGTAGTCTTCTGTATCTCATGTCGGTAGCAATTTTCTTCAGATCTCCAACTGAACAACGACGGGCAAGCAGCATAGTTCCTATTTAGGTGGTCGACGGTCCGGGTAAAGTATGTCTGCGACGTTTTCCTTGATGTAAATAGCTGTCTTGTTTAGATTCTTTGCAACGCCTGAAGCGACCAATCCCGCGCTTTTCCTAAACCTGCAGCAGCCTCGTACTACATCAGTAAGACAATCACAAGAAAGGGACAGGAAGGGGAAATCTGAAAGCTAGCTTTCCTCGCATAGAAATCCTGTCCTGTAAGTTGCCCGGGTCTTTGTCCTTGTTGCCGAGAGCTGGTGGCCGCTGTAATAAGAAACGCAAATGTATTAAACATCAATCTAAACAATGAAGAAATGGTACACCCAAAGAGATGGGTCTTATTGTTGTAGAAGAACATTGGCCAACAAAACTGAACCAAACTCTCAACATGACTGATAATTTGACTTAACACTCCATTTTTCCCAGCTAATACCATACTATTAGCAAATATTTCTATAGCTGTCTGTGAACAAAAGAACAAGTTTGTACATGACTGAAACATATGGTTAAATGGAAATACCCAAGCTAAAGTTTACAGAAATGTGTAATTGCCACCGTCAAATGCACATGACCTACCTATGGACTTAATACTGAGAAAATGGAGCTTCAACCCACCTTTTGGTACTTACTACGTCCATCCCAAAATATAACAACCTTTGGCTATGAATCTGGACACACATAGCCAAAGTTACTTATATTTTGGGACGGAGGGAGTATTAAGTTGTAACATATTGACAGAGTTTTAAAAAGTTTGATCATTCATAAATCATTTGAAAACAAAACTCCACAATTACCTGTACCAAGTCATCATAGAGTTTTATTCAACTGTAGACCAAATATGAAGAAGTTGTGGCATCAAGAGAAATACTTTAGCATACCTTCCTTTCTATAAGAGGCAGTAGCAGGCTCATTATTTGGTGATTTCTTCTCAACCAATCTGCTGTCCACCAATAGCTGTAGTGACATTTTTCATTGTCATTAGACAGAAGCAAAGCACAAAGGCTAGCACAAAAAAGATTTATAATGACTATAAAATATACACTTATACATGTATGTGTTTTCAATAAAAAACAGAAACTATTAAGAGGCATAAGTTTCATTCATGTTGTTCTCAGAGAGCAGTGTCAATAAGTGAACAGAGTCCAACCACCAAGCAGTCAGAAAAAGAACAAAATTACCAACCATTCTTCAGGTTGCACAAATGTGGTCCCACCTCAACCTTATAGGTTGATGATGCCAACCAATATCCTACACATGGAAATGCAAGAAAAGAAAATCCTTCTGGATGCTTATGAATGAAACTAGTGCTCAATTGCAGGATCATATTGTAGTTTACATAAAGAATCTTTGATACATGTAGATACCAAAATATGCCTAGCATGATTACTTCCAGTATTACGCAATCAGATGTTTTACGTGTGAAATGTCGTATTATAGGTTTATGTAAAGAAGCTTTGATACACGAAAATCGTAAGATAGGTCTATCACATTTAGTTACAGTGCTTAGGCAAACATAGATTTTTGTCTGAAATAAAAAAAATGTTGAGATTTGATATAAGTCTTAAAACTAATGCAAAGATCATGGAAGATAGTATGATCAACATCTACTACTCTAATTCCTTCTTGTAGGAGATTCCTATGATCACGTGTTTTGTGATTCACTACCTACATAATAAGTCATTGCCTCATTGGCATTAATATGTTTGTGATTACCAATCAACATCAATGGAGAGAACTAAGGATTTCATACTGCAGCTACGAGATGGAAACCAACCTCATATCAACATCGACGAAAAGAATTGAGATTCCATACTGTAATTAATAACTACGAGATGGAAACCAACCTCAAGCCCCTGGCAATATGGCAACAACGTCTTGCCCTCCTTCTCGCCGCTTCGGCCGTCTTTGTTATCCACCACAAACATGGAGTAACCAGCGCAGGCGTACTTGAACTGCCTCAAATCATGCCCCTGCGCCGCCGCCTCTTCTCTGGGCTCGTCCACCACGTAGCTTGGGACTGGAGCACCGAACCAAACAACAACAGTTTCGTGAGATTCTCCGATCAATCTGAACCCGAACCACCAGAAATCGATAGAGACAATTTTTGCCGATGGATTGAAAACCCGCACGCCGATCGATCGCGCGCTGCGATTTTTTTTTTTTGGGGGGGGGGGGGGGGAGATTAGGGTTCGTTTCGTTTTACCTTGGGGGATGGAGCGCGGGATCCCCACGCAGACGGGGTTGAATCCGCGGGATCTGAGCATGGACGAGTAGTAGAGGCAGCCCTTGCAGGATTTCCCCCTCCTCGGAAGCGCCGTGCCCGATGGTTTTCCGGCCGCCGCCGCCGCCGCGCCACCGCCGGCCGCCGGCGATTCCTCCCCCATATCGCGCTCTCTTTTCCTCTCTCCTCTCCTCTCCTCTCGACTCCCCGTGACGAAGAGATTTCGTCGTCAAATTTTGTCCTCCCCTGCGCTGGCTGACATGTGGGCCCGCCAACCTCGGCGATTGGGTTCCCGAATCGTACCCGCCGACTAGAGGGCCCACCAGTCAGGTCAGAGGATCAAGACAATTCACGAGTAGTTACGTTACTTCTTTGGATTTTTAAAATTTTGATTTGTACTGTAGGATTAATTTCAGGTTGCCGTGATACTTGTCACAATTGGGCTGTGTTTAGTTCACACCAAAATTAGAAGTTTGGTTAAAATTGAAACGATGTAACGAAAAAGTTAGAAATTTATGTGTATAGAAAAGTTTTGATGTGATAAAAAAGTTGAAAGCTTTTAGAATTATTTTAGTACTAAACACGGCGTTGGTTTCAATTGATCGAATCGGTACGAATAATTCATAAAAAAAAATCAAATGGTTGTTACCAATTCTCAATTCTGGCAAAAGTCGAATTATGGTTTCCATTTATACTCCTTAACAAGACCATGTACATACACAGAAGTGAAAATTATATCAGAATCAAGACCTGATAAACAGCACCAAAAAAAAATCTGAAACGCCAGGTTGCAAGCAGAACAAACAGAAGATTTGAAATGGCCTACAATCCCAGAACTGATACAAGAATCTCAATACAGAAAAGAAGCAGGACAATCAACAGGCTACATGAGACAGAATTACTGTGTACAACAAGCATACATCCAGCACAGTAAAAGGTTGGAGCATATCACCAGGGGGGGTGCTTTAGTACCCATTTCCTACCTGACACCAGGATTTATTCAGAATGTATTACTGCTTGTTCCGAAGCAAGAAACAGAAGGGTAGGATGCACATGATTTATAACTACAACTGTTCTACATGACAATTCTGAGGAGATGCAACTCGCTACAATGCACCAAGTTCAGAAACATGCATATGTGATATGGATGTCTACTGAGGAACTACAACAAAAGGGAGGATACAACAGATGAAACTGAGAACGGATCTACTGCCTCTCTCTTGATTGTGACCTAGTATCAGTCAGCCTGTCATCATGCCTGTCACTATCCCTGCCGTTGTGCCTGTCATCACGCCTCTCGTTGCCTGACGATTGCCGATCAAACTGCCGATCAGTCCTCTCGTTTTGCCTGTCGTACCGTCTCTCGTTACCTGAATTTTGCCTATCGAAGTGCCGACTGTTTCTTGATGGATATCCATCATTCGGTATTGAATGGGAAAAGTTGCAGTGCTCACCATTCTTGCAGTATCCCTTGTCGAGTATAGAATAGCAGACTCCCCTTTTAGGCCTCCACGACCCTCCATCACCACCTGACTGCGACCTCCAAGACCTCCCACCAGAGTCACCGCCATTAAAATCACCACCATGCCCAGAATGCCTGCCTCCATTGTCTCGCTGCTGGTTATTCCAATTTGGGTTCCCGCTTGGTGAATTCCAGTTCATATTGTTATTATCTTGGCCTGTCCCATTTCCAGTACTGGGACCTGGATTAACCTGCATGGGAGCACCCCATCCAACATTTTGGTTCATGTTTCCAACTTGGCCCCCCCAACCAGGATAAGAATTTGTATTTCCTTGTGCAATGGCCCCCCATGGAGCCATTGCAACTCCTTGCATCTGAGTTCCCACCATTGCTGCTGCATTTGGAGTGCCTTGGCCTTGAGTTGCCCACATCATATTCATATTGGTGTTTCCAGGATTTGGTGTAACCCAGCCCATGTTTGGAACTGCATTTGGCTGTGCTTGCATAGCCAAACCCATGTTGTAGCCTGTGGCACTTTGTGCTGTTCCTCCCCAAGACATGTTCATGTTGTTCTGTCCAACCATTCCCCAGCCCATGTTTGCATTACCCTGGAGAGTAGCTCCCCAGGTCATATTTCCAGCCGCCTGAGGCTGAGATTGGCCAGATGTGCTTGCCAATTGTGCCCAAGCAGTGTTTTGATTATCACCACCAGCCATGGCTGTGGACGAGGGCTGCACTGCTTCAGCAGATGGTGTTGATATCAGCTGAGATGGCTTTACCGAGTTGGAAGCATCAGTTTGTAACTGGTTCCTTGCATCTGCAGGTAATGCCATCAGTTTCATTAGGTATTTAAACCATAATTTTCATTGAACAAAAGTTGCTTCGGGATTAAAAGCTTCCTTTGTGAAACAACAGATGCTAATACAGTAAAAGAGAAGACAATGGCATAAACAATGAACAAGCATTGAGCAATACCTTCAAGTTGTTGAGTATTTGATTGCACCCCTCCAGGTTGTGCACCAGATAGTCCAAGATCTGTGAAGAACCAAAAAAGAATGTTTAGGCCATATTGAAATACTTCTTCGCGGCGATTTTATAATTCTCAGCCTATTACCATTCATTAAAGAAACGGTGTACATTTTTTTTATATATTAAGTATTTGTTTCCTCAATACATTGAACGATATAAACCTTCGCAAAGAGCCTACCTTCACCCGATGACCTCATCCTTTCACGCGAAGCATCTTCCCCCAACTTTGAATCGTTTCCATCAGCTAATCTGCCATCACTTTGTGATAAAAAAGATGCTATCTGGTTCTGGGACTGCAACTGTGAATTAACTACTTCTGCACTCACTGTCGCAGGACCTGGTACAGGAGTTAGCTGACCTGCACTTCCTAAAGCTGCATTTTGTCCAACTACAAAGCTACCCATGGCAGGCTGAGAAAGTGTCACAGGATTTATTGCAGTTCCAAACTGACTTGAGGCGTTCCAACTTCCACTAAGAGATTGTTGGACTGCATACGCTGCTTGAGAGTTTTGCATTCCATAATAACCTTGTGTACTAGATTGGATAGTGGCTGGTCCAAGATTTGCCGCATCGTTTCCCTGACCAGCCCTTCCTGAGAAAGACTGTGTGCTACTTAGAACTGCTGATTTTGAAGGTTGTTCTCCAGCTCTTGTTCCTTCCTCAAGAAGGGAATCATTACGGGGCCTACCATCAACATCTGAACTGCTTCCAACTGGCGGTTCCCACGGCGGTAGGTCTTTCTCAAACCTCCCGAGCAAAGCATCTGTCAATAATATTGAATCATCTTGCTTCTCAGTAGACTTCCATATTTTTAAATTCGGAGGGAAGTACCCACTGCCATTCCATTTCCGCAACTGCACTATTGAGAAAGGACCCTGGATTTTACCGGTAGGATCCATGTACTGCCAGATTTTTTCAGACTCATTAATAACTGACTGTGATGCATGTGTTCCCCCTGACCCTATATTGGCTCCTAAAGTTTCAGATGAAACACCAGATAGACCATGTGGAGCATTACCTGCAGTAGCTCCCACTTTAACTGCGTGTGTACCGATGTTTGGGCTATCTGATTTACTTGTGTAACCAGCACTTTCACCGTGAGACGAAAATGCAGGTCTGCGTCCAAGGGGTGACTCGATATGTGTACTGGATTCGCCCCATGTGTTTCGATTAGACTCCCAGTTGGTTTTTAAATCTCTTTGTGCAGGACTCCTACCCTCTCCTTTACCTGGAGATACAGGATTATTATCTTTCTTAGAGAAAGATCCTCTTGACTTATTGAAGCTGCCTGTACAATAGAAAAAAGGGAGTGATGTCAGATGAGCACGCATGGATCGAAAATGAATATTATGGGGCGGAAGCAAAATAAAATCAAGTACTTCTTCCAGTATCCTGCTCTTGTTCCTCTGGAGATTCATAATCTGGATCCATGGTATGGTCAGCATGAACTTCAGGTTCTTCATTCAGCCTACGAACACGCTCTTCAGGGGTACTTAGAAGCTTCAGCTTCTCTACACATTCTCTAAGCGTAAATACTGGTTAAGACAAACAAGCTAAATTTTCATTTAACAAGGACTTGTCCACATAGATATAGGCCATTGCAAAATTAATTAAGTAATAATATGCATAAAAGTGCATGAACGAGTTTTATACAAAAATAATGCCACTGGATTTGTGAATACTTGCGTAATATAATATACTTATTTTTTGCCAGCACGATATGATTAAAATCCCATAGTGAAGACTTAAAGAAATATAAGGATAAATAAATATTGATAGATATAAAAGAATGACATGAAGAAGGATATTCTTTTCTACGGCCCATATCGCTTGCACGGTCACGAAGATGCCCAAGCCGCATTTTTTCACTTTCAATCCACTGCAATTTTTGCAATAGGCAATAATGAATTAAGAAATGATAGATGTACTATATAGAAAACTCTGAGCATCCATTCAGTGCTAATTGCTTACATCGTTGACTTTGAGAGATTGTAGAACCTTTGCTTTCTCATAAACCTCTCCCTGAATGGTAAGATAGTTTAGAAACAGCGAAACTGTGCACATATGCCAAAAAAACTGCACATATAACGTTGTGTAATAATAACTAATAACATTACCACTGTCAGCCTTGGAATGAATCCACACTTTATGCTTTGCCGTAAGCGTTTGCATTCCTCCTAGAACAAGAAAAGCAACAGTGAATCAGGAAATGAACATCATGTGAACAAAAGAAAGCAGCAGATTTGCTTGTTGAGAGAATGCTTGTACACATAATCTAAAGTAACATGATCAGGTTGTGTCAAATTTATTACTAACAGTATACAAAGTGAAAGGAAATAAAACTATAGACACAGTTAGAAAAATATAAGCTTGCAAGTGTTAACTCTACCAAGTTGCGGTAAACAGTAAGCAAACAGTAAAAGTGCCTGTGCTGAAAATGATAATACCTCAGTGAACTCTTGGTTTGAGGTTATATCAATAGTAATAACCTCTCTCTTGTCTAAGTTTAGAATCTCCAGTGTTATATCAGTCGACTTTTTCCCACATTTATATTGTTCTGGCGCTATTCCTGTGCCTGCACACAGATATGGGAAAGTCAGCATCATGAAGCTAAAACCAGCCAGATTAGCTTGAAAGTGTCTTATCTTACCAACAATTTGCACGAGCCGGTAGATGTCTTGCCTTTGACCTGTTCCAGATATTCTTATTCTCACAAATGACCCAAGAACTTTCTCATCAAATGTGTCAACTTCACTGATCAATTCTTCTAACAGGTTGCGACGCAGGTACATTAAACTGATGTTATGGTTATCTATTGCTGCGTAGTCGTCAAGGTTTGTTTGCAGAGCTTTCTGGTCATACTTGCGAGATTTTTTCCTTTTTTCTGAGCTCATCACCATTGATGCTTCACTGTTGCCATCAGCATCCAGACTAGGATCAGGGTCTACAACACCACCATGGTTGTCATCAATTTCAACTGGCGAGACCTCGCTCATGAGGAAATGGGATTCAAGAAGCTTCAGCATCTCAAAATGACCAACACGTGCTTTCCCAAAAAGGCTTTTGAGCATAGAATCACAAATTATCTGACTTTTCCTGCGAGGATCCCGGAGGTTTTCACGTTTAATATAATCAAGTAAAAGGGATTGGACTTCAAATTGGGACAGCACAGATTTGTCACCATTTTTCATATTTGCTACAAAATCCAAGAGCTCCTTCGAAGCCCAACTGGTCTCTTCAGCTGACGATGTAGATGTCCCTACGCTTTCAGATTCTCTTGGTCGATGGTCACTGCTCAAAGCACGCTTGGACAATTTTCTAACCTTTCTCCCTGTAGAACTTTTAGTATCACGGCCACCTGTCAGGCCTCGCTTTGTAGATTTCCTAGTGCTATCTTTAACTACAGAACTGTCATCGTTAGCAGCTTGCTTTGATCGCTTCCTTCCTTTCCTCTTTGAATTGCCTTCTAGATGGCGCACAGATGAGCTGTCTGAATTACCCTCTTCTTCATCATTTGTATCATGTGGTTCACTGAGATCATTGTCACGAATAACCAAAGAAGAACCATTCTTTTGAGACTTGGCTGCTGATATTTCTTCAAACGTCAATGGTAATTTTGTTTTCAAATTCAACCAATAATCCTTGAACAAATACCACCAGCTTGTTTTGTCGTCAAAATCTACATCCTGTTAAGCAAATTTGTACAAGTATACTAGGTTAACACTTTGGCAAGGTATGGAGCAAAGCACAACGGGAAATGAGAAGACAAATTAAGAATATTGATGTTGATTAATAAGTAAGTGAGTACTGAAATCAGTACAACTCTGTATCTCAATAATGATCATAGGTGTGTACAACATAGACATAGCGCATAGAAGGTGTTGGTGGAAGTTATGGAAATGCCATTTCGTGAAAACAATTTAGCAAGCTGCAATGCTTGGACAACATCATTCAGAAAATAGTTCTTGTTACACCTTTTGAATCCTGCAGGCAGCAGGTTGGTTAGCTCATTTGAGTTTACTAATCAAATAGACAAATCAAGTGCAAATTAACAGTTCCAAGATACATAGGGCCTACATCTTAACAAAATGATTATTGAGCATGAATATCTCGAAAACTTGTTACGCCTTGCCCTGTTCTTTTCTTATGAATTAAGATATTACCTCGATTTCCGTTAGCACGCTTTTCAAACTACTGAACGGTATGTTCCATGCGAAAACTTTCTATATGGAAGTTGCTTTAAAATATCACATATATCCATTTGTCAAGTTTGTAATAATTAAAACTTAATTAATCATGTGCTAATAGTTATCTCGTTTTACGTGCACCAACTTTATCTTCATCTTCATGAGTTTCAAACACCACCTAAGTTTCTTAGATGAGAGAGAATGACAAAAGGATAAAATGGTGTCACAAATGATATACAGAAACTAAAAAATGATGAAAAGATCAAAGATACTGGATGATACTATAGAAATACAATAGATAGATTAAGGTAAGCCAAGAAACAGAGGAAATATTACCATTTGCTCAGTAGCCTCCTCCTTGTTCTCTATCAACATCACAGTATTCATGCATGTCTCACAGAAGCCTTTGTTTCCCCTAACAGAGACGAATTTTGTCTCTTTTATGCATTTTTTGCATAAGGAATAGGTACATGTGTAACACATATGGAAGGCAGGTTTCTGGCAGTTGCTACAAATATGCCACCCTGGGAAAATGATGCAGATTGAACAAAATCAAAAAAAAAAGGAAGATATTATCTGTGGACTAAGCACAAATCTCATCATTATCAGAGAAACAGTCCAGCATCATTTATCTCCAGCAATTTTTACTCAGTATTACACAGATTTCACAAGCTTCAGTTTTCAAAGTAAAGAACAATAAACAAATAAATATGATATAACAGGACAAAATGGAAAAAAATTTAAATCAGCTATTATATTTATATTTTACCGGCATCCCACTATCTGCATGTAAAAAGAGTAGGTTCAATGCAAATATGACCCATAAAAATCATGGATTTTGATGAAATGAAGTATGAATACTCATATCCACATTCCAAAGTAAACCATCTAAGTAACTAAGCAAGGGCACTGCGAGTTGTTCAGACTAAGTCCCACATACCACAATTCCAACGACCCTTCGATTTGAAGAACTCGTCATCCCGATTAACACAAGAAGGGTGGTAAGCCTTAGGACAACCCCTGAGTATGAGGACATAGAAATAACCATTAATAATTGTAACATAGCAATATACTTTGGGATATGGAAAGAATGAAATTCCATGTCATTAACGAACCTACGATCACACACAACAAGGTCACCACCATCAAAGCAAATGAAGCAAACTTCCTCATCATCCTTCTTCCTAACAGGTGGTTTCACCACAACCTGAGCCTTGGAAGATGCACGACCTCGCTTCCGGCGCCCCCCGCCTTTCCTTGTCAATGGTGGAGGCACGTCATCATCATCCTCGTCCTCATCTATCTGCACTGCATCTTCTTCAGGGATATCCTCACCAACTGTGTCAGCCACAGCTTCTTCTGAAACACCATCATCATCTTCAACAACATTTTCATCAGCCTTGCCATCTTCATCTTCAGCTCCAGTTGTGGTAACCGCATCCATCTGCATGCCCTCCTCATCTGCACTATTGTTACCAGCTGGGGCAGCTTCTTTTTCCGCCTTATCATCTCCAGTCAGGCCTATAGTTTCCAGTTCTTCTGTACCATCAACAGCATATTCAACAACATTTTGAGCAGCCTCATCATCTTCTTCACCCTCACCTCTAGTTGTGTTTAGCACATTCATCTGAATGCCCTCTTCATCTGCGCCATCATCACCAGCTGCAGCAGCCTCATTTTCCGCACTATTATCTCTACTAATGGCAACTACATTCACTTCCGGAACACCATCAGCATTGTCAGCCTTGCCATTTTCCACATCCTTATCTCCGGCGGTAATGACCCCATCCATCTTCAAGTCCTCATCATCTGCACCACCAGCAGCTGCGGCAGCAGCCTCATTTGCCACATTGTCATCACCAGACAGGCCAACTGTACCCAATCGCATGTCTTCATCTGTCTCATCAAGACCAGCTGCACCAACCACTTCCTCGTTGCGATCACTGGAGCTGGAAACTGCATCCACCTTCCTGCCCTCGTCATCTGTGGCCGCATCACAGGCTATTGTAACCATTTCCTTAATGTCCTCTCCCGGTTGGACAAGTATATCCATCCCTGTGCCTTCCTCCGAGACACTATCACTAGCTTTGACAAGATCTATGCTCGCATCATTCAGCACAGTTGAGGAAACTACATCTATAAGCGCCCCCTCATCCTGCGCATTCTTGTCCGTCTGAGGACCATCATCAAAGCTAGCCACACCTCCAACGGGGAGCGTATTCATAACATCATCAATCAAGGAAGCACCCCCCTCATCCACAGCGGCACTAGTATCATCCAAACGCACCTGAACACGAGCATCTTCCTCAGGCTCATTACCTTCATTGCAAGCACCGCCGCCGCTAGTATCCTGACCATCTTGCTCAACAAAGCTATCGCCATCGCCACCTAATACGGACACCATAGCCGTACCATCGTCAATCTGCGAAGCACGCACCTCCGTGGGATCATCCACTGCAACCCTAGTTTCATCCAAGTGCACTCCAGCACCACCACCTTCTTCCTTGGTCTCATCAGCCTTGCCAACATCAGCCAAACCAGGGTCTTCCGCAACTCCCACAGTCTCTTCTTCAGCTATATGGTCCATATCCTCACGACCAAGGGACAGACCAAACGTAGGGCATGGGGGTTCGGCTCAACCCCCCAAAAAGCTCGTCGGCGACGGAGAGGCCCGACGAGGAGGGGTGCCCTCGAGTCGGCGGGGACGCCGAGCGGAGCGGAGTGTGCGGCAGCGCGAATCCTGGAGCCGAGCGGACCTCGCGGGCTGGCGCCTAGTACGGCGGCGCGGGGCGGCGCGGCGTGACGGCGACCTGCCGCTAGGGGGGGAGGTTCGCCGGCGGCGGGATGGCGGCGCCGGCGAGGTCGCGAACGGGCGGCGGCTAGGGCTAGGTCGCGACGAGCCGCGCTATGGGGAATTGAGGACCGACGGGTTGAGGTAGGGGTAGGATGATGTGGTCTAGTTGGGCCGGGCCCTGACACCATCTCTAGCCCACCACCGACGAAGAAAAGTTGGGCCCGATGTTTAGTTGGGCCAGGCCTCATTCCATGTCATCACCGAAGAAGAAAGATGGACCACGATAAACTGGCCCAATGTTCCTTTGAATATCAGTTCTGGCCCATTAACTTATATAGGCCCAATGTGCCTTCGAATCGACATCCCCCGGTAGTGGAGTTGAGAGTTTCAGACAAGCAAAGCGCCGTGACTGACTGACTGTCAAAGCTACTCCATACCACATAAAAAAAAAGAACTCAACGAACGGAGTGTTATGAGTCGACATTGAAACACCTACAATGATTTCAATCTCAATATATGTTAAAATATTTTTTTGGAGATGTTCAAAAAAATAATATGCATATGTGTCTTTACATATGAGTGTGTGTACGTGTATATAAGTGTGTGTTTCTGTACTAAATTTTGAGAGAGAGAAAACTAAATTTGGCGCCACATTATGCAGCTCTCAAACAAAGACTACGTGCACATTATTGCCCAAGGCTACCAGCAGGAGCAAGGAAGACGGGGACATCAGAGCTCGGATCGACCAGACGTTGATCTACCGGACCTGATATTTCCTTGTCTGAAAAATCGCTGTCAAGCAGGCTCATGAGCCGACTTGTCTTCTCTGATCCCAATTCGCAGCTACCGATACCAAGTTACCAACACAGGAGCACACTACTTCTTCTGTCTCAAAATGTTGTATTTAGGATGAGATTTAGATCTATCCTAAACAAATTCTGTCCAGATTTTTTTAGAATATGTAAAATTCTTCCTCCGTTTTATATTGTAAGACTTTCTAATATTATCCATATTCATATGTATCTAGATTCATTAGCATCTATATTAATGTAGTTAATGCTAGAAAGATTTACATTGTAAAACGGAGGAAATAAATTGCAACATTTTCTGACGGAGAAAGCATATCTACACGATATCGTTGCAGCTCACAATTATCTGAATCATCAATTCTCGAGGTGGAGAAAAATCCAAATCCTTTTGCTTGAAGTAGTATGTATCACTACGTCTTCCTCGCCGCCGTTGCGCTCTTCGCCGTCGTCGGCTACGGGGTCAAGAACAGTCGCCGTCGGTTCCGTTTCTCGGCCACCTGCATCTCTTGGGCCCGCTCCGGCACCGCTCGTTGCACGAGCTGCACCTCCGGTACGGCACCGACGGCGGCCTGCTCCTCCTCCTGCTCCGCCTGCAGCTCGGGCGGCGGCGGACGCTGGTCGTGTCCACGGCGGCCGCGGCGGCGGATTTGTAACAACGGTGCTTCAACGACAACAATTCCAACAATTTTGTGGTCATTTGTTCGTGTTCCATCCATCGACAAATTTGCTGACAATGAGGTCAGATACAACAATGGAGTAGGAGTACATTGCACCACTCTGATCAGAGCAGATGAGAAACACTCGTAGCAGCATACTACTACGACTGATCCCCGTGTCACTGACCAGATACAATGCATCTACGACTAGCAGCACGGACGACGAGCCCACGACAACAAACTATCTTTTCGCGTAGGCTTACATTTATCAGTCAAATTTTTAATTTTTAACTTTAAATTTGAAACCGATTTTAAAGATTTTTCATCGAAGCTTATTTTTCCGCCTTTATTTTTAGAAAAATTGGAACCATGCCATTATAATATTGTAAAAATTAAGATATACCATCTTGACCCACATGTTATTGACTCATGTGGGTCCTACATGTCATTGAGATACCGATGGCATATTTCAAACTTCACAAAATTATAATGACATGGTTCCAATTTACCTTTCTTTTAATTGTTAAGAACACGTATATAAAAGTTTTATCGGAGTTGCTAGAAATATGGCGCCATATGCTACAGTCGATTTTTTTCAGCCACTTACACAGTAGTTACACCTCATTTACACCCCACTTACATATGTAATTTTCGAATTTACATATGTAATTTTAGTGCTTACATATGTAATTTTGAGACTTACATTATAAATACACTAAAATTACATATGTAATTTAGGGACTTACAATGTAAATACATGCCGACTATTTTTTGATGAAAAATATAGCGTAATAAATATAGCTATACCCAAGTTTTATTCACCAATTACATTTCGTTTGTAAATATGTCTAGGCAAGCGGCGCCTTGCGCTTGGGGACAAGGCGGAGCGGGACGCGCAGCGGCGTGGTCAGCCCGGGCGCCTCGCTCATGTCCAGCTCCGCCGCGCGCATGCCGGCGGGGAGCTCCCAGTCGAAGTGGTGCAGGAGGGCGACCAGCGCCATCTCCAGCACCGGCACGGCGAAGCTGATGCCGGGGCAGATCCGCCGGCCGGCGCCGAACGGGACGAGCTGGTAGTCGTTCCCCCGGAAGTCCACCGCCGGTCCGCCGGCCAAGAACCGCTCCGGCCGGAACTCCTCCGGCGAGCCCCACGCCGCGGGGTCCCTCCCGATCGCCCACGCGTTGACGAACAGCGACGTCCTCGCCGGGATCTCGTACCCCTGCACGGCCGCCGCCGCCGTCGACTCGTGCGGGACGAGGATCGGGGCCGGCGGGTGCAGCCGGAGCACCTCCTTCACCACCGCCTTCATGTACTCCATGCCGCCCACCTCCGCCTCCGTGATGGCCGGCTTCCCGCCGGTCGCTCGAGCGATCTCTTCCTGCAGCTTCGCCATCACCCGCGGGTTCGCCGCGAGCTCCGCCATGGTCCATTCCAGCGTCACCGACGTCGTCTCGGTTGCGGCGGCGATCAAATCCTGCAGAATTTTAAACGCAAGAATCGAGAGATTAATTTGATGAAAATTTGTTGAGAGAGTAGTTTGGATGAGAATGATTTGATAGCTTAGATCATCACCACGACGCGGCTCTTGACGTGAGTGTCCGTGAGCTCGGTGTCTTCTTCTTTCAGACGCAGCAAGACGTCTATGAAATCCTCCTCCCCTGCTCCGATGTCCTCTCGCTTCTTCTTCTTCTTCTCCGCGTGCTCCGCCATTATCGGCGAGAGGAACTTGTCCCACTCCTCCATCGAGGCGTCATACTGCTTCTCGAGCCCCGTAGCCCACCTCACCGCCTTCGCCGCCATGCCCGGCAGCAGGTCGTCGGCCTGGACCCCGGCCACCAGCGACGTGGCGTTCCCGAGCAGCTGCTTCAGCTTCTCCGCCGTCGTGCCCGCGGCGCCGGTCGCCGCGCGCGTCACCACCGCGTTGGTATAGCTGTACAGGAGGTCCCTCAGCTCCACGGCGCCCCCGTCCGCCGCGGCATCGGCGGCGCGGCGGGTCGCGGCGACGAGCGCCGCCGCCTCGGCGGCCCGCACGGGCGCGAACGCCTCGACGCGCCGCGGCGAGAGGGCGTGGACGACGGCCGTCTTCTTCGCCCGGCGCCACTGCTCCCCGAACGGCGCGAAGGTGATGTTCTTGGAGCCGTACGACAGCTTGTGCGCCGCCGCGACGAGCGGGCGGGAGGCGAAGGCGAGGTCGTGGTTCCTGTACAGGTCCGCCGCGGCGGCCGCCGTGGACACGACCAGCGTCCGGCGCCGCCCGAGCTGCAGGAGGAGCAGGCCGCCGTCGGTGCCGTACCGGAGGTGCAGCTCGTGCAACGAGCGGTGCAGGAGCGGGCCCAAGAGATGCAGGTGGCCGAGAAACGGGACCGACGGCGGCGATGGCGGGAGCTTGGCGCTTCGACGGCGTCGGTTCTTGACCCCGTAGCCGACGACGGCGAGGAGCGCAACGGCGGCGAGGAAGACGTAGTGGTACATCCTAATCCTACTCCAAGAAAAAAGATAGGAATTTTCTCCACCGCGATAATTGATGAGTCACTGGTTGTTGTATAAATATGGAGTATAATTAATAGTACTAAATTTCATCTAATTAAGGTAGTCTACCTCTCCTTTCCAAAAAGAAAAAGACATAATCCTTAATATGAATCTGATCACATACGTGTCTAGATTCGTAGCAAGAATCTGTCTTTTTTAGATTGAGTTATACTCTCTCCGTTCCAAAATAAGTATAATTTTACACGGTTCATATCCAATGTTTAACCGTTCGTCTTATTTAATTTTTTTATGATTAGTTTTTTTGTTGTTATTAGATGATAAAATATAAATAGTAGTTTATACGTGACTATTTGTTTTTAAAATTTTCTCATAAAATTTTTAAATAAAAATTTTAAATAAGATAACGGTTAAATGTTGAACACAATCTATTATATTATTAAAGGAATAGAAAAAGGAGCCTCCACGTTTGCTCTCATAGCCTAGAAATTCTCACATTAATCGGAGAAAAAGAAAAAGCAGAGTCCACATCAAAATACAATTTAGAAATAGCTGAAATTCGGAATTAAAAAATAAGGAATATTAGAAGAGGAGACTAAAGTCCATATAGAAATACAATTTAGAAATAGTTGAAATTCAGAATTAAAAAATAAGGAATATTAGAAGTAGAGTATAGAGTCCATATAGAAATACAATTAGGAAATAATAGAAATTCGGAATTAAAAATAAGAAATATTAGAAGTAAAGTATAGAGTACATATAGAAATATAATTAAGAAAAAAAAATAGAAATTTGGAATTAAAAAATAAGGAATATTAGAAATAGAGTATAGAGTCCATATTGGAATTTAAAACTAACTAAAATTTAGAATAAAAAGGAGCCTCCACATTCACTCTCATAGCCTAGAAATTCTCACATTAATCGGAGAAAAAGAAAAGGCAGAGTCTATATAGAAATACAATTTAGAAACAGTGGAAATTTGGAATTAAAAAAATAAGTAATATTAGAAGAGGAGACTAGAGTGGTTATTACACATTAGTAGTTTCGTAAAGTTATTGCAAAATTTAAAATTATGTTGTCATTGTAATATATTTTAATAATATAATGAGAAAACATATATGCTATTATATGAGAGAAAATATAATGAACTGACAAAGAACTAGGATCAAAGAAGTCGGCTAGGGAGATGGCCTGACAGCGATTTTTCTACAGAGCGAAATATCTTGGCAAGTTGTCGGTACTAGCTGTGAATTCGGCTCTGAAATCTCCTCTTCTTGGCTGGTACAGTGGTAGAGTACTCCACTCCACTAGCTATGGGCAATAATGTGCACGGTAGTCAGCAACGGAGGAGATATTTAGAATTAGAGGTGAAAAGTTTTAGCGTATCACATCGGATATTATAGAGGTTAGTGTATAAAATATTCATGTACTCATAAAAAAACTAATTATAGAATCCGTCGGTAAACCACGAGACGAATTTATTAAGCTTAATCAATCCGTCATTAGTACATGTTTACTGTAACAACACATTATCAAATCTTGGAGTAATTAGGCTTAAAAGATTTGTCTCGCAAATTAGTCATAATCTATATAATTAATTATTTTTTAGACTATATTTAATATTTATACATGTGTTTAAATATTCGAGATATAACAGGATATAAAGTTTTAGCGTGTCAAAGTGCGAGGTGCATGCCCGCAAAATTGAGTAGGAGCATTTTTTTTTCCTCTTCTGATGTGGTACTACACAGCTTTGACAGTCATATTCTCACAGATGATTTGCTTGACTGAAGTTCTGCACGGTAAACGACACGACTGATGGTAGCGGCCCAGTTTGGGGAAAGTCCTACTTGAGCTGAGTTAGTCTATTTTACCTCCCTCATCTTTTGCCTTTGATCGAACCATATCCCTCAATCGTAAAATCGGGTATAACGTCTCTCCAACTTAAAAACTGGTGCGAACTGCCTTCTCTGCTGGTTTGGGAAACGGTTTCAGTTGACGTGATAGGTGGGACCCACATGTCAGCGACTTCCGCCTCATCATCTTCATCGCCTCTCTCTACTCTCTCCTCTCTTCCCGTTTCCTCTTCCTCCTCTCTCACCTTCCAACCACTCGCAACCACCAGGATGTGTTGTCGTAGCCGCAACAACAGTCTATCGCCATGGAGTAGTGACCTAGCAGCAGCTCTCAGTGTCACGGCTACCATGTGCTAGGGATTCAAGACGGTCTTATAATACAATAGATTATTACAAACTTGAAAATTGGTTATTTTTAAAGAACCTTCTACATAATTTTTTTATGAAAAAAACATTAACAGTTTGGGAAGTGTGATCATGGTAAAAACAAATTTTGCCAAAGCAAAACATGAGGCCTTAAGAGTGTCTACATTACTGCATAGCGTAAAAGTTCTTCAGCTTTCACTTGGTTCTGTGATTTTCAGCAGTTGCTTTCACACATAGATTGCGTGTGTGGAATCACTCCGAACTTGAACTTTATAAAACGACATGTTTGATGAGTCATTTGATCATGAAGTTTTGGAGCATTTTCTGAATACCATCATCACTCATCAGACAATCTACAGTTGGATGGCTACTTGCAGCTCGGTGCCTATTATGGTTATGTTGGATTTGTCTACATCAGGTCTGGTTCGTATGAGGCCATGCAGAAGCCCGTTTGGTTGCCGGCCTGCGCCAGCCCGAGAACCAGGACGAGACGATGCAAGATAGCCACCGAGTCAGGCTGTGCAGAAACTTAAGTGCCTGTCTGAATATCGGACATATCACCACTGGGGCATGTGCAACATCTACAAGAACCTATGATGTTGATGAAATCTCGCTATGTTCAGGGTTACTATAAAAAAAGCTTTTCATTGGCGGCCATATCATATTTTCGCTGACAGCCGGACCAACCGCCAACAACCAAATGCCAATAAAAATAGATAGAGTATTTTCACAAGCATGAATTAATCGCGTGCGAAAATATATATCCACTGTCAGATACCTAAAGAGCACAACCAGTAAAAATCATCCTTCCTAGGCAGGACATTTAATCTACCCGCCATGAAAAAAAAATACTTTTGGCACAAAAAAAATTCAGTAGATCCAAAATTGTTCGCCCCCAAAACAAAAATCCCTTGCCAAATTCATCACAAACATCATATAATCCATCCAACATATTCATTCGCAAAACTCATAACCCATTCACAAATTAAACTCTCAATTCATTAATAAATCACAATTTCATCACAAAGAGGGAGATCACATAGAGGAGCACGAAAAAAAAATCCATGACCAGTGAGAGCTGAGCTAGATATGGATCTAGATCGTCGAAGAAGGAGTGAGGGAGGTCGGTGGGGAGGGGGGGAGGGGCCGAAGCTTGATCTGGATCCTCCTTGTCGCCCTACATTAGGTGTGCAATAATCTACAACTTGTTGTTTTGTTATGCTTAATACACGTGAAATGAGAAGCTACCCATTGCAACCTGATCAACCAATCAAATTGTTCTGCATCTAGGGATGAGCCAAACCGGGTTCATCGGAGGAGTAGTAAGCCCCGGTGCCTCGGCCATATCTAGATCTTGCACGTCCATGCCATCAGGGAGCTCCCAATCGAAGTGGTACAACAAGCTAGCGATCACCATCTCCAATCCTGGCAATGCTAAGATGATGCCAGGGCACAACCTCCGGCCAGCCCCAAATGGTATGAACTTATAGTCGTTGCCCCTGAAATCCACTGCACTGCCCATAAACCGCTCTGGTCTAAACTCATCCGGTGTGTCCCACGCCGCAGGGTCCCTCCCGATCGCCCACACGTTGATGAAGGCGATGGTCTTGGCCGGAATGTGGTAGCCTTGGATGGTGGTCGGCATCGTTGAGTGGTGTGGGATGAGAAGCGGCGCTGGTGGGTGTAGCCGGAGTACCTCCTTGATGACTGCTTTTAGGTAGTCCAATTTGGTTAGGTCCTCTTCTGTGACGGTTGGTTTGGAGCCAGTGACTTGTATGATCTCGTTTTGTAGCTTGGACATCACCTGCGTGTTTCGAATCAGCTCCGTCATGATCCATTCTAGGGTCACGAACGAGGTATCGGTAGCTGCACCCATAATGTCCTGCAAAAAGATTAAAAAGAATTTTGTATTCAGTTTGAATTTAGAAAAAAAAGACCCTTTTTTACCTATAAGGTATCAGAAGTAGATTCTCTCACGTTACTATTCACTGTGACTACCACATGTTAGCCACCAAATCAGTGGGAAGTTACGTCAAAGGATCTCAATCCTAAGGTATCAACAGCTGCACCAAAACGTCGGTTCCCAAACATTTGTTTTCCTTACCAATCGGGGAAAAATATGACTTTTTTATTGTGCCCGTAAGTATCAACATCTACACCAAAAATTTGTAAACTAAATGAAAGTCTAAGATTTGCCATGTTATTATGATAAAGTTCTTACTCCTAGTAATAAAGAATTTACTCACGGTTAAATTTGAAAATAAAATTTTTACTTACAGTTTTATTACTCGTGCTGACGTAGATAATCTTATGCTTTCAAATTTTACGATAGTTTTCAGTTTTGCACTGTATATTTCCCCCATAATCCTTTACCTGCCACGTGGGTTTATCGCCAGTAGCGGAAAGAAACAACTCACTATATTGACTTTTAAAAATTTTAAATTTTAGTAAAATTTGTTCGGTCTTTCTCTCATCCCTACATATGGCATTCAAAACCCTGGGTTTTTGTAAAACAAAACTCGGACATTCGATGCTGGACAATGGATATATCTTCAAAAAATGGTGGATTTTTTTCGTTACCTTGATAATAGCCTTGACGTTATCCTCCGCGAGCTCGAGGCCGCCGGCGGCGGCGGCGCCTTGTCTCCTCAGTCGCAGGAGCACGTCGACGAAGTCCTCCTCCTCGCCCTCCGCCTTCTCGTCGTCGTGCGCCGCCAGGATCTCGCCCAGGAACCTGTCCGACTCGTCGGCCATGTCGTCTAGCTTCTTGTTCAGGCCCGTCAGCTTCCTCGCCGCCCACCCCGCCGCCTCCGGCAGCCGGTCCACCCACTGGAACCCGGCGAGCAGCTCCGACGTGTCCGCCATCATCTTCCTGAACCTCTCCGCCGTCGCGCCGCTGCCGCCGGCCGCCACGCGGGTGATGACCCCGTTCGTGTAGGCGTACAGGAGCTCCCTGAGCTGGACGGCCCGCGCCGCCTCCGCGGCGCGGCGAGCGCGGGCGACGAGCGCGGCGGCCTCGGCGGCGCGGGCGGGCGCGGCGAGGGGAGAGGAGGTGCGCCACGGCCAGCTTCTTGGTGCGGCGCCACGCGTCGCCGAGCGGCGCGAAGGACATGTTGCGCCCGCCGTAGAAGAGCCTCTCGGCGCTGTGCGACGGCGGCCGGGAGGCGAAGGCGAGGTCGTGGCCCCTGTACAGGTCGGCGGCGGCGGCCGCCGTGGACACGACCAGCGCCCCCGCACGGCCCAGGCGGAGGAACATGAGGCCCCCGTCGCTGCCGTAGCGGCGGTGCAGGGCGTCCAACGAGCGGTGCGGGAGCTCCCCGACGAGGTGGAGGTGGCCGACGAACGGAAGCGACGGCGGCGACGGCGGAAGCTTCCCCTTTCCAAGATTCTTGATCGCGGCGACGACGACGACGACGAACACGAGCAACGCTGCGGCGACGACGACGTACGATGACATCTTGGTGGATTTTGCCACAAAGGTTTGGATTTTTACTCTGAATAGCTTGGTGCTTATAAATCAATCAGAGCACAATGCATTCCATGTCCTTGTAACCAATCAACACGGTGGCTGGTGGTGGCTATCAGATCGATTGCGAGTCTGGAATATTCTATGATAGATGTTTTTTTTTTCTCCAAATTGGATTTTTATAGAACCACATGTTTGATGAACTCTTTTGCCATGTAGTTGGGGATATTTTCTGAAGATCATCATAAATCATCTCCAGTTGGATGGCTGCTTTCTGGCTATAGTGCACGTATGTTTGTGAGTTGTGTCAGGTTGATCTAGAATTACATTCAGAAATACATGTCAAATATTTGCGTTATCAAGCACCAGCATTTTGTGCTGTGAAGTTCCAAAATACTCTGTACTGTTTACAGTCAAACACCTTTCTTATAATTTTTCAGGTAAGAGAACCTTTCATATAAAACACAAAGTACAGGTTTCTTCAATACCACCTGTATTAGTGCAGTAAAATTGCACTTTGACACATCCACACAAAATTCAGTGCAAACCCAAAAACAGAAGAGAAAAGAAGAGAACATGGGAAGAAGCTCTCATTATTGTATAGACCCCCATGCTTTTCAATCCAATCCTATGAATAGGCAGTGCCATCTTAACACAAACCTACTTCTTACATTTTCCCCTATTTATAACTTCTGTCCCTCATCTATATCTAGATGCCAAATTATTCAATCTCAATGCCTGACATGGCCTTGGCCTGGATCAGGATTGCCAACAAGGTAAGCAAGAACTCCTACCAATGGAGCATTGATGTAGGTAGTTGGTTCAGATTTCCTGAAATCGGCACGGTCATCCTCATAAACATCATCCTCCCCAGGCCCCCCAACAACTGCGCCAATTAACGGGTTTGGGTTCGGGCTAGATGAATTGTAGTAAGGCGTGCCGTCGTTGCACGCAATGCGCTGGGGATGGCTCTTGATCGAAGGCAACGATGATCCTCGATGGTGTATCCGTTGAGGATACCGATCGCCGTACCCGACCATGTATGACATTTTCATCGGGTTATCTCCTAATATATAATCAGCCTGCAAATAAGTAAATAAGTACAATATAATGTTCAGAGTTTAGTTAGTCAATGTTCCTGCATTTCATATTTGGATGTTATGTAGGACAATTCAGTAGTCGCTCCCTCCAATATAATTACTTTTGGATCTTGACATAATCTTTGTGATGCTACTTTGACAAAAAGTTATTTTAAATAAAAAGAGTTGCATATTATGACAGTTTGTTTAATGATAAGTCTAGTAACATCATTCTTACATAATCAGTTTATAATCTTTTTTATTAATAATTAAAGTTTAACATGCTTGACTTAGCATTATTTCAAAAGTTAGTTATATTTTGGGATGGAGGTACTACCTGCTTTCTGGCTAGCTGCTGAAGAGTGGCAGGACCAACCGAAACATTTCCACAGTTGACAGTGCGCGAGGAATTGGAGAGGTACTTGGCATAAGTCAGGAGCAGGAACGAAATGGATGTAACATGCTGCATGTTGCTGCCTCCAGGCTTGTAGATCATGCCCCCGGGCGTGTACGTGATGTGCGGAGACGACGACTCCGGAATCAGTGTGCAGATGAATCCATCTGCAAACTCCTTGTAGGATTGCAGAGATAGCACCTCGCCATCTATGAACTCCTGTAACCAAATTTGGAACCCATTTTCTCTTTGTGTCAGCTACTGATGTTTCTCTGAATTTGTTGCAGCTGCAGAAGGTGTGTTCAGAAACTGGAGGAGATTGATGGAGGCAAACCTTGGAGACAAGGACATTGATGCCGGCATGCTTGTTGTCCCAGCCGAATTCGTTGGTGCTATCCTCTGCTCCAAGGGTCTTGCCGTTGTTCTGAATGTAGTCGAGGTAGGTGCCTTCCTTGGAGGCTCTCCGTAGCCATGCTGCTCCCCACAGCAGCTCATCCTGCCAAGAATTTTCAGTCGTGTGAACTTTGAGATTTTTATTCACCCCCCCCCCCCCAAAACAAAAAAAAAAAAAACTATGTGATCAATTATGAGCTTCTGATGGTTGTGAAGTTCTAATTCTGGAGTTCGTAACAACAGCATTTGACGGGTTCAGTTTTTTTTTTCCAGAAATACTAGAAAACGCTATTACCGTTGTAACGGTTTAGTTTATGTTTGATGGATAAGGTATCAGGTTTGATACCTCTGTGTATCATGTATTTGTGTACCAGATATGGAACGTAATAGATTATGATGACATCAGCATTGTAACTATATACTAGAACTCGAGTATCATTTTTTTTAGAGAAGGGTTTTTACCCGGCCTTTACATCCAATCGGATATATGCAACCGATTATGATGACATCAGCATTGTAACTATTTACTAGAACTCGAGTATCATTTTTTTAGAGAAGGGTTTTTACTCGGCCTCTACATCCAATCGGATATATGCACTCATTTTATATTAGGAACTTAGCCTATCAAATAAGAAACTTAGCCCTTAAATAACTCAATCTGAAATTCGTTCATATGGAGATTTGAACTCAAGACCTTGGGGTGCTACTCAGATCAATACAACCACTAGGCTACATGCCCTTTCGCAACTCGAGCATCATGTCACACTGTTCTCCGGCCAACTTGTTTTTCAGGTGAAATGACGGCTTCAGTTTCACATATGCCTATTCCATGAAACCATGTCGCAACAGTTGCTTTTGCCCCAAAGCTCATAAATAGATTAGCCCTGTGAACAACCTGAATTTGTGGAGTTTCAGAAATAGAAACTTTAATGTTCCCGGACTAGATAATTGTTTACCCCTTCATTTTGGAAAGAAATTATCGTGTATTCCTAGTTTAATATCCCTGTAAAATAGCATTTACATGTACAATGGTTATCAATAGTGGTCTCTTAGCGTTGCTAATTAGGAATACTTGTTGACGTGGAAGAAAGAGGAGAGACAAAACATTGTTGTCATGCATAACAACGGCTTAACAACGACTCTTAATCACTACAATATGGAAATATGGTTGCATGAGGGTAAAAAAATAGAAAGAATATTAATAAAATAAATATTTTTTGAGTTAATGATTAGAGTTTTTATCGTTTCAACTGTTGTAAAGATACGGTCTCTAAATAATCTTATATTGTTTAAGAAACTATACTCGTCTCTACCATTGAATATGCCCTTCTTTCTTTTTTTTTTCCTTGACCTTACCTACTGGAATTCTCATGCTAAACTTATAAAGACGTGCAATGTCAGCTGGTACTCCATGAAGCAAGGCACCAAAGCTGCTTTGTTTCTTCTGAACAGTTTATTTATCGTTTATTTTTATATGCGAGAGATATCTAAGCAGCGTTTCAGTTTTGATGCCAACTACTGAATTGCCAGAGCAGCAGCTAGCATTGCAGCAACAGCATGCAAAGCTTTTTGTTTCTAGTGACAAATTAAAGCAGCAAAACACAAAAAAACTGAAGAAATTTAAGAACAAGACAAGAATTACCCTGACCTGATATCCATCGAAGTCGCAGTAGAACGGGCAGCCGCCGGCCCTGAGCTCCGGGTCGTCGCTGTACGCGCCCTTGTGTTCGTCCGCGAACTCGAACGCGCTCCTGGCGCCGGCGAGCAGCCGCGCGGCGTACGCCGGGTCGTCGTCGCGGAACACCATCGACGCCGCGGCCAGCGCCGCCGCCGTCTCCCCGGCCACGTCCGACCCCGGCCTCGCCGCGCTGATGTTGTACACCGTCCTCGCTGTGTCCATGTCCTCCGGCCGCTCCCAGCACCCGTGGTCCTTCGTTGGGTCGCCCACCTGCATTGCCATCGACGCCGCGCTCACATGGTCGTCGCCGTCGACGAGGAAGACGACGGTGCGCAGTGCAATGTGTTTGTGTGTGTGCTTGCCTGAATGAAGATGACGCCGGGGTGGGAGATGGTCTTGAGGAGGTAGTCGGTGGCCCAGCGGACGGCGTCGGCGGCGTGGGCGCGCTCCGCGGGCGGCATGGCGTCGCCGAACTCGACGACGCCCCACGCCAGCATCGTGGCGGTGAACGCCATCGGGAAGCCGAACTTGACGTTGTCGCCGGCGTCGTAGTACCCGCCCTCCAGGTCGACGCCCGCCGCGCCGCCGTCCGACACCGCCGAGTCCCCTCGCCACGCCGCGCGCTGCCCCGCCGCCGGCAGCCGCCCCGACCGCTGCCCCTCGAAGAACAGGATCGACTTGGCCAGCGCGTCGCCGTAGTCATGCCCCGCCGCCGCCGCCGCCGCCGACGGCGCCGCGAGCGCCAGTAGCAAGCAGCAGCACACTAGCAGGACACGCACGCGCGAGCGGCGGCGGCGCACGGGAGCCGAGAGGAGCGCCATGTCGTCGAACACTCGCCGCCTCACTAGAGCATGCACGTGACGTGAGCACACTGAGATAGCTATAGCTCTCGTGGGGCTTCGTATTTATAGCACGCATTCTTCACTAGCCAGCAAACGGCAAGCTTAGCTCACGGCTGGATTATGGCTCCAGATATATACGTAATTAACACAGATACTATATTCTGATATGCAATTATGTACGGGATTTTTATATAGAGAAATAATAAATGCTTTACTAAATTCGTCTCAAAATATAAATTGGAAATATATGTATATGTCTAGATATATATATGACTAAAAGTTAGAAATATATATGTCTAAATACATAGTAAGAAATTATTACATTTCCAAATATATGTGTCCAGATACAGAATGAGAGGCAAAGTGAGTGTAACTCAACTGACTATGTTTCTAGAGGTGGAAACTGTCTATCCAACTGTTCAAATTTTATATCTGACATAGGTGCTCGCATTTACAGCTATTTTTTAAAGAAAAATGGTAACTGACGTTTCTATTGACAACAAATCGTCTGTAGTGAGTAGTGACTTCATGAATCTTAAAATTTATCGGACCAATATTTGAAAGCGCTCACAGGGATAGGGCGTACGTGTTGTGTGCTCATATGAGTGGTGAGCGTGCACATGCTTATATAAGTGTATGCGTTTTGTACTTTGTTTTTTTTTAAAAATGGAACAAGAAGTAGTTGTATCTTCGGATGGGGGTACAAGTTATGCTGATATGTCCTAATTATTACTCCCTTCGTATTATAATGTATGACACCATTGACTTTTCGAACAACGTTTGACCATTCGTCTTATTTAAATTTTTTGTGCAAATATAAAATATTTATGTCATGCTTAAAGAATAAATATGATAAATCAAGTCACGATAAAATAAATGATAATTACATAAATTTTTTAATAAGGTGAATGTTTAAGCATTAATAAAAAGTTAACGGTTTCATACATTAGGAGGAAGTAGTACAATTTTGGAGGGTAATTAGAGAGAGGTTATGGTGGGACAAAATGTAGGGGTCACGGGAGCGGTGGTAAGACAGAGGTGAGGCCAAAGGTATGTTTTGATGGGTTACACGGGCAGGCAGACATTCAGAAACACCTTCTGTGCTCGGTGTGGTGTGGTCACATGCAGCGGTTACCCAAGAGCATGAGAGAAACAACAAGGCCACTAGAATGATACGTAGCACTAGGACCCAAGATGTAAGATCCACGAGTAGGCTGTGTTCTAAAGTTCTCATGGATGACTGAGTTTATCGCAATTATTTGAGGGCAGAGATGCAAAAGAATTAAATATTAGAAAGTTAAACAATCAATTTTATAAAGTTATCTAAGAAATACTCTCTCCGTACTCATAAAGGAAGTCGTTTAGGACAATGTTTAAGTCAAACATTGGAAATATAAATCATGAATAACTCTTAAGGTGTTGAGTTTAAAAATGTAAAAATTATATGAATAGATTTGTCTTGAAAAATACTTTCATAAAAGTATACATATATCATTTTTCAATAAATATTTTTATAGAAATAAGGAGTTAAAGTTGTGTTTAGAGACCGTATCGCTGTCTAAAACAACTTCCTTTACTAGTATGAAGGGAGTACTGGTTTAGGAGTTTCAGTAAATGTGCCCGTGATGATTTATAATATGTAAAAAAAAAAAGGAATGTGTCCTGAATTCCCAGTTATTGATAGGGATTATGATTTTTCTACTAGTAAGAGAAACTGAACCGGTTGATCCCGGTTACTAATTATCTCGTCGGTTGATGAAAGCTGAGCAGAAAAAGGAAAGCATTGATAGTATTTATTCCGAAATGGTAACCAGATAGTGCTCTTTTTTTGGGGAAACCAGATAATGCTCTTAACGCTGATACTTGCTGGTTGGATATCCCTTTTTGACAGATTTTAATACTCCGTCCATTTCAAAATAAGACACAATCACCTTACAAAGGCTAAAGACAATCTCCCTAGTTTAGATCACCCTAATAAATATTTTCTCTGTTTTAGGTTATGAGACTTTCTAGCATTGCCCATATTCATATAGATCAATAGATGTCTAGATTCATTAACATCTATATGAATGTGGTCAACGCTAGAAAGTATTATAACCTAAAACGGAGGTAGTATAATACATGCACCCAATATAATTAGAGATCTTAAAAGTAGAGAATTTTAAAAGATAATAATTTAGTGGAGAAGATGGGCTAATTAATTGCATTTGTGTATGCACACCTTATATTATAAAACATCTTGAAAAAAAATTGAGTTGTGCATTATATTATGGAATTGAGGGAGTATTGTATAGGGAAATCATCTTTTTAAATGTGCACATCAAGAAATTTAAGACTAAATAAAAAAAATGCAAATACTTATTAGTCCAGTTATTACTTGGAGAAATGAGTATACCTCCAGATAAATTATTTAAGACTAAATCAATTTCAAGGATCAAAATCAGTGCACATACGTATCTGGCGACCGATACACTCAACTGCAACAACGCCCTCTTCATGCCAATCTAGCAAGAGGACAACACAAAATTCTCCTGTGATCTGCCTGAAAGACAGCATGTTCTCTTCATTTCTCTTTCTCTCTCATTGTTTGAGACATGTCAAAAAAAGCCAAAATGTGGCGAATCTATGTGATCGAGACCAGTGACTCTAAGTGAGAAGCTTGAGCACCGACCATACTGATGCGTACAGTTTGCTGTGTTTCCCTGGAAAAAAAGGAAGCTGTTATTGATTATCAACTTTTGGATTGGTGAGTCCCCTCCGGTTCAGAGTTTGAGGCTGGTGTAGAATGGAAATGTGAAGCAACAAATTTGAGAGAATTGCTGTGGATGGGGACTCCTGTCTGTTCCATTTAGGAATGTGATGTGAGCTTCCTGTGCAGCACGCAAACTGAATTTTGGGAGCATTCAGCAATTTTTTGTTCCAAATATAATTATGTGTAGTACTAAATAACTTCAAAATTATTTCCATATATATTACTCTTAACGAATTTGGTCCTTTGCTCCTGAGCTAATGGTAGTAAGATGCGCGCTTCCCGATGCAAAAAGCCAGATTTGCAATGCATGTCTTTTTGGTTGATTCATCTAGGGGTGGAACTTCAACCAATATTGTGAAAAAAAAAATGAAAGTTCCCACATTGTTTTGCCAATTTTAGGCGTACATTCGTAAATCAGTTAGATGAAGTGTACATTATTACTACTCAGCAGGGTTTACAAAAACCAATAAAAACCAGTCGGTTTCCCTAAAAACTAAATCTCCCTGGCTTGGCTCGGGAACACAAATTAAACCGCTTGGTTTTCCATTCAAGTTTAACAAAAAAATATATATTCAAACTGGATTTTAAATATTTTACAAAATTTGATCATATTTCATCGGCAGTCAACAAATTTTAAACGGTTTTCACAAAATAATAATAATAATAAGCATTGATCCGGTTTTTGTGAGTGGTTTTCCCGCTACTCAATACTACTACTAGTAGTATAAACTTCAGAGACCTCGTACTCCAAGTCCAACCTGCTTGAAACCTCCATTTTGCTCCTCCTGTAAGCTACCCAGTGAGCAGAGGAATCACATGATAGGTCTCCTTGGACGGATCAAATCAATCTTCCTCCTTTTCATTATACATTTGAGGCCACAGAAAAAGATGGCATGCAAAAGCAACGATCCGTTGCACTTTCTGCTGCATACTGTCCCTGTTCCATTCTTCAGTTACACTGATCTAAACCTTTTTGCAGAAGTGATGAAGTAGTAGTTTTTCAGAGTTGTGTCTCTGGCAAGTGACAAGACGATAATCTGTCGCTAAGTATCTGTGACCGTGGCTAGCTGTAGATGGTGAAGTTTCAACAAGTTCTCCTGATTTTAAAAAATGTTTTAGTTTTATAGATAATCTGACCCTTGATTTAAAAGATGCTATATCCACCTATTATAATAATTGTAAATCTTCATCTGAATTTGGCGAAAATTTGTGGATTAAAACTTGATGATACGAAGTGATTAATGTCTCACTCGGATTAACCTGAACAATAAATAAGATCCAAAGTTGAGCTTAGATACACTTCGGTGTGCACACTGCAGAAAGTCAGGAGGACCTGTAAATCGTTAGATTGCAGGATGCACTTTCTCAAGGAAGATCACACAATTTTGCGAGACATCATGCGTGGCCCGGATTTTTCTTTCTTCGACAAGTTGTGGGCTTGTGGCAGCTCTTTGCGTGCGAGAGTCCAAAGCTTAAGATCCCGATAATGATGATGATCAAGAGCAAAGCCGAAAAGAGGTTATGCGTTCTTCAGATATCTTCAGAGAGGAAAAAAAGGAATAGTGCATGTATTGGAAGGAATAGTGATCGATCGATTGATAGGTCCAGCAGATTAAAATGTTGAAAAGTTTTACACTGTCACAGATCATATAGTCGATGGCACCGACAGAGACATCACAGGTCCCCTTATTTTTTAAATTCTCTGGAGGGAAGGTTCTCTTATTATTTCCATATAATTTAAATAATTATATTTTTTTGCAAGAATTTAATAACATAAACTAATCGTAATACATCACTCCATAAATATATAAATTTAATTATGACTTTTACAAGTCGAGAACAAAAGCAAATATGATTTTGAATATGCACATATACTACTCCACGTTTAATTTGTTTTTTTTTACAATATCAAGAGGTTGAATTTAAATTTACATGTTTGAGAGGTGAATTCATCATGGCATGCTGTGAATAGGGGTGAAAACGAGCCGAGCCTTGCAGTGGCTCGCAACAAACTAGACTTGGATCGGCTCGACTTAGTTAGGGAAACAAGCTAAAACTTGAGCTTGGCTCGGGTCGTTTCTTGGCTCAAGCCAGCTCAAGCTGGCTTGCAAGTATTCTTGTCGAAACACCTCTTCATATATATTTTATAATTATTAAAAAATGCAAGAATAAATCATTAACATGTAAAATTTAAATAAGTTTATATATATATATATATTCAATTCTTCAAAATCTTAATGATAAATTTCAATTTGATAAATAATAACGCCACAAAAGATAAAATAATCGATATAAATACATGATGGCCTAGGCTCGCGAGCCAAAACAAGCGGCTAGCGAGCTAGCTCGGCTCGGCTCATTTCAGCAACGAGCTGAAAAGGAGGCTTGGGCTTGGCTCGTTTGGTTTACGAGCCGAGCCGAGCCAACCAAGCTCGAGCCAAGCCTGAGCTGAGCTCACAAGCCTGAGTTTTTTTTTCCACCCCTAGCTGTGAACAAGACCGCATGTCCGCACCACGTGGTGCTGAAGGGGATCCAACGGCTGCGAGTGCGTCGCAAAGTCGAATGGGCCGCACCGCTGAAATCCCGTTCCGGCCCAATTTAAGTAGGCCCACACGTAAGTAGGCCTAATTTAAGCTAGATGGGCCACATGTACATCGGAATCCCAATCCGTCCCAAACCGTAACGGGCCGCATGTACTTGGCAACCACGTTACAGCCCAATATGGATAGGTCGGGGTTCCACTGTGGCCCAAACGTATCGGTCCTGATGTGCGTGGCAATTTTTTTTCCTAGAATGACTGAAGGAGGTCAATCAATGTGATTAAGATTGAAGAAAAAAAGGTTACCTGAAAAGTTTTACATCGGCAGCTGGCTGTCGATAAAGGAAGTGCACCAGAGCACACACCCCGAACCATGTGACAACCGCCCAAACACACGTTACAGAGAGGGAAGCCGAGTACTGAACTGACCGTCGCACTGTGCATGGAAATTGTATTGACCCATTTTGTATTGGCCCGATTTTGATGTTAGAGTATTAAATTTTGGGGGTTTTGATGGTTTCACCATTCCGGCAGATGATGTCAATGAGGGTCGGAGTTTTAATCTCCGAACCCCTTGGGCCTTGGCTAATGTCTGCTGCATGTCCGTTTGTTCCTACCTTTGGGGTCATGCAGGTTTCCCGTTCAATTCTCAATTAAGACACTCTGAAGTGAAGTGCTTGTATGAGACGATCATGCCAAAATCTTCACCTTGATTCTTTTGATGCATCCAAAAGAATAACTAATTTGAGGTGAAATCCTCCTCCTGGAATGGCTTAAATTTACAGCACCGAAACCCATCTTGTTCAAAACATTATTCTCCGAATCCCCTTGATCAGTATTATTTGGGATGAAATTCTAATCTTCGACCACCCTTTGCTGCTGCTGTATCATCGTCATGCCAGCAGCAGAATCCGGTTGTCTGTCATGGCTAGCAGCTGTAGATCAGTAGGCAGTAGATGATACCAGCAGCAATCTTTGGAAGAGTTAACAGGATTAAAATCAGAAGAAATTGTTCGACCAGTAAATCAAAGTCAGTAACGAGGAGGAGTTTGCGAAGGAGACGAGCCTGTACGAACCCTCTTTGCAGGAAGAGGGAATATGCTCTGAATCATCTCCTGCTAAACTTCATGGACAAACTATTTTGTTTCAGCAATCGCCTTCTCCATCAGAGAAGAAAAATGAATAATTACGCGTGCATGGGATGGGTGATCGATCGATTGATACGTCCAGCAGATTGAATGTTCAGTAATTTTCGTTCGTGTAATGTTTTTGTTTCAACAAATCGATTACACAATCATCGCAGCTTGCGCTCTTGTCGATTTTTTTTATATTTTTTGTGAGAAGGGTATTTTTGCCCAGCCTCTATATCCAATCGGATATATACAACCTTTTTAAATTAAGAACTTATCCTATCGAACATGAAACTTAGCTCTCAAATAATCCAATCTGAAATTCGCTCTTATAAAGATTTGAACTCAGAACCTTGGGGTGCTACTGAGATCAACTTTCACTCTTGTCGATTATAAAGAAGGATTAGGCATGTAAAACATTGTAAATTTTGGCCTTTTAAACGGGAGGAAGCAGAGAGCGCTCGAGGACAATTCGCGCCTGCAACCTGCGCATCTTTCCCCGCCTCCGCTCGTACTCACAAACCCTGGCTACCACTGCAGTCATCGCTAGCACGAGCAGGCCCCCAACCACCGCGTTCTTGCCGTCGCCGTGGTGGTGTTCGCCGGCGGAGAGGATGCCAGCCACGCCCAGGCACAGGAGCAGCGCGCCCACGACGACGTCGAACGCCGCGAACGCCATGGCACCCTTGGACCAGGCGAACCCCGAGCTCGGGCGGGACGTCGTCCCGGCGGCGGCGATGTCCGCCGCGATCTTGTCGCCGCCGCGCTCGTCCAGCTGCCCCGACGCCACCAGCCTCCGCCGCCACTCCGGCGGCATCGCCCCGGCCGCGAACGCCGCCTCGATCTCGTCGTCCTCGAAGATGTTGCTGCTGCTCATGACGATGACGATGGTGAGAGATGCTGCTGCTAAGGTTTGGTTGCGATACCTCCGCCGCGACCGGGTTGGAATATATGATAACTCCGTGCTGCCAGATCGAACTCGGGCTCGGACTCGTTACAACTCAGAAAGGAAATGAGATACTTCTACTCCGGCAAGGCTAGTAGGCTACAGAGATTAATGGGCAAAATAAGGGCATGTTCAGATTGTAGCCAAAATAAATTTTATCAAGTTTTAACAATATCAAAATTTTGATAAGATGGCAATATTGCCTAAATTTTGGCAGAATTTCTTATATATTAATCAAATTTGGCAACAAACTAAATGTAGAGCATGTTCACTTTGATGTTATTTTCAACCTTACCAGCTAAAATTTTGGCAAGAAACTAAATATAGCCACTTTTTTAGCAACTTTACCAAAATTTGGTAAGTTTGAAAATGACATCAAAGTGAACAGGCTTGTAAACATTTTTTTTGCCAACTTTACCAAAAAAAAAATGGTATAGTAGAAAATGGCATCAAAGTAAACATGCCCTAAACCTAACCAAATTTTGGCTATGTCAAAATTTTGATAAGATGGCAATATTACCAAAAATTTAGCATGATTTCTTATGTAATTATCAAATTTGGCAATAAACTAAACTTAGACATTTTTTTTAGCAAATTTGCTAAAAAAATGGTATGGTTTAAAATGGTATCAAAGTGAACAGGCCCTAAATGCCACGAGAAATCTTGCACATCTTCGTATAGAATTTCAGTCTTTCGCAGTGAATGATCCCTGACGATGTCATTTCCATTTCGAAGATGTCGAAATGTCGATCAATAGGATTTAGGCTCTATTTGATTCAGCTTAGAATTATTGTAATCTGAATTATTAGGAGTAAGCTGAAACAAATAGATAGCTTATTATGATAGATTATTACAATCTATAAGCCAAATTACTATAATCTGGTAAGCCACTATAAAGGTGCTTTTTCTAGATTATTGGATGGCTAACAACTAACAAACAGCTAATAATCCAGATAAACAAACAGCTAACAGCTTATTCTATGTCGACTTATTATAATTCAGCTTATAGTAATCTAATTCTATAATTTAGATTATAATAATATTAAGCTGAAACAAACAGGGCCTTAAATGCCAAACTCCCTTCGTTTGTTTGTGTTCGTCCAGTGATCGCGGGTGTAATCCGGAGTCTGACACTGATACAGCGTCATGGCCGTCAGAGCTCGACGAGGATGGCAATGGCGGAGGCAGCGGCAGAGCTGACGAACGCTTTGGAATATGGAGGGGTGGTGCCGTGGTAGGTTTCTCCGACGAGCACCGCACCGAGCACGTCGTGTCGTGGGTGACCGATCGAGACGGAGAAACTCCAATCGAGGAGCATATGTGCCCTCTTTGCACGAAGAGGGGAATATACTCTGAATCATCTTGCTAATTTTCATCGCCAAACTGTTCTGTTTGAGCAATGGCTTCTCCATTGTCAAGATCAAAGTCGAAATTAAAGAGGTTATACGTTGTTCAGATATCTTCAGAGGAGCAAAAAGAATTGTGCGTGCATGGGAAGGGTGATTCACCCTTGCAAATTTACTCAGGGCGATCGATTAGCAGAATAAGTTTTTAGTAATTTTACATTGTTCACAGATCAGACAGGAGATCAGATCACAAGTTGCCGCTTCTAGCCTTCTACACCACTGTTTTGTTTTGTTTCAGCAAGGCCGATTTCAGAGTTCAGAAGAGGTGCAGTGTGAAGGAGGTTTCAGAAATTCAGAGTTAAGCCTGATATAGCATTTGCACTTTGCTGTTCTACTCCTATTTTGCTATCGGTGGATTTCTGTAGTCGCTCGCTGTTCTGCTGTTATCTGTATCGGATATTTAGATGACGAGCTAGCACTGTGCACTCGGCAAATGGGACAAAGCTGTCCTTGGATTGATTTTTCCTTTTTAAGCAGCAGGTCTCTGCCATGTCCAACTTCGGCAGAATTGGAAATGCAAACTGCTACCTTCTGAAGAAAAGAGAAGTATTTCTTTGGAAGAGTTTACAGTATTAAATTCAGACAAAGTATTCGTTCATCAACGAAGAGGAATTTACAAGGAGATAGCCCTGCGCTCTTTGCAGGAACGAAGAGGGGGATAATCTGAACTGTCCTGCTAATTTTCATCGCTAAATTGTTTCGTTTCGTTTCGTTTCAACGACGGCTTATTCATATGAAGAGAGGTGCAATGCAACGTGGGGGAGGTTTCAGAGTTAAAGAGTGATATACTGCTTGGTAAGAGACAAAGACCGAGATTGGTTCCAACAAATAAGTATCTGGCATTGACTAAGTTTTACTGCTTGACATCACTGATGGCTGGATCACAACATCATGTTGTAAAGTTCATAGTGCATTCCAAGTCCAAGATCCGAGAGAATTGATGCTTGTTCTAACATACTTATCTATTTTGTCAAATGGGCATGCTCAAGTATCATACACCGACAAGTCGACAGCAGCAGGTCATGAGAAATCTAACACATCTTCATATAGGCAGGAGGTCCAAGGAGGCATATCCTTTTGGGAAAGGAAGAAGAAAGGATCAAACTAGTGCACTATTTATCCGAGAAGATGCCTCGTTACAACTCATCACACCTCCATGTTCATGAATACTGATGCACTAATTACAAGTAATATGTCCTAATTGCTTATTCTTCTCCTTCAACAGCCGGTAGGCCTTCCTTGAACCATGTGTAGAGTCCTCCATCCAGATGGAACACATTCTTGTAACCATTCAGGACCAACAAGTAAGCTGCTATCAGGGACCTGCCAAAATGAAACAGATGAGATGAGTTAGCTATGTTCCAGAGGCACAAACATAGTCACCTTTGTAAAACAACATAAAATTCAGAGCTAAGGTGAAGAAAGGAGTGTGGGCAGACAACAAGTTTATAGTTTTACATGAAATGAAACAATACAGATGTTGGGCAAACGGGGTAAATTGGAACTCAGATGAACGAATAGTATAATCCCCTTCTAGTTTGCATATGGCACTCGGATGAACTACCGCTCAGCAACATGGTAGAAATTTCAAGCTGGTAATATCATTCAACTGGGAAACATTGTTGACAAAAGAAATGTGAAACAAAACCACCAGTAGAAAGAAACGAAAGATATCCATACTACAAAATAAAATTCCACCAATTAAGAGATGATCATGACACTACAGAAATACCTTATGCAAATATTAGGAAGAATATCAATGCCACAATATGATAGACCCATTTCTGATTTCAAGGAATACAGAAAAGAAAAAAAACCTCATTTGCGACAGTGGTATTAAGAGACTGTATCAGCGCTTTCGTGTCAGTTAGAACATGAATGTTAATTGGTAAAAATTGAATCAAGTTTACTGATAAAGAATACTAAGGTAACATGGCATACCTCGATTGCTTCCCATCAGGAAAGTTCTGTGTTGGTTTCAATGTTCCTCCTGTCGAACATGCCACAATAATCTTTGCATCTTTACCAAGTTTCTCATCAACACCTTCGTAAAGATAATATATGTCACTGATTGTAAACTCATACTCCCTCCGTTTTTTAATAGATGACGCCGTTGACTTTTTCTCACATGTTTGACCATTCGTCTTATTCAAAAATTTTATGCAAATATATAAGATATAAATCACACTTAAAGTACTATGAATGATAAAACAACTCATAACAAAATAAATTATAATTACATAAATTTTTTGAATAAGACGAATGGTCAAACATGTGAGAAAAAGTCAACGGCGTCATCTATTAAAAAACGGAGGTAGTATATGAGTAACCATGAAGCAGAAAACAGAATAAACTACCATACTTTGTATGAACTCAGGATTCTCTTCTGTTCCAGAAAATATGCCAAAGAATGCAAATGCTGCCCGTCTTGCAATATCCCATGCTGTCCATTCCTTTATCAATCTATATATTTGCACATTAACGGCACCAGGTGGATGAGCCTGCATAAGAATGAACCCATATGATGGCATTTGCAACAAAATCTAATGAATCTAAGTATCAAACACCACATAGTATGACAGCAACAAAGTTTGAGATACACTTGCACATCATTGGAAATAATTTTGTTAACAAAATTATATCCATTTTTCACCGACTGCAGACCTTTTTTTCTCTTCCAAACAAAATTACTCCTATTTCTCAGACACTCTAAAATTGCGTAAAGTCAGAACCTTTGGTTCAATATACGATATTTCTAAGGGAATAAATGCCACAAAAGATTATAATTACATATTAATGTAAAGCGTAACCTCAAGTTATTGTGTTAAACCTAAGAGCTGCATTATGGTGCAAAAACCGAAGATAAGTGGAGAACAATTACAACATTACCTCTTTAAAGTCCGCTACTGGCCTGACATCAAGAATTGCAAAATTGTTTTCCTTCTGAAGACGCAGTGCTTCCTTCACATCAACACTACGGACCTGCAAAACCAAACAACAGAAGGAATTCTAATGTAAATGGAAGCCGCTTAGCAGAGAAGGCTCCCCACGGGTAATTAACATATGAAATCAACAAACCCAGGGAAAACAAGTCCATAATTCCAAAACAGAGCAATATGACATGGAATCTATGGCTTATCTACTCATATATGTGCAATACACACTCTCTGAAGAACTAAAACCAGGTATTCAGTAAGATACTTCATATATGGAGTTGATAACAAAATAGCTAACATTTGGAAATGGCAGGAAATTAGGAATTACCCGCTTTTCTACTAGCACTTGCCTCTTGATCTTCCATTCTTCTTCAGCTGTATATAAAAATAAAAAAAAATACAGCAAATTAATATCATGCCCAGAGAATTACTAGCTGCTCCAAACCAAGAAAATGGAGAGCGTATTCGCAGTACCTGGTGACTTTGCAGGCTTTGTGGCAGTACAGGTTATCTGCAGCGAGCGCACAGCTCGTGTCCGGCAGAGTTTTGCAGCCTCTATAGGACGCCAGGAGTAGCCAGATGTGAAGTCTGAGCAGGAGGATATCCTTGATGAGCAAGGAAGGTTGCTGTTCACTACAGAGCTAGCTGCAAGCATTGTGGTCATGAGAAAAAAGGAGCAGAAAGAACTATGGAGGACTCTGAGAGAATTAGAAGAGGGGTTTGCCTCTAACACCTAAGGATGGATCCTGTAACTGAGAAGATTTTTTTTTCTGGATGGGGAAACGTCCAAAGAACTCAATGGTTTTGGATGGGAGGTGCCAGCATATCTGAACTGGTGGTGGAGGTTGAGCTAGTGTTGTGATAGACAATCTGGATTCTGAACTTGTAGCTTAGCCTGACCCCACAACACCAACAATCTAGACAGGAACACTTAAGAGCTGCACTTTTTTTCCATGACATAATTTATGATGCTTGACTAAAAGTAAATATACTAGGATGTGCAAATAAAGAAAAATAGAGGATACTACAGCGACATAATTTATGTAAAATCCAACCTTTTCTGAATGATATAAAAATCTGGCTTTTATTGGTACTCAGAAGTTACCACCTACAAATGGGAATCCTAAGATGCCCAAACATGATGTTCTCAAAATCGACCTGACAACTAAACAAGAGTACACCAGAGGCCCCTGGAAAATGGAACCACTTAGACCTCTCAATCTGAATTCAGAAGACAAACAAAAGACACCATCACCACAGTTCCTTGATCATCTTCAGCTCAACTCTGCTCAGTGCTCACTCACTCCAGTACCCGTCGTCTTCCTTGTCCTTCTTTTCATCGTCCTCCTCGCCTTCCTCCTCGCCGATTTCCATCACTGCCTCCTTGAACCGCTTGACATCCTCCAACGCCGCCTTCCGGAACATCCCAATGTCCACTGCACCAGACACCATGTGGTAACCCCTCAGCTTGAGCTGCTCTGCCGGGTCGTTCGGCATGGCGAATCCGCCTAGATATGCGACATTGCCATCTGAAGCTGTCACATTCTTCTTCCTGGCATCCAACACCTTCTTCTCGGCCTCCCTCAGCCTGGCTCGCACCTTCCTGTTCCCTGGGTCCCACAGGTACCCCATGCTGGCTGACAAGTCGAGCGGTCCCATCTGGACGACGTCGACGCCGTCGACGGCGGCAATGGCGTCGACCTCCGCAATGCCAGCGGCGGTCTCGACCTGGCAGATGATTAGCGTCTCGTCCTCGCAGCGGGAGAGGTAGGAGTCGTCGAGGCCGTACGCGGAGGCGCGGACGATGGGGTGGGCGGCGCCGCGAACGCCTCGGGGCGGGTAGCGGCAGTGCGACACGGCGGCGGCCGCGGCGGCGGGGGACTCGACGGCGGGGACCATGAGGCCCGCGGGGCCGAGGTCGAGGGCCTTCTTGGCCCAGATGGGGCCGGCCTCGGGGAGGCGGATGACGGCTGGGGTACGGGCGGCGTCGAGGGCGCGGAGGCAGGCCAGCGCCTCGGGAACGCCGCCGGGGCCGTGCTCCATGTCGACGACGACGTAGTCGTAGCCGGCGAGGGCGGCGAGCTCGGCGAGCGTGGGGGAGAAGGAGAGGAGGAAGAGCCCGTACAGGGTCTCCCCGGCGGCGAGCCGGGACTTGAGGGAGGGTGCGGCGTAGAGGAGGTCGGAGGCGGCGGCGGCGGCGGAGATGGGCCGCTGCCCGCGCCGCCGCGGCAAGGGGAGCAGGGCGGGGGCGCGGCGGGAGGGGAGAGGCGCGGGGTCTGGCTTGCGCGCGAGGAGGAGGTGGGAGAGGGAGGCGGTGGCGGAGGCGGAGGCGGAGGCGGCCATGGCGCGCGAGGCGAGCCGGCGCGGCGGCGGAGAGGTTTGGGGATCTGCGGCGAGTGAGTCCCAGTCAGTGTGGGGGGACAGCGTGAGGCAGTGACGTGGCGTTGCTGCTTCACGTGTCGCTTTGCCACGGGCCTTATTGGGCCTCGCCCACTGACGTTGGTGGGCTCTGGCCCGTCTACTTTGTAAGGCCCAGGAATTGTATATAACTTAACTTTTAAATTGGAATAAGTTCACTTTAAATCACCGCCGAGTTCGATTTTCGTTGTTGTCCTACAACCGTATAATACCAGATATAATGAGATTCAAAGAAGTATACTGTATGTTTTTGGCTCACGTGGCGAGTGGGTTATGTTTTTGGCTGACGTGGCGAGTGGGCCTCACGTCAGGCCTATTTATTCTTCCTCCAATCTCCTCTCTTTTTCCATCTCCTATTCTCCAAACCTCCTCTCTCTCATCCGTTCCACATCACTGATAGGGGAGGGCGGATGTGGCCAACGGCGGGCCGCCATCGTCCTAGACAACACTATATGCACCGCATCGCCGTCATTGTCGATGCCCTCTGCATCGCCAACCTCCTCTTCACTGGACTTGCCCTGGATGCTGCCCCAACAACCCCGATTGCACAACCACTGGGCGGCATACGCCTAGCTATAGTTGAGGCAACATTAGCTCCATCAATTATCCCCGCGGCAAGGCTCCTCCGGTGAGAAGGTGTCCTTCTCATCATCGTACCCCCCACCATGTAGAAGTCTTGGTGCATGTCAAACTCACTAAGCTTGAGCATGTGCTTCATGCCAAAACTATTTGCTGACATGTCGAGGCTGTTGGATCCATGCTCCACCATCGGGAAGAGGTTCAGTCATCCTAGGATAGGGATGACCGCTGACGAGTGCATCGACGCAACGTTCCACTCCCAGTGGAGGAAGTCAGTGCTCCGATACACCAAAGCAGAGCCAGTGGCAATGACCTTGACATTTGTTCTTCGATCCACCCCAACAACCCCACATGGCACCGCGCTTGGCTGACCATCATGGAGACCTCGGATGTCATTAGGCCTAGGGCAGTGACCGCACACTCAAGGCCACAAATGGCATGGGTGTAGGTGACGATGAGGTCAGAGAACATAGCAGTGAAGCGCGCGTATGTGTAGTCAACCGTCGGTGGCCCAACCAGAGCCATCTTAGATGGTGGTTGTCAACGTAGAAGATGACGGTGGTGCGGGTCCAAGAGATGTGTAGGAGTGCGTGGCGACGATGGGGTCGTCGAAGGGGAGGAGGTACCGAAGTAGTGTTCCTTGCAGCTGCAAGTGCGGTGCTGCCGTCGCCTCCGTCCCTCCCTTAGCCGATGATGGGAAATGGAGGAGAGAGATGGGAAATGGGGAATATAGGAGATATAGAGGGAGGGGAGGTTGGAGGAAGAAGACATATGCCTGACATATGGGGCCCACTCGCCGTGTGAGCCAAAACCGGGGAACCATACTGCTTGGGACCTTGGGTACACCAGTTTTGCACATGTCATATCTGGTATTGCTGTTCAAGAAAAAAAAATCGAACTTGGCGAAAGACGAGGGACCTTGAACTTATTCCTTTCAAATTTCGTTGTGGATCAGAAATTTGGTGGGCCTTATCCGGATTCCAGCCCAGCAAATGATGGGCCCCGCAGTGGAGAGACCGTGGCCCAAACATCATCGCCTCTCGCCGTCGTCTCGTCTCTTCCTCTGCGGCTGAACTAGTCGCCGATCCAGAGGCCGTCGTCCACTCGCGGTCCCACCGGCCACCGCCTCCGCCGCCTCTCACCGGCGCCACCGCTGCTCTGCCTCCACCGCGTTCCTCCTCTCCACAAGCCTCGGTCGCCCAGTACGCATCCCATCCGTCGCCGTCGACCTAGCTGCCTGGTGGAGGTGGAGGCGAGGGGGATTGACTCGGCTCCGGCGCTCCGATTGAGCCCGCAGCCGACCGATCCGGATACGATCCGCTCCGCTCCTCGCCGGAGCGGAGGCTGTCGCGAACCCAGGTAACATCCCCGCCCTAACCTCCCACGCCGCACGCACGCGAAGGCCGACGGCGGCAGCGCCATCCCCTGACGGCCGACTGCGCAGCGGCGCTCCGCCCCGCGCCCCGGCCTGGGCCTGCCCGCCTTCGGCCTTCCCCGACTCGCGCCGCTGCTGCGCCCCGCCGTGCAGCCGTTGCCTTCGCCCTTCGCGTCGGCGCTGCCGTGTCGTCGCTCCGTGCAGCGCCGTCGCGCGCGGCGCGCCCGCTGCCCGGCATCCGGCCCTCCCCCAAGCCCCAGCCCCCTTGGACTCCGGTGAGCACTGCCTCTCGCCCTCTCCGGCTCTCCCTCTACCTCAGTCCCTCTCCCCCTTCTAGTAGACCACAGTATTATCCCCTTCAATAATCAATTTCTTTGTATGATTGTATCTGTGATTAGCCAATTAGGGATATAGTAATTTGTATAGATTACTACAAAATTATGTGCAACAATGAACCTCAAATGAAATTTTTGACTTGTATTGTAATATCCTATTTATCTAAGATGTTATGTTATGTTTGAACAATTTACATTGTCCTTTAGGTAAGATTCAAACTTGTTTGTTATTTTCTACTTGTATTGAACCATTTAGAGTTATATACCGTATCACGGTATCGTTTATAATTTATCAGATATCTTATCGAATCATACCGTATTGCATTTAGATTTTTTTTTGCTAGGCCTACCCCGGGTTCAAATCCTGGGTCCGCCACTGTTAGAACACACGCAGAGAACTCTGGCCACATCGAATCGATCGCCGTTCACGAGATGTGCTAATTGATTCCATCGGATTTTTTATGGAACTGCAGCCAATTTAGACTAGGAAGCATGAGGAGGCGACCGGGAATCGCGGGCTTGCAGAACGCAGCGGCTACTCGTGTATGTGGACATCTTGCTTGAATAGCTTATAATGTTTTTTTTTTCTTTTTCTGTGGATTCTGAGATGAGTGTGCTCTTGGAAAATTTAAGGACCAATTCCGGCTGGTTGGGGAAAATGTGGCCAAGGTCAGGACCGATGTCATGAAGGAGCAGCTTGCGACGTTTCGGACACAGCTCGAAGAATTTGCACGCAAGCATAAGGTGATTCCTACTCCTGTATTCTAGTTGAGTTTTACAGAAAATATTACCGACGCTATTCGTATGTCACAAATTGAATTACACATAGCATGCTTTCACAATCTTCTTAATCTTGGGGATCAGGATATATCAGTCATTCTTGCAGACTGACTGAATTCTTACATTTTTTTTCAACTGCCCAGCGCAAATGAAATGAATGTTCTAACAAACATGAAAACAGTGAAGTTACTGCTATTCACTTGATTAAAGTTGTCTATCGAACTGGGAAATAGGGAACCTAAGTAGCATACTAGTCCATGGTCAAGTGCTCAACATATACTAAAACTGAGGAACGGTAGTTAAAGATGGAAAATGTACCAAAGAAAAGGTGTTGGAGTTACCAAGGTGCCAATTGATCTTGTTTCTTGTGATAGATTTCACTTGTCTCATGGCATCTAGTTCCAACTGGGTTGACATTTGCAATGTAACACTGATGTTCTAGGTGATCACAATAGAGCTCAAATGGCACAGCATATTCCAACTCTTAAGTAACTTTGTGTACATGGTGTGCTAGTGCAGAATGATATCCGTAAAAATCCACTATTTAGACAACAGTTCCATGAGATGTGTGCAAAAGTTGGAGTAGACCCGCTGGCTTCGAATAAAGGAGCTTGGGCAGAGCTTCTAGGGATTGGTGACTTCTACTATGAATTGGGTTGGTATACTTAATTTAAGCTACCTTGTATGTTTTGATCCTGGAATTTTCTGTTATTATTGGACCATTTACGTTCTGCTTGGCATCTGTGTCTATTGCACCAGGAGTTCAGATTGTTGACATATGCATAGCAACCAGAGCGACCAACGGTGGCTTGATTGACTTGCTAGATCTCCGTAAACTCCTCTGTCAGAAGAGGAAAGCTGATCTTGGATCGTTAACATCAGATGATTGTTTGCGTGCGATAAGTAAGCTGAAGGCAAGTATTTTAAGGAATTCTACAGCTACATTTTTTTGGGAATCCTGTAATTGCATTCATGCAAGTTTTACAAGATTGCATTCGAATCTATGGCCAATAAAATTTTATTTGATGTACTTGGACAGATCGTTAATTCTTCTGGTCCTTTGCCTGTGAACTCTCAGGTCCTTGGTAGTGGTTTTGAAGTAATTTCTGTTGGGAAGAAAAAGCTTGTGCGTTCTGTTCCTACAGAACTGAATAAAGATCACAATGGGATACTTGAGCTAGCTCAGGTTTGTAATCAGCTTTTAATAGTGTATAATACCACAGTACACTTAACAAGTATGTGGATGCTGTCATAACCTTATCATGCTTACACTGAACAAGTATGTGGATGGTGTATAACCTTTGGTTGGAAGTCATAAAGCCCCCTATGTTCCACATAAACGCTTATTTCAGTCAACATAGAGACATAGTACAAAACTAAGTTAAACCGAAGCTTTCAAGTTGCTGCCTTGCTCAATCTGTCACCTTGCCACAATATAACCGTACCTGTCCAGTTATAACATTATTTCACATGCAGGCTGAAGGTTTTGTCACCGTAGAGCAAGTCGAGAGAAAGTTCTCGTGGTCAACTGGCCGTGCCATTGACGTCCTTGAAACTTTGCTCAAGGTAAATCCTGCTCCTGCATTTCCACTCTTTAAGCAACCTTTGTGCTTCATTTCTGTGCCCAAAGAAAAGAAAACCGGCTTCCTTTGATGCAAGTTATGTATTGGTGAATGGTGATTAGATCTCTCTGTTGAATCCACGCTTAAGCCATTGCAGGATTACCTTCTTTTTGAGCTATCCATAATCCATATATAAATAAAGTACTTTTCGTATGTGCATCTGTATTGACACTTTTATGAACGTCAAATTTTTTGGCATCTATATCCAACTCTGGTCTCTATTACATAAACAGGAAGGGCTTGCGATGATCGACGATGGGCACAGGGATGGCAAGCGCAGATACTGGTTCCCGTGCGTCACTCTCAGCTCTGACTCTACTGGTGCGGATGCCAAGTCATGACCTGTGCCGTGCCTGTTCCACTCCGTTGTTGTCACCTGTATCCTTTTCCATTGGTTCATTTCTGTAGGCACTGAAGCACATATGGCATGCCATTTACCAGTACAGCTCTGGAAGAATCATGAGATAGCAATACACTTTTCAGGGCTGGGCTGCCGGCAAAATTTTTACATTGTGATTCGTGCATCAGGATTCTGGATGTATTTGTACTAGTGATCTATACTATACTAGCTCTTCTTTCACGAAATTACTCGTAATCGTAAATGTTCAATGCTATTTCCTCCGTTTTATAATGTAAGACTTTCTAGCATGGCTTATATTTATGTAGATATAAATGAATATAGACACATATATGTCTAGATTCATTAACATCTATATGAATTATCTATATTCATTTATATCTACATGAATATAAGCAATGCTAGAAAGTCTTACATTATGAAACGGAGGGAGTAACTTGCTAATGTGAGCAAGAGAAATGCTCGCAATAAATATGATAAAAAGAGAGAGATGCTAAGTAACGGTATCTTATTCGGATGAAATAATACCTTAAAGATTTCGTCTCTAATACCTAATAGCGGCTGATACCCTATTTGAAATAGGGTATCACACGATACTTATGACTTATGATATATTATTTCATGGAAAAAGTACACCGAAGGTCACTCAACTTGTCATCGGGATAAAAAACATCCTCAAACCACAAAACTAGATATGTGAGGTCCCTTAACTATACAAAACCAGTCACAATAGGTTTCTTAGCGGTTTTGATCCTGGTTTTGTCTTACGTGGCTGCTGAGACAGCGTGAGCCCCATATGTCGGCCTCTTTCTTTCCCTTCTTCTCTCCCTTCCTCTTCTCTCTCTCTTCTCTGGCTCTGGGCAAGCCGGCGCCGGGGCGAGGCCGCGAGGCGGGGGAGGAGGTCCGGCGGGGCGAGGCGGGAGAGGAGGTCCGGCGGCCGGCGACGTGGCGGCGGCGGCAGCGGAGACGACGCGGGATCAGGGGAGCAAGGCGGCGGCGACGACGACAACGCGGGAGCAGGGGAGGGCATCGGCGGCGGCGAGGGTGAGGAGCCGCCTCCGCCACCATCAGCGACCTCAGGACGGCGCTCTGTTCCTCCTTCACTCTCGCGCTGGTTTCCCTTGACTTCCACCTCTTCCTCAAGGGCACCAAGCTCATGGCCGACGCCCGAGGTCGGAAACCTCCCCGTCGGCCCCGGCGAGTCCATCTCTTTCATCCCTGTCAACTCCGCTGCATCCTCCCGCTTGGAAGCCGACGTCGAGCTCGAGCACGCCGAATCCATGGAGAAAACGCAAGTTTTCTTGGCACGACGGCGGCGGTGAAGACGTCCACGCCAAGAAGCCAACGAGCCCAGCGCTGCCGCCGCCGCTCTCCTGCCATGGATGTGTAGTTCGGGGATGTGAATGGGAATGGATTGGATCTTGGGATTATGGTGTCCGCCGCTGTTGCCGATCTTGATGGCGCCAGGGTTGAGCTCACCAGTGGGAGGATGGTGAATGCCTGGATCGAGTACTCGCCCACCTTGTCGTCGCCGTCGAAGCCATCGCCACGTACGACGGCGCCTTTGCCGCCGCCGGAAGCGCCAGTTTCATCCGCCGTTCCGCCTCCCGTGAGTTTTAATCCAATGCTTCCCTCGCCTCCGCAGCTCCCCGGCGTAACCACGGCGCCGTCGCCGCCGGTGTCCACGGTTTCGATGCCTCCCACCAGCTCCGCCTTGCTCCCCTCGCCGCCGCCGACGCCCCTCACCTGCTCCCGCGTCGTCTTCGCCGCCGCCACCGCCGCCACGTCGCCGGCCGCCGGACCTCCTCTCCCGCCTCGCCCCGGTGCCGGCCTGCCCAGAGCCAGAGAAGAGAGAGAGAGAGAAGAGGAAGGGAGAGAAGAGGGGAAAGAAAGAGGAGGCTGACATGTGGGGCCCACGTGGGCCCACGCTGACTCAGCAGCCACGTAGGACAAAATCAGGATGAAAACCGCCGAGGGATCTACTGTGACTGGTTTTGTATGTATAGTTAAGGGAACTACGTGGTTTTGCAGTTCGAGGATGTTTTTTATTCCGATGACAAGTTGAGGGACCTTTGGTGTACTTTTTCCTTATTTCATCCGAACGGAATATCGTCCTTAAGCATTCCAATTCGGCCCACGGGCCTCAAGGCTTCAACCCATGACAATTGACAACCGGACAGGTGTGGGCGTTGACTAGTCTTCTTTAGTTTTCCACCGGACAGGAGTAATTGGCAAGAAGAAACAAAAGGGAAAAAAAGTGGCGGAAAATTCATTTTTGGGAGGGGAAATGGCCACCGCAGAGGCGAAGCGCCGGCGCCACCACTCACCGCCGGCCTCCATCGCCGCCGGCGGCGATTCCTCCACCCCTACCTCGGCGGCGCCCGCCGACTCGTCGTCCCCGTCGCTGGATCTCATCCCCGACATAGCCCGCCGCCTGACGTCCCTGGAGGATTTCTTCTCCCTGCGCGCCTCCTGCCGCGCCTACCGCGCGCTCCTCCCGGCGTCGCGCCGCCTCCTCGCCTCGCAGTCCCCGCTCCTCCTCGTCTCCCTCTACCCCTCCTTCGCCGAGGCGCTCTTCCACCCGCGCCTCCGCCGCCTCCACCGCTTCCGCCTCCCATGGGGGCACCACCTGCCCCCCTCGCGCTACACCCTCCTCTACGCCCACGGCTTCCTCGTCACCTCCACCACCGCCGCCAACAACTACCCGCCAAGGCTCCTCCTCCTCCGCCTCTTCACCGGCGAGCAGCTCCGCCTCCCCAGGGTCTTCGCGCCCTTCTCCCGCGTCATCCTCACCGCGGACCTCCTCGTCGTCATCTTCTTGCCCGGCCGGGCCACCGTCCAGCACTGCCGCCCCGGGGACGCGCTCTGGCGCGTTGCCTCCGCCCCTGCACCCCATGTGTTCGACGATTTGATCTCTGTCAATGGCACCCTCTACGCGCTGGTTGGCCTCCGTCTTGCCACGCTCCAGCTGTCGGAGAGTTCGCTGGAGCTGTCATTTCTGGGAGGAGAGCATGATGACGCGAACAGGCCGGAGGGGGATCGGTTCATGCTCGGGGAGTGTGGAGGCGAGGTGTTGCTCATCAGCGTGGAGCATGAGGAGAGGGTTGTGTACCGCGTGTTCCGTTGGGCATCTGAGAAAAGGAAGTGGGAGATGATCACCAACTTGGGCGGGCGGTCGCTGTTTCTTGGCTTGGATGGATTCGCAGCTTGCGTTGATCAAGATCATCCAGGGGTTCGAGGGGATTGCTTATATGCAGCTGGGCGACGCTTGGGTGAGTGGCATGAGTATTCCTTGGCTGATGGAACCTGTGATGTCTGCAATGCTGACTATCCAGGCGCGCCACCCCTGAACAACAGTTCACTGATCAGACCATCAGTTTGGATCTTTCCCAGCTTGTGTTGATGCAAGCCTGAGTAGGGTTCATCCTAGATCAATGTTGAAGCCCTATTGCTCAGTTGCTCACATGAGAGAAAAGAATGGTAATGCTTGATCACTAGCTTGCTTACTAGGTCATTTATGTAAACAATATATTCATACGGCGATCAGTACTTGCATCTTATTCGACCAGTCAATTGTTGTTTTGGTTGATATAGTGAATACTTTTCCTTAGGATTTTGACCACAGGAGCAAAATAATTTTGTTCCCTAAATGCTGACAGCATTACTTTATGTGCTATGCAACTTGTTGAGATATTATGAAGCTTCTTTTGCGTTTATTTTCCTCTGATACTGCAGTAATAGTGAGTAAAGCACATAATACATCAAGGAATATGCTAGTACCATAATGTTAATTGGTTATATTTGACTATGTCCCTGAAGTTGCATGGTTGTAACTTGTGTAGGGTAGGCAGTAGCAGAATTCTTAACCCTGTTTGCTTTGTGATTTATACAATGCTGCAAATCCTGCGGAGTTGTCACAGTTAGTCCAGTGATAGTGATAAACAAGACCAGGAATGACACACATGTCCAATGGATGATATCATAAATTATAGCTGATCATGTTTATGATTTGTACTCCTAAAAATATGACATATGCCAGGTCTTAGAACCACTTATTTATATGATTTTCCACTCCTATAACTGTAACTTTCATTCCTGAATCCTGATAGAACCTGTGGTGTATGACCTCCAAATGGTCTACCCAATCAGTAGTTGGCAGCAAGCAGATGTGAAGGGGTTGGGCATGCTCTTTTCTGGTCCATCAGTTTAGGCTTTATATTTAAAGTGTTCTTCAGTTCCGTGTTTTTGGACTACCCTTCAGTTTATTCTTTTTTCGGGTCTCCTGTCTCTCCCTTCCTTGTTCTTGCTGAGTGCTGACACGAGACACAACTTGGTTCTCTTGCGGTTGTCCGTTTTGCTTGGTCCGTTGTTGTTTCTCTGTCTTAATACAAAGTTAAGCCAGGCTTTTGTGTGCTTCCTGTGTTTCAGAACTCCTCTTATTATCTCAAAAAAGAAAAACTCTTCTTATTGACTTCAGAGGGATTGGAACAATTTCAAGTTTGAAAGCATGATTCGCTGACATATGGACCTCAAACTTATGTCTGTGCAATGTTACCTGGCATCTCATTTTGTTAGCACTCGTAAACATGAAGTCTGGTTACCTGCAATTCTGAAGAACACTGTCTTATAACCTCTGACTTGTGTGCAGGTTTTCAAGTTTATTTTTTGACCTTTGGATGGTATTTGCAATGAGATTCAGTCATATTTCCTTATACATGTTTCCTTATTACTTGAAAGTTGAAACTAACTTTGAGAATGTTCAACCCTTCAAACACTTGCTCTACCTACTTGGTGTATTGATATTTGCATGTGTTCCCAAGAATGTTCAAGTGCTGCATCAATTTGTGCCAGGATGCCAGCTTAGCGAGTGCATATTTGCGATCTCAAGTCTGTCGATGACATACGCACATTATTCATTTTGGATGCCTACTGAATTTGTTCTGTAATCGCAAATACTGTACTCAATTTCAGGTTGCATCACTGGCTTTCAGGTGTTCTCTTTCTTCTGACATGTTGCTACTTGCTTGCAAATGGATCGCTGAATACCAACCGTCCATTCTGGATTCTGCCACTTGCAGTTCTTGCTGATAGCCTTGCAGTTCTTTCTCTGTGTAGCTCTTTTGTTGATGTCTGAATTCTGATGCTTCAAAAATTCAGAAATGCAGTAATAAACAGTAGTAGTAGCACTATTTATTTATTGACACCTGGAAGAGAGGTCCTGTGCCTCTCCAGTCACTGACATGTGGGCCCACTTTGCAGTCATTGACCACCCTACTGCTACGGAGGTCCACAGGCGGTCTATTGTGGGGTCCACCTGCAGTGGGTCAAACGGGCCTTCGCTAACTCCTCGCCGTCCTCTTCCCATCCAAACCTCCGCAGCAGAGCTCGCTGCCGCGGCGAACGCACACAATGCAACACCTCGCCCTCCTCCGTCCGCTCATCCATCCCTCTCCCCTTCCGGCCGCGAGTCCCCTCGCTGCGCGATGCCGCGGCGGCCGGGGCCGAGGCCGAGGCCGAGGCGTCCGCTGGAGATGCGCGACGGGGGGAGGCGCGGGCGGCGGCGAGGTTGAGGAGGGGGAGGGGGAGGGGAAGCGGGAGGCGGCGGCGTGGCTGAGCTCGGCGGTGGGGGAGAAGGTGGACGAGCTGCTGCTGCGCGAGGAGAACCGCGCGCTGGTGGAAGGGGTCGAGGCCGCCGAGCGGCGGGTGGAGCGGGCGCGCGCCGCGCTCGCCGACATCGAGCGCCAGGAGGCCGCCGCCCGCCTCGCCAGCGAGGAGGTCCGCCGCCTCGAGAGGCGCCGCGACGAGGTATGGTGACTGCTGCCCGCGTTCAACCTGTTTGATGCTTTGCCTGCTCTGCATTCGCCTCAATCAACGAGCAGAGTGCCTGCCCTAGCGAGTAGTGGGTCTCTCATGGCCTCATGGTGGAGAGCGACGTGGCCTCACCTAGCTATAGTGCTGTACAGTGTACACACGCGCGGTCCAATCCCCACCCCGACGCGGTGATGCACGCATCTGGTGGCAATAGACGTAGCATGAACCAGCAATATGGCACCACCAGGGTGTTGCGGTGCAATGGCGTGCTAGTATGGTTGTGGTTGTACTGTACTACTGTGTCGGTGTGGCCCTAGATGTTCTGTGACTGCCGCCTTTGTGTTTGAGTTAATGTGGCACCGACGAGCTTGAGGAATGCTCTTTAATTAGCCGAACAGTAGTACCTCACCACGGGTGCATGTGATTTACGAAATGTAAATATGTAATGCACGGAAACAGAAAATTGCGTATTGAAGACTATTGTCAGAGAATATGAAAAAGCTCCAGTTATTTTCTCCTATCTATATACTGCCTAACCTATTACTCCTTGAGCGTTTTCTACAAGCAGGCAAAAAATGCTATTTCTGAAAGCAAACCCTGATATGCATTGCACCGCCTTACATTGAACCGACTTTTCCATGCCATTTCGCTGGATTCGATTCTTTGAAATGCCTTTTGGATAGAAGTGCCAAGCACAATATCCCTACAGTCGATAAATTGTAGTTTATATATTCTTGCTTTGTCATGGCTTGTTATGCATATCCAGTTGGAGATGTACTGTAGAAATCAGCTCATTTGATCTATGCTGAACAGTTTGTTAGATTTAGAAAACTAGATGAATTTCCCCTACAAACGCTTAGCTGGATACTGAAACAAATACGAAATATCCTTATGTTTGAAGCTGGTCGCGTTAATATATCAATCTAGTACCTGAGGCTGAAAATAACTGTATTTGTACACTAATGTAGTCTGTAAAGGTGCAATATCTGTCCACAGTTTTGCTAATTCTATGCCATTATAATCTGACCTTAGCAAATCATCTGTGTAGTTTCCATCATTTTTTCTCTAGGATTTTTTTATTTTACAAATTAACAATTGAATATCTTGCCTTCTTAGCATATCAGATGCTTTGAATCCTTCCAACTGTTTATATTCTCCATTTCTGTATAGGAGATGGTTCCATGTCTTTTGAGAAAACATAAAGTACTAGTAGCATGTGTCAGATTCATGTGGTCCCATGACGATAAAGGCAGAATGATTATTAGTTGTGATATCAATTGTATGACAATTCATTTCTGTAATCATCAAATTATCTTTCCTTCAATATACATGGGAAGGACATGAATTATTTGTAGCTTGGTGTTTCCTATGTGCTATTTCCTCTTAATAATGTTGTTTACAATGCTGCATTACATAAACAAGATCACAGAGTCCCAACGTGAATTGCTACAAGCAAGAGAAATGATTGATGAAGCACAACGTTCCTTGTCTTCTAGTCTTGAGGATCAAAGCTTTGGAGATGTACCAAGTGGAGATATTGATGAAGATAGTGAAAGACTGGAATCTGTAAAAGCTGCAGCAGTTTCCTCTGTAGTTGGTGTTCTAGCTAGTTTACCCATATCTTTTTATGAAGCCCATGATTTTCCACAATTATTTGTTCAGTTGTCAGTTATTTTCATAAGTTGTGCTTTGTTTGGAGTAACATTCCGGTATGCCATTAGGAGAGATCTGGACAATGTCCAACTAAAAACAGGGGCTGCTGCTGCATTTGCTTTTGTAAGAGGTAAAACTCGATAATGCTATTTCATAAAACTTCTCAGCACATATTCAAGCACATTGTCATTTTGTTTATTTGAACTAAATTATTTGCAGGCCTTGCTATGGTGGAATCTGGGAGGCCCTTTGAGCTGAGCACTGATGCCTTAATATCACTTGCCCTTGATGGTGCAGTTAGTGTGGTTGAGAACATTTTGACATTTCTACCTGCTGCAATTGCACTGGACTATTGTTTTAAGATGAGATTTTTGAGTCCATTTCCTACAAGAAAACAGTAGTTCCTGCAAATAATCTGTAAGGTCCATAATGCCATTTGTTGGTCCAATGATTGTAGTAAATATACCATACTGCTTATGTCTTATATTCATCATGCCAAATACTCGTGGAATCAAAAAATCATGTTGTTTATCAAATAGTTGCTTTAATGTAACAGCTGGATCTTGTCCTGTTTCTCAGATATTCTGAGATCGATAACTCATAGCTCCACTATGTGCTTGAATAGACATCCTTCTTAAGTGCCCTACACTTTGCCAGGACTGAGGCATATGGACTTATCTGTTTGTGTTTCTCCTGTACTATTGATGTTCACTCCCAGGAATTTTTTATTTCCACTTGAATCAATGCTTTGGGCTATCTGTTTCATATCAGCTTTTGGTGAAATGCTGCAATCTGCGTAAACTGATATGTGCTTCATCAGTCCTTGCCCTTATGCAAAGAGAATTCTTTACTCTCCATGACCATCCATTCTTTCTACACAATAATCTATATTCTAATGTGCAAGCACAAGAAACATGGTACATATCTTTCTTCGGTATGTTGTATCTGTCATCTACATTGATTTATGCCTGCTGTACCTTGCTTGTCTATTAGTGTTCTTCCCTTTATTTCAGTATTGCTGTGAAGCAACTAGCTGCTGAACTGTGCTATAACCTGATACAGTATTATTCTGGTCATTCATAATGCGCCAAACCGGATGGAACTGGATGACATATCATTGCATCACAAATATGGGTCCGCTGGAAGGTCGGTACTGTTGAGAGGTGGATGCAGAGCATGTATTTCTGTTCTTGTGAGCCTCAGCTGTCATTCTTCATCCGTCAAGCCAGATGGAACTGGACACAGCTTGATCTGTTGAAGCTTTCGGTGTCATGAAGAAGATGAAGTGCACAGGTCTTTTTTGCATACTGAATGATGGTGGTGGGGGATTGTGCAGTGAAAGAGCTTCATGAACCATCATCTGGACAAGGTTACCTTCTCAATAGTCTATTTTTATTAGGTTATTGAGATGATTACATGATCAGCCCAGCATTATTTTGCTCATCCCCACTGGTTTGTTGGTGTTGGCTGGTGCTTTAGTTCTGGCACAAACAACTGCACGAGGTCTGTCATAGCAACATCTTTGGATACATTGTATGTAGGGAGCTAATCAAGGATGAGAGAACTAATGAAAACCACTTCTATGTTTGCATCCTGTTATTATATCTAGAACATATTTTGTTCCAAAGCAGTCCGCTAGAATTTTCCAAGCTATTTCAGCCAGCTGTCTTTACTGATGTGTTGAATTGCTCGTCTGGATTTGCTTGCTTGAGTAAGAAAGAATGTAGTTTTGAACATTTTAGTTCCTAAACAATATTTTGAACATATTAGGAATATGTGATGAAGGTCTAGAAATCATTAACAAATTCTTGTGGTTCATTAGTCTAGGACGTAGGGATGGAGTGTCAAGCTTGTGATTCTGACTCAGTATCATCCAGTTGGCCTACAAAATTGATTCGAAGTAATCAAATGAGAAACTTTTATACAAATAAAACAGGATTGAACTAATGGTCTTTGGTGTAGACAACATGGTCTAATGATATAGGCATCTAAAAGTTTAAATATTAGTAAGCAGATACAGGGAACCTTCAACTGAACTTTTGCTACTACAGGATTAAATTGCATGCCTGTCCCTCTGCCAGCTAATAGTTACTCTGTACACCTGGAGTCACTACTTGCTGATGGCATTAGATACCATAATACATTGCTGTTAATTGCAAACATGCAGGCTACTGCCTGTTGCCAGCTGCTACTGGCCTATGAAATCGCAGCCCACTGTCAGTGACTAGTCTGCTATGGATAATGTGCAAGATCACTAGACACCAAGAGCAAATAAGCATGTGCAACTTACTGTTGAATGATAAACTTGGTGCTACAGGCCTGCAGTGCTCAAGAATCTTTAGAGCAAGAACAGATTGAGAATTCCATCTCTTTGGAAAGCTGGAATAATGACCATATTTGCACAGATGTCGAGTATCTCATAAAGTAATGGCTTTCAATTTAAGCCTGAGTCTTGATACTTGCTTAATCTGGAACAAATCTTGGCACTCGGTCTAATCATGTCTATATGGGAATGCACATACTCTTCCATGCTATTTGATATAAGTTTGCCCAATATTACACACCAATTTGACCTGATCCGTTCTGTCAGTGGGGCCCCAACTTGCACATGTAATAGGCCACATTTCGGTGGTTGGAATTTTTCTGAATCATTCCCTACCTGGTGTGATTAGTGACTGATGTTTGCTGACTTTGAACAGAATGTAGCATATGGCTGTCGAAAGTGTGCTTATCTACCTTGGTGAAAGAATTTACTTCAGTGAGTCAGGCCAAGCCAGTTGCAACCAAAAGTCCATTCTTCTGTCTCCTGGACCATTCAATCATGAGACTAGTGTCTTTTTATAAAACCATGCCATGCATTTGAGGATCTGAGCTACTGTCTGGCTTTCTCTTCTGGTTTCATATTGGTTCTAGAGAGATGGCTCTAAAGGTACACAGTTAGTTCATGCTGATACACCATTTGTCCGTGTATAGTGTATGCTGTAAAGTACAGGTCTTTGCAGTTTCTGTCTCTCTTAAACAAGTGCGTTGGATTCAACTCACTGTTCTTATATCTAATGAGATTACTGGTGATTTATGTTTTTATGGCACTACCAGGTGTTCAATTGGCTGAATCGGAAGAAGCATTCTAATGTCGAGTATTGCACCATCAATGAGAACAAGGGTAAGGATACCAGGATATCTCTCTTTTATGTACCACATGTTTTGTTGTTCTCATGTTGTCAACTCTTGTTTCTTCTCTTCTATTTTTTTTCCTGATGGAGTAGCCATGGAAGAGAAGGAAGACTCTCTGCGTGCAAGTGTGACTGAGCAAGACACTGAGGCCCTGCTGCTCCGTGATGTGCTTATTAATGGTATACTTGCAATTGGCACGCTGGGCCACAATGTAAACTCACTCTGTCCTGAGTCCTGTATTGAACAAGATGAGCCCATCATCATGTGTGATGAGAAAGTGGAACAAGAGAAGTGCGAAGAAGAAAAGGCTGAGGCTAAACAGGACACACCAGTTACAGCACCAAGTGAACCGGCATCTGCTCTTGAGCCTGCCAAGATGCACTCATCATCGATGAAAGAAGACAACTTCATGTGCTTTGTGAAGGAGGAAATCCTAATGCATGGCATGGAAGTGGAAGATGTTCCTAACATCCAGGAACGACCACTTCTGATGTTAGAGAAGGTGGAGAAAGTGAGAACTACACTTGCCGATCTATTTGCTGCAGAAGCATTCTCATCAAGTGATGCAGAGGATAAGTGTTACCCGAAAATCGTCATTGTTGCTGGGGCATCCACTTCAAAGCCTACGTCGTGCATGGAGAAGATGCATCACAAGAAGCCAACAAAACCAACGTCAAAGCCGCTGAAGGCTACAAGAAAATTAAGTCGAGTATGGTTTTCTTCGTCTCTGCTTTATTTGTTAAGCCTTGTTACATTATATTTTACTAGTCTGGAATTTATTACACTTTGTTCCATGGTCAGTGCGCCACATCTTACACATATGTTTTACCATATAGCTACAACTGGAGTAAGCATTATGCATCTAGCCAGTCTTTAGTGGTAAATGATCACTGACCTGGAATGCACCTTTTTGGTTTTTGTCATCTGTAAAATAAGTAGGTCATGAGGAAGATGTTGGGGAAGAAGATCCACCCAGAGCAGCTCAATGGACGTAGCAATGCAGAGGGCCCTGTCACTGCATAATGCTAGGTTTGTGGACAAAAGTTTCCTTTCTCTATCTGGCAATTTATTACCTAGAGTTTTTTTAAAGCTGTCTGTTGAACTATACAGGGCTCAAGGCCCTTGTGTTTTGCATACGATTTTGTACCTTTCCAAATTTTCTTGATTTTTACTTGGATTCCATTGTTTGTAATAAAATTAGGTTAATATCTGAGGTAGTATTTGCATAGAATGGATACCTTCTACCAAAGTTATATTTGTTTGTGGGTCCTAGAGCTAGCATGACCCACGAATCACATTCAAGAATATAGTAATTCGTTTAGGCTACATTTCACTAGGAATAGAACATATGAATATTCTCAGGTTTAATAAGGCAGATGCAAAAAAGAACTGAATAGCACAGGAAAGTAATTTTTCCATTTCAAGCTTCTCACAGTCAAAAACAAGTAATGGTTCAAAAATTGAATATTCTATCACCTGTTGCCTCCATTTATGTGGAACTCACAAGAGGGTCTAAGTGCTGCTTGACACTCTGACCTGTATTTAAATAAAATGTTATCACCTATTGCCTCTGCTTATTATTGGGATCTCAAAACACAATCTATTACTGTGTATGCCTTGGCATTTTTTAAAATCTGAGCTGCCCCCTTATTCTTCACATTTTCTCAGAAAACCATATAAACTTTTAGATAAATGAAGCTTTTATTGATCTCAGACAATTACATCAAGTTGATAGAACCAAACTAAGAACACTTCTGGCCTCTGATAATGGAACTGCTGTTTGTTTAAGTAGAAAGAATGGTGTGTGTATTTTAACGGTTGGTGATTGGGAATTGGGATGCAGTGACCATGGAGACTGTGTTCTTCAGAATATTTTTAAGAAATAGTGTTTTCGGTGGATCCTATCATGGAACTGCCTATGGTGGAAAGAGCAATACGAGTTGAAACATATAGGGATTAGGAAGCATGGGTTCGGACTAAAATGCATTCGTTCCTGCCATGATGCAAAGCTTCATTCGAAGCAAAATGAGCACATGCCATGGTACAGTGGCGTGCAACGAGCACTGCAATTGCACACGACGTGCATGTTCTGAAAAAGGCCAGTGGACACTAGACATGCAGCTAATCCTCTTTTGATGAATTCTATCATGAAACCAATGGATTCGTTGAAAATCTGAACAAATTGATGGATTTGGTCCCAGCTGTAGAAAGGTTGGCAAACTCTTCTCGCTCCTGTATTATTGTAGGCTGGAGCTATGATGGACCAAATCATCAGAAGCAAATTTCACCATATATAAGCATCTACTTTTATCTTTTTCTCTATTTTAAAATGTGATCATAGTGAAGTTATATACATTCTATCTGCTTAACGCTCCACATTATCCAAAAAAATGCATCACACTCCATATTGGGAACACGTTGGTGGTTCTGAACCAAAGTCGATCTCTTGATGCCAATTTTTTTTTTGAGCTGGTTGAGTAGTCGAACTGGGAACAATTACTGCTTGAGGCTACAAAATTTCTGGCCGACAATACGTCTTGATCAGGAACTGACTAAAGAAATTCCCTTTCACCTTTTGCGGGATTTGTTGGATCCATCCTCACGCTTCGGATTCCTTGCTCAAGAGAAACATCCATGCATATCGTCGACAGCGTTCGTTCAGTCCTCTTCCTTTTGTTGTTGGTGCTGTTGTTATTATTGTTATTGTTATTGCTGCCTATTCGCTCGCCAGTGATGAAGAATAGTCCTGCCTATATTTGCCTGTAGTACATTGTAAAGCTACAGTTGACGTGTCTTGTAAGACCCTTATTATTATTGTCCATACCACGACGTCTCATCATCGTGTTCCTGTCGAGATTAATAAACCTCTATCCTATCCGTTCTGCTACCTCTCCTACCCTTTAACTGTGTACTCGTTTACTAATCCACTCAATCCCTGTCTCGTCCATGGTCCATGGCTGGATTGGCTGCAGCAGCTGCAACTGCTGTGAATAAATAAATAAACTAGACGAGTGGTTGCAGTGGTGCTCTGCACCAAAGCAGTTCAGTGTTTATACAACAAAACAAGGCGAAACTGCCAAAGCAGCAGCTTAGCTAGCGGAATGGCAGCTGATGATTGTAAGCGTAAAGGTAAGCATCGGCGCGTGAAGCTCATACCCTCATGCTTGCTTGCTGCTGCTGCACGTTGCTGTTCCCGTCTCGCCATCGGTTCGATCTAGACGGGTCGACGGCGAGACGGGAGGCGATCGATTATCGATACCACCAGCAGCAATACTGGTGCTCTCCATCGGTGGGCGCCGTGTCGGACTTCGGTTGGTCGCCCTCATCATGCCGGATCTGAAACCTGACGCCCACGCCTTCTTCTTCCTCGTCTCCTCTTCTTCTTCTAGCGGGGCCTTCTTATGTCGGCCTAGTCTGACAGAGATGGAGAATTTCAGTTGAGATGCGCTTGATATTACAGTGATAACTGACAAGAGTATGTGATTTCAACCTTAAGATCATGTTTAATTCTTAAGACGCTCACAGTTTCTTCTTATTTATTTGACAACTAAGTTTCACGCGAAGTAGTTTAATTTTTGTTGTCTAACAAAGGCGGATAATTTCATATAACACGTTCTTGTAGTGATCAAAAGTTACCTCCTCTTGAAGCTGCAAAGGGGTGCAGCCGATGGCAATGGAGGCTGGTAAGGAGTGAGAGGCGCGGCTAACGGCGGGAGGCCGGACTGCACGATAGACGTGTCCGGTGGTGGAGAAGGCCGACGTGGCGCGATGAGGCGTAGCCAGCGGTAAAGGTGGCGACCACGATGTGAGGAGGAGCTGTCGGTGAGTGTGGCGCTGTCTTCGACGCACGAAGGCTAGCCGGCGGGGGGCGTTCCCACATGTCGGCAGAGGATGAGTGGTGGTGGAGCATCGGTGCGACAGCCGTGGACTCGCAGGTGATGAGCAGCGGGTGAAAACCCAGCCCGGCCTTGGCCGGACCGACAACGATGATTCTTTCCCCCCTCCTAAGGGCGTTGTCGTGCCGTCTCGTCCTTCAAGGGTGGTTGCTGGGTAAAAGCCCAGTCGTGGCTCCTTTAAGTTCCTGACGGACGGCGCGGCGGTTTTCCGTCGCTTCTATCCTTGGAGACGTCGTTTAGGCATCCCCTTGCTGAAACCACTCGAACGATTGGTGCAAGCACGCTCTAGATAGAGTTGGGCTTTGTGTTGGTTGTAAGGGCGTTTTTTGGCATTCTCGGCTGTGTTCCTTTATTGGCCTAGCGGCAATTGGTCCGTTGCTAGCTTTCTCCTGGACCTGTGTGTTGACGTTGTCTGTGTATGTGGTGGTTTATTTTTGTCCTTTTTTCTGGTTACGACCTTCCAGGATTGTAATCTTGTAATTTTTTTCGCTTTATCAATAGAACTTTGCACCGTCTCGTGCAAGTCGTTAAAAAAAAAGTTACCTCCTCATATTTCACGTGAAACAATTCAATTCTCGTAGCGATCGAAAGTTACTTCCGTTGCAAACGGAGATTTGTGAGTTGTATGTTGAGTGCCGCACTGATCGACAGTCACTGCCACTAAACTGATTGATGATGGGGTGTCTTCTCAAATTCTGGGCGTTGTGCTCATAGCCTTTGCGACGCACTGATGATGGATTCTGTTTCTATGGTAACAGAGGGGTGACGATGATGCAGCACTGCTTTGTGCGCTTCCCAAAAGCAAAGATACACTCTGTCACGAAACAGATTAAAATCTCTTCATGTGTTATCTCTCTTATGTGCGAAATCTCTCCATGTTTATCTAATTTATGTGCCAGTAGTGCCTGAACGTTCATAGTTTTCGAGCAAACGGTTCAGAACTTCATATCGACTTCTCCTAAGAAATTGTTCAAAACTGTACTACGTTCTTCGCATACAGTAGAGTTGAGCTAAGTGTTAGTTGGGCTGCATATAAGCCCAATTACATCAAACAAATTGCTGGCTGGGCCAATCTTAAATTGGAGCAGAAGAACATGAACCTAAGGTTGAATGCACGGATTATGGGGATTTTTCGTCTCTCTCTCTCCTCATTTGTCTTTTGATTTATCGACTACAGTTAAATTTAAATTTTAAAACTTAATTTTAGAGCTGATTTTGAGGGGTTTTTTAAATATATTTTTCTTGCCTTTGGCTTTTAGACCACGAATGATATAGATATAAAGTTCTGGCTATAAATTAGTTTTCGTGTTGCTTGACTTGCTTGCTTTGTTCATATTTCTACACTTTATCAGTCGTAACTCAGATGATCAGAGCCATACTAACCCCTTCAAACATATATCTTGAGTGAATTTTATATTATAAAGTACCTGAATTTTCCTCTTCCATTAGTACACATGTTGAGCCGCCCATATAGAGTAAAAAAAATCATGAGCATATAAGGGATGAGGAAAGACTCAAAAAATATCGAAGGTTCGTCAAGTCAAGGACTGGGGTCCAAACCGTTTAATCCTCTTTTTTTTTTTGGGAGACTGCTATACAGCAGAATCCCGTTTAGGTGAGACAATACCGGTTAGGTATCATGTTCTGGTATTAGTACCAGATTCTAGATGTTAATACTTGTTGATATCACCTGATACTTGTTGATATCATAGCGATACCTACCAGATATAAGGAGTCAAGCACCGAAGCGTCATCGCCGGTGGCCGTATCTTCTGCGTTGACCAGATCCTTCACTGTCACGCCTTACGCCGGAGCTCGTCACCGGCGGCCCTACTATTCACACCCCACGTCGGAGCTCATTGCCAGCGGCCGCGTCCTCCTTTCACTGAGCAGGTCCTCTTCCCCGACACACGACGGAGGTCCTCACAAGCGGCCACCTCCTCCTCGCTGCTCAGCTTGTCGGGACAAGGGGATCCCGTCTCGCCGAAGCTCGTCGCCGATGGCCATGTCCTCCTCCCGCTGAGCAAGCCCTCTTCCTTGGCCCGCGTTGAAAGTCTTCGCAGGCGGCCACCTTCTCCTCGCTGCTCAGCTCGTCGGGACAAGGGGATCTCGTCCCGATAGGATCCCGGCATGTAGCATTTCCAAGTGCTAATTTTTTCCCTTATATTTACCTGAATTAAATTGATTCTTATAAAAAAAATCTACAAGATTATATAAAATCAATGTATTTCAAACGATGGTTGAAATTGAAAGCCTTTTTAAGAAATTCAAGGATCAAAATTGCCGTCCCGCGAAAATTGTAAATGCAATTACTTAGTTGAAAAATCCACAACAATGTTGTGCTAAATATTCATTTCATTCTTGAACAAGAAGCCTATTATATTATTCTTGGAAGCTTTGGCATATTTACACTTTCTCGAGATCCCCGCATCCAAGCCGTCCATCTCGATCTGGACGGTACAGAAACGTGTCACGCCTCTCCATCCACCTGTCGCATCTACCATTAGCCCCCACCTCCTCCCCCCCTCTTATAACGCGTCGCCTTCCCTTCGCCATGTCCGTCTCCGCCGCCGTCGCCGCCGCCTCCACCTCCCGTACCCTCGTCCTCGCCCGCCACCGCTCGCCGCCGGCGTCTAGGGTCGCGGCGACAAGCCGCGGGCGTCCGTTCTCCTCCGGCCCCCATCCCCTCGCCGTCTCTCCCGCCACCCGCGCCCCCGCCATGGCCACCGACGGCGCCGCCGCCGCCGCCGCGGCAGGGTCGAAGAAGAAGAAGGAGGTGCTCATCTTCGACGCCGAGGAGGACCTCGCGGTGTCCCTGGCGAAGTACACGGCGGAGCTGTCCGCGAAGCTCGCCGCCGAGAGGGGCGCCTTCACCGTCGTGCTCTCCGGCGGATCCCTCATCAAGAACATCAGGTGATTTTGATTGCTTGGACCCCAGAGATCGCGCGTTTCTTGGGTTGCTTCCTCTTCCTCCGGGTGTTCTCGGATCGCGTAAGGAATCTCTCGCCGTTTTGGTTGGTGGTGGCGCAGGAAGCTCGCGGAGCCACCGTACCTGGATTCGGTGGATTGGAGCAAGTGGCATGTGTTCTGGGTGGACGAGAGGGTGGTGCCCAAGGACCATGAGGATAGCAACTACAAGCTCGCCTTGGATGGGTTTCTCTCCAAGGTATTCCCTCGCGAGCTCTGGATTTCTTCTTTCCGAAACTGCTTGTCCTAGTCGTCGTTTCGGCCTGGATGCATGATCTGCTCGGGGCATGATCAGGCTATTTAGGGATCATAATATTTTTGTGGTTTAGAGTGATGGAAATTCATTCAGGAATAGAATTCTGGTAATGCTTGGGTTAACTGAAGATGAAAACAAAGAACCGTGATGAAGAACAGATTCAGGTTTTCAGACTTAGAGCATCTCCAATAGCCTCTTTATTCCACTCTCCAAGCCAAATGTTAGCAACTTTGGACAAAAAATACACTCCAACTTAGGGCCTGCTTGGCAACTTCGAAAAATTTTGCACCGGTAAAGATATTACACTTGTATTTTTCGGGGTCCCGAAAATTCCCTTTTGGTTACGGAGGAAAAGTTTTTCCAGGCAAATGATGTTTGGGCAAAGAGCAATGGGTATATCACAATATTTCCATTACTGCAGCAATAGGTACCCATTCTGAAACATCTTTTTCTATAAACTGAAATCAAATAGAAAACCAACTGATTATAAAGAATTTTCATTACAAATCAGGAAGAACTGCAATCGATACTTGCAATTTATAAAAGAAATAAGAGGCAACAAATTTGAATGAGAAAACAATGATCTTGAGGAATTTCAATCTTGCCTGCTAAGATCTGAAATAACAAAGAAACTCAAAAGCTGACAAACCAGAACTCAATCTTTCATCTTGTGAAAATAACACCAAGCTTCTCCTTCCAATCCCTCGGTGTGGCACCGGGCGTAGCGCTGTGAAACGAGCTTGAGGCTGACCTTGCCCATCACCGGATAGGAGAGAAGCAGGGGGAACTGTTGCGCCAGCCTCCGAAGAGGGCTAGGTGAGGGTGCAGAGTGCTGCTAGAGCTAGAGGAAAGCCTGCTGGCCACTGGTAAGAAGCTGATCGAGCTAGAGGCGGCGGCCATGGGATAGAGGGGAGAGGAGCGCAGCACGAGCACAAGGAGAGGCGAAGCGGCGAGCCTGACTTCTGTCATTTTATTTGTGTGGCCTGAGGAGGTGTTACTGTTCTTCCGGGTGTAATGGGCATTTTCCGGCGGATTTTAATCCGATAACAGCCCATCCAAGCAGTCCTTTCCAGCCCGTCCAGTAAAAACTCATGGACCGGTATTTTACACCGGTTTTGAACCAAAAACCGGGCTTCCAAGCAGGCCCTTGTGGGAAGCGGTTGATTGATATGTTTTCTGCAGTGTACTAGATCTGTAACAAAAACACTTGTGCTTCTCATCCAGTTTACAGAACCTCTACTGCTCTCTGTGAGTTATCGGCATAAGCATTTTGATTGACCAATGATGAAACGCTTTATTCGACTGTGGGCAGTGGGATTTTATAATCTGCTTGCCTGTATCCATGCTCAATTGTTTGAAATTGTGCCAACCATTTGAAATATACCGTGAAATGAACTATAGTGGTTTTTTGTGGATAATGGATAATGAATCATTAGTATCCGCAACTGTGAATATTTAGGAAATAAGTTGTTGAAGTGGTGATCCGAGATGCATTCTTGTGTCTACTTATTGCATTTTCATCAGTTTTCTGGTGTGCGTGTAAATTTCTTTGCTGTGTATTCAGAAGTACTCCTTAACTAGGTTCTTCCTTTCGAATTTCTAGGTCCCAATTCCTACTGGCCAAGTTTATGCTATAAATGATGCCTTGTCAGCTGAGGGAGCAGCGGATGACTATGAAACTTGCTTGAAGCAACTTGTCAAGAATGGTGTGATTGCAATGTCGCAATCGACTGGGTTTCCTAGGTTTGATGTCATGCTCCTGGGAATGGGCCCTGATGGCCATATTGCATCTCTTTTCCCAGGCCACCCTCTTGTTAATGAAAACAAGAAGTGGGTCACCTACATCAAGGATTCTCCAAAGCCACCACCTGAGAGAATTACGTTTACATTTCCTGTGATCAACTCATCTGCGTATGTCGCAATGGTGGTCACTGGAGCTGGGAAAGCTGGTGCAGTGCAGAAAGCACTTTCAGATAAGCAGACTTCGTCTGATTTGCTGCCTGTAGAAATGGCTGTACTTCAAGATGGGGAATTCACTTGGTTCACTGACAAGCCAGCAGTGTCAATGTTACAGAACAAATGAGGTCCATGCCTGGATATTGTTTAAGCTTTCATCTTAAATAAAGATCCAGGGGCTAATCCCAGCCTGGATACTGCTTAAGCTTTCAATCCAAAGCTGGGTTGTAATGATCTTCTGTCTAAAAAAGGATCCAGGTGACTGCATAGTTGCATTCCTCTTTTATGCATCACTTGTAAGGAAAACATGAGCATGTATGTTGTATGTTGTTCAGAGTGATGTATCTGAGACACTCCTGGTTTCGACTTAGTAAATAACCTTTCCTGGCCCTTGCTCAAGTGTCTATGTTTGTTAAATTTGCGCGGTTAATAAACCGGCGATCAACTTATCTACATATTTTGCAAATTCAGATAGAGAACTCATTTTGTGCATGTTATTCAAATGGTTTCAATTCAAGACACAATTCTTTTTGTTTACTGATTGAAGTGATGCCAATGCTGCTTGACAAAGTGAGGTAAACTGTGATACAAGCTTGGAGACCTGCATGATTCTGCATTATTCACTATTAAGAGGAGTCTTATTCAGAGTGTATTGCGAGTACCTTCAGTTTCCAGTTTAGTAAATCACCTCTTTTGGGCGTTGCATTGGAAATATTTAGATGTTCAGCTGCCACTTGTCAATACCTGTAATTGTTAGTTTATTGTGTATACTGTTCCATCCACAGACAATCCATATCTTTTTACTGCATTTGCACTTCAGAACGGCACCAATTTCGCTCGCTTTCAGCTGCCTGTACATCGCAAGGGGCTAGTGATTATTCAATTTTTAGAGCCATGCATAGGTAGTGTACAGGTTGATCTGTAAGATTTATATTTTCAGGCAGTACTGCACGAGGATGAATTTACTTAGGCAGCAGCCTAAATGGCTGTACGTTCAAGGCAGGGAACTCAGAACTGATTAGCAACATGGCCTTTCTACCCAACATAAATCGCGCATTAGTTGTGCTGTCTGACACTGACCTCGGTACATTTCTGGCATCTAAATTTTCATAGACATTCACATTTTGGGCAATAATAGCATGTTGACCCGTTGACAAATTATTTCACATATTTAACCGTAAGGAATTTTGGAGGAATTTCATAAGAATCGAACTACTCGTTAATAATATTTGACGTTAGGAGTACTAGTACTCTTAGCATATTTTGAAGTTGGGAGCACTAATTGTAATACTGGAAGTAGTGAATTTTATGAAAAGTTCTATAAATTCCATACTCCTATGTTCCAAAGAAGCCTTAATCATATGATAATTGAACTTATTCCTAAGGCCGAGTTTAGTTCCAAAGTTTTTCTTCAAACTTTCAATTTTTCCATCACATCAAAACTGTCCTACACACACAAACTTTCAATTTTTGCGTGAACTGAACACGCCCTAAAAGAAATTATAAATTCCATCCATTTCAAAGAAGCCTTAATTGGATAATTGAACACCACGTTTTCGACATGATTTGGCAGGCCAACCGTGGTGGACACATCCAGAGTGAATGCAGGGAGACGAGACGATGGACCATGGCTGCATTCCCCTCGTGCTGCCACGGGCTCTCGGCCGGCCAAGCCAAGCCGCCGCACCGCCCATTTCGGCCATTTGCACCGGCATTTGCAGCCATGGTCCTCCATCCATCTGCAACGCACTCCAAAAATCCCAACAAACAAGCAGCAGCAACACATGATTCCATGAGCTGCTCCAGTGAAAGCTTCTGCTGCCACTCGATCTCCAGTTTGCAGCAAGATATTACTAATCCAGTACCTAACCTCTCACCCAGGTTCATGTGAGGTGTGACCCTATCTCCTCTCAAGACTCACATGAGCTTTGGAGCAAAAGAACATGGCCTAGAATCTAGGGCACTCTTAAAAATCTAACCTATTAGTTTCAAAAGAAAAAAAAATCTAACCTTGGCCATGTTAGAGGCTCATCATGGTGTGGCATGGAATTCTTTTTTTGTTCGGATAAATAAAACTGAAAGATTCAGAAGCCTGATCTTGGGGACACGTTGCTCGTCACTACATGAGGAGAGCTCCATCGTTGCTGCTGTTGGTTTCCCCACAAAACTACTCCGCATGTTCAACTGTCTCATGTAAGATCATATTAAAATTCTTGGTGTTGCAACTTGCAAATTGTGACTTTGTGACTGAACTCATCTGTCCAAATTTTGTGTGTGATCGAATTAAGAAGGATACTGGATATATAGAGAATTGTTAATTAACATGTGGTAGCAGAATAGATGATAGGATCTTTCATTTTTTTTGCCGCAGCAATTGATAAAGAGAAGAGAAAGGTAAAGGTGTTCGTCAAAGGTGCGACCAGTGCAGAAAAAAATTTGGGGTGGTTATGATTGCCGGACAGACCTGACCGATCGATTTGCTTTTGTCTTAAGGTTTTGTGCTTTTTTTTGGGCCTGCTTTATTCTAACCATGCGTATTGAATTAAATCAAAATTTAGCTGGAGTACGTAATAACTTGAATACGAAATACATACGAATTTCTGAAGAAATTTGCAGCCATTACATGAGAAAACACGCGCGTTATTGTCATGTATGATTGCGTATGGTTGTTAATTTGGCTTGGCTGCATCCACAAAAGATTTTGATGACTCGTTCAATGAGTCGGTCCACGCGAAATATTCTCCAATTTTTTCTTCGTTTTTTTTCGAGCATATTTGATCCGTTGACAAGGTGAGGATTTCCATGAGCTAAACGTGTCAGGTCACAAGTCAATCAGTGTTGATCACGCCCATGCCATTTTATAGTTCACACGTACATTGACCTACCTGAAATTAGTGCAGGATTAGGTTAGAAAAAAAAGTTAATTAGTGGTTGGGATTTTCATGGGCTTCTTCTCCTGGATAAAACCGTGTGGATTTGGTCCACTCTGAATGGTTCATTCAAAATTTAGCATTGCAAGTACACACCTTTTAGACAAACATTTAGACCTATTATAAGCCTACCAAATCTCGCATGAATTGAGTTAAAATACACTCAAGTAGATGCATATAAAAAAATCAGAAAAACAAACACGCTATTAAAGTATGAACAAATTTTCAGGTCAACCAACCCAGTCTCCTTTTGTCCTTACAACCTAAGCTTAGTTATTCAGACAAACATAAAATTGCCAAAGAAAGAGTTCAAGAATGTATCCCCACTTTGAATATTTTTTTAAAAAATTAAAAAAAAAATCAAAGAACTAACCGAATTCAAACCAAAGGTACATCGGTTCTATTCGTACCAAAAATTCCTTTGAAACTACTAGTATATGATTCTCATCCTCTACTTGTTTTGTTTATAAGCTGCAACTAATATCGAAACGTAACCTTAGAGTTGATTTAAGATTTTTTTCTTTTATTCTACTAAAGCTATTATCCAGTCTTAATAACCTCTATAATATAATTTTTACTATACAGACATAAAAAGTTTTACCTAAACTAATAACCTAATAACATGTTCTTTTTCCAATGGTTTATCAACCGACAAGAGCCCAAGATTTACCAAACCGTTTGGATTGGGACTACTATCACCTTATGATATAACGATTATCACGAAAACCACGTGGTTACCACGAAGTATATCGTGGTTAAAAAACTGAAAATGTTATTTCACACGATAACTGCACGGTTTTATAGACATTTCGGGAGCCCAAAAGTTTCAGAACAGATCCACAAATGTGGTGGGCCCACACCGCCAGCCTCTCCCACTGACACCTAGGCCCCACAAGAAGGACAGGGCCGGTGGGTCCCACGTGGCAGGCCGGAACAAAGACCCGTTTAAACGCGCACGGCACCCACCCACTCCTCTCTCCCTCTTCTTGTGTGTGTGTGGGTGTGGCTTTATTGGCGTCACATGCGCCCTCTTTTCCTCTCTCTGTTTTTCTTCTTTTTCTCTCTCTATCTCTTCGCTTACGAGCTTAAAGAGACAACGAGTTAAAGCCGAGGAAGAAAAAAAAAACCAACCGATTTTTTTTTAATTAACCGGCGCCTCCTCCTTGCGCGGCGTGCGTTCGCCGGCGGCGAGATCCTGCGGCGGCGGAGGAGGAGGAGGAGGAGGAGGAGGAGGGGGATGGAGTGGTGGGGGCCGGGGGAGTGGTGGCGCTGGTAGTGGCGGGGACGGGGAGTGGTTGGTTGGGTTTGGGGAGTTTGGTGGGTGAGAGAGGGGGAGAGGGAGAGGGGACATGAAGGCGCTGCGGCGATCCAGCACCTCGTCCTCCCCGTCGTCGTCGTCCTCGTCGCCGACGGCCGCGTCGTCCCCGCCGTCCTCGTCGTGGATCCACCTCCGGTCGCTGCTCGTCGCCGCGGCGTCGTCGTCTTCGTCGGCGTCGTCGTCGGCGGCGGCGGGAAGCTCCGTGGCCATGGTGTCCGCTTCGGCGCCCGCCGCGTCGTCGTCGCCGTCGCCGTCGCCAGCGCCCGCCCCCGCGCCGTCCTCGCCGCACTCGGATCGGTGGGTTTTCTCCCTCTCCTTCGGATTGGTGAAAAGGAGGAGTAAAAATGACTCCTTTTTTAGTCCTTTCCTTTTGGGGGCGTCTTGATCTGCTTCCCGTGGAGTCTAGCCTCACATGTTCTGATCTAATTGGTGGTCTGGAGGCTGCTTAGGTGCTCATGTTATGGTTTTTTTGTGCGCCTCAATCCAACCAAGTCTTTGGATTTCAGCTTAAGAGTGCAGTAAAACGTTAGAGTGACAGCCTGGCTTAATTGTGTGCCTAGCAATTCCTGCCTCGTGCAGGAAGGTTGCGGGGCCTGCAATCCAAACTGAGGACACCGGATTTTTAAGAGCGAATCGATTATGTGTTCAATCTGTTGACATGATAGTGGGGGAGATTCGGTTTGTTGATTCAGAGAGATCATGGATTCTGTTGCAGAGTGGTTTGCTTACTCTAAAGGTGCCTTCCGTCTAAGTTCTAGTGTGATAAGATTTTGTCATAGTTTAGTGGCAGCGTTAGTGCTGAATGCAGCTTGCACAATTGCCTCAAGATATGTTGATGATGTGATGCTGTTGGTGGTTTGAACAAGGGACAGCTTGCTGCTATCTTGAATTATGTGCTTTAGGTTGTTGGATGGCATGGTATTTAAGACCTTGGAGGTGATCCTGTCCCCTAAGGTAGCAAATTTAGTTTCTAAGAATAATAGGGGGGGTGCTTGATGTTTCCTTTTGGTTTGGGAGTGAAGCTGTGGCACTGTAAATGCTACCTAAAAGTTTGGATCTTCCATGAGTTGAACAATTTTGCTGACCTGAATAGGTATCACCGTAAATCACAAGAGTTTTTAGATGATACACCTCCAGTTTTCCTGTGATCTGCTCTTGTTCCGTAGTTATCTCTTGTCAAGTTTGCTTTCAACTTATTTGTTCACTGATCTAGGTATTATATTGAACTGCA